AAGCTGCTCCCCATCTTTGTTCCTTGCGGCTAGTCCATGAGGGGGACTCAAACGTCTTTGACATCCCGACCCCTCGCACCTACGCTGAGACGACTTCGAGACCCTGGGCCTCTCAGTAGATAGCTGCCATGGAGCAGGAGATGGCATCTTAGAGATCTACCAACACATACATCGACGCAATTCCCTCACCTGGGGTGGACTTAGTCGATGGCCGGTGGTCCTTCAACGTGAAGCGCACCCCTAGAGAGCCGCCTGTGTTCAAGGCGCGCTACGTGGCTAGGGGCTTCAGTAAGCGTGAGAGGATGGACTTCTTTCAGACCTTCGCCCCGACCCCGAAGATGACTACTCTTCGGGCGCTGCTACACGTAGCAGTACAGCGTGACTACGAGCTTCACTCCCTCGACTTCTCCACTGCTTTTCTTTAGGGCCGCCTACACAAGCAGGACTACCTGCGCCGTCCTCAGGGCTTTACTGGTATTTTTCCTCCTAAGACCCAATGGCTATTTCAGCAACTGGTCTACGGCCTGCGACAGGCGCCCAGTGAGTGGCACGACATGTTGCGTGCTATGCTAGCTGACCTGCAGTTCTTTCCGTCCTCTGCAGACCCCTCGCTCTTCGTTCGTGCTGGCCAGACCCCGTTCTATATCCTTGTCTATATAGACGATCTGGTCTTTGCTACTGCAAACAGAGACGCGCTGGCCTCCGTTAAAGGCTGAGCTGCTGAGGAGACACACCTGCACTGACCTAGGAGAGCTGCACCACTACCTTGGAATGCAGATCTCCCGGGACAGAGCAGCGCGCACCATCACTCTCACATAGTCACACTTGGTGCGCCAGGTCCTTCAGAGGTTCGGTCTTCAGTTCTCCTCCGCACAGCCCACACCTCTGCCAGTAGAACACATGCTCTCTGCTCGAGTTCTTGAGGAGTTAGTAGAGCCCAGCGGTCCTTAAGCAAAGCTGGTGGGTGGCCTCATGGACCCAATGACTTGCACTCGTCCAGATCTTGCATACCCTCTCAGCATCTTTTCTCGCTTTGTGGCCACAGGCAGACACCGACCTCAGCACTGGTCGGCCACTAAGAGGGTTTTGCGTTATCTAGCAAGTACATCGGGCATGGGGTTAGTGCTGGGAGGACGCAGGCCAGTGGTCCTTACTGGGCACACTGATGCTTCTTGGGCCGACGACGCTGAGACCCTCAGGTCCTCTCACGGCTACTGCTTTAGCCTTGGTTCAGCTGCCATCTCGTGGAGGTCCACTCGCTCCTCGTCTGTTGCCCTGTCTAGCTGTAAGGCTGAGATCTACGCCGGTGCCATGGCAGCACCGGAGCTCCGCTGGCTGACCTTCTTGCTCGCCGACTTAGGTGAGCGGCACAGCTCTGCCCTGTATCTGTATGCTGACAACATGGCCATGATCCTCCTGTATCAGGAGCCTTGATTCGAGGGTAGAGCGAAGCACATTCAGCTGCGGTACTTCCTCATAAGCAAGCTATAGCATCGTTGCCAGGCTCGCGTAGTATACTTGGCCTCAGGTACCAACACAACTGATATCTTTACTAAGGTGCTTGCGCCTAAAGATGATCAGCGGCACTGTTTGCAGCTTGGTCTAGTTCGTGTAGATTTTCACTTGCTAGGACCTTGATTGTGTAATCCTCTTTATATATACATTTCAGACTGGCCTTGTGGCTTCTCTTCCAGTGGCCGGACTAGTAGTGCCGCCCTGGTTTGCTCCTGTCTTGTTTGTACTCTTGCTGACTGGTCTTCAGACCCCTGTCTCACAGGTTGGACTAGTAGTGCCACCCTGAGCTGCGTGTTCCTTGCTCAGCACGGCCCCTTATCTAGCCTAGGGGGTGTGATAACTTATACATATATTTGTATGTAGAAGTTATGGGCTAGATAGGTGTGTGTTCTTAGAGGGTAAAATTCCAACCCTACATCTCCCTTGTGCACCCTTGTTTCTAGTCATTCTCGCATTCTATCAGGGCTGTCTTTAAAAAGTTGGGTTGCTATGTTAAATTGTATATTATATATATATATATAATTGTAGGCTTGGTAGGTGTTACTGGATCCTACTGTAGAGGGTACAACCCCCCTTCTTGTATCCCTCTCTCGTTTAGTCCAATTCTCTTCTCTCTCAATATTTTTCTCCCACCTAAAACCTCACGCCATTTCCATGGCTTTCCTATCTACCTAGCTACTTTAACATGGTATCAGAGTAGGTCCTTCTGCTCGGGCCTGCTCATCACGCTTCTGCAAAGTCCGCTCCTCCCTCCTCTCCTTTCTGCACCGCCCATGCGGCCATGTCGTGCTGCCGTGACGGCGCCGTCGTGCTGCCGTGGCGGCGTCTACTCGCCAGCGCGTGGATGGCACGGACGGCAGCGGCCAGCGCCCGGTCTTAGCGCTAGCCAGCACGCCCGCATGCAGCCAGCGCGCCACACGGGGCGGCATGCTCCCGGGCTCTGCTGCTGAAGGCCCGCTCCCTTCCCCTGCGTCCCCTCTTCCTCGCCACTGCCGACGGCTGACTCGCGCCGGCTGTCCCACCGTCGCGGAGCCCGGCCACGCCGCCCATTGCTGCGAGCTCCGCCGCCGCCACAGCTATCGTCGAAGCCGCCCCTGCCGCAGCTGGTGCCGCTGGCCACGCTGCTGTCGCCGCCGCTGTCGACGCTGCCGCCGTCGCCACCGTTGCAGCCGCTGCCCTTGCTGTCGATGTCGCCGCCTCACACGCCGAGGGGTTGACCATGCTGGAGTAGCCGTTATCGCTAGCCGTTATCGTTATGCTGAGTATGGGGGTGCTAGGCTTAGGGGGTATGTGGCTTAGTGTGCTGTGTGTGTGGTGTGCTTTCGGCTACCAAGCCTAGGGGATGTGTTAAATTATATATTATGTATATATATAATTTTAGGCTTGGTAGGTGTTACTGGATCCTACTGTAGAGGGTACAACCCCCCTTCTTGTATCCCTCTCTCTTCTAGTCCAACTCTCTTCTCTCTCGATATTCTTCTCCCACCTAAAACCTCACGCCATTTCCATGGCTTCCCTATCTACCTAGCTACTTTAACATGCTAGAGTGAAACGGCTAGGGAATGTTTTGGGCAGCAGTGCAGATATGAACCCACCATAATCCCCACCTACGGGAGGTTTGGCGATTTCTGAATGTGTGCGATGAGGTTCCCAAAGCCACACGCGACAATTCCGACAAGGAAAGATATCAGCAACTAAGGCGCGTTCGATCGTATGAGCTATATGTCGTGGCACTGGGATAACCCTGTCGATCCTCTCTCTATCGCTAGGGAGGGTAATGGGGAGGCTTTCCTCAGGGAAGGTGGATATATGGAGCCTAACCCTTTTGATGACATCCCTTCTTGTCCCAGTAGTTAGGACTGGTGAGTTTATGAAACTGTACCCCACACCCCCCTCTGAAATGTAGGGACACAAGGCTCAGACGCAACTTGCAAGGAAACGCAAGCTGGTGCGCCAAGTGAGAGCACGCTGCGACTTGGCTATACCAGACGCCCCAAAAGACTCGAGGACGAAACAACGTAACTCATACGAGGGATATAATGGTTTATACCTACATGCTTATGTTCTAATTCACATTGGTCGTGTTGCAAAAGGCATGCACATAAGAAAGTGTTTCTTGTTGTCATGGTTTGCAGTAGTTTTTAATATATATATAATGAATGGATGCAAAGTAAAAAATTGCACAACTGTGCATTGCCAAGTTTTGCTGAGCGCCGCACCCTTGGCTAAAAGGGTTCCCGAACTGCAACGGATGGGTGCCATGATGGGTCCGGAAGAGGGGCGAGAGTTAAAAAAAGGGCAACTGGTGGGCGACGAGAAGAAACATAGGGCCACGGGAGAGCACCTGAGCAATGGGGTGGTAGGGTTGAAGGGGAAAACGGTTGAGCGATGGGAGTAGGGATTGCAAAAATCGCAACAGCATGGGAGCAAAGGTGAGGGCATAACGGAAAAGGGTAGAGGATGGGGGAAAGGCTTGACAGGGAAGAGAGAAAGGGGAGGGAGGATGGATGGATGGATGAAAGGATGGGAGAGGGGAGCGAGGCAGGGAGAGGAATTCTTTGCCGCGACGACAAGGGGACATGGCGCATGAGAGAGCGGGGGGACTGCAGAGAGTGTGGAGGAGGGGGGGGGGGGGGGAAGCAGCAGAGCGGGGGGGACATCAGAGAGCGGGGGGACGGCAGAGAGCAAGGGGAACAGCAGAGAGCGGGGGGGGAAGCGGGGAGGAGAGCAAAGAGGGGGGGGGACAGTGGGGGGGACAGCAGAGAGTGGGGGGGACAGGAGAGAGCAGGGGGGGCAGCAGAGAGAAGGGGGACAGCAGAGAGCAGGGGGACGGCAGAGAGCAGGGGGACGGCAGAGAGCGGGGGGACGGCAGGGAGAGGGGGGGATGGCAGAGAGCAGGGGGAACAGCAGAGAGCAGGGGGAACAGCAGAGAGCAGGGGGAACAGCAGAGAACGGGGCGGACAGCGGGGGGCATGGGGGAAAGTGGGGGGGCAGTGGGGGATGGGGGGAACAGCGGGGGGAACAGCAGAGAGCAGGGGAACAGCAGAGAGCGGGGGAACAGCAGAGAGCAGGGGGGGCAGTAGAGAGCAGGGGGGCAGCAGAGAGCAAGGGGGCAGCAGATAGCAGGGGGGCAGCAGAGAGCAGGGGGGCAGCAGAGAGCAGGGGGGCAGCAGAGAGCGAGAAGAATGGAGGGGCAGGAGAGAATGGAGGGACTCAGGAATAGGTGAGATTTCGGATAGAATGGGGAAGAGGGATGGTGCTTGGGATGGAGCGATGGGGCAAAAGAACCAGCCCTCTCATTTCCCTTCAAAACCAGTAGACACGTCGCCCAGCCCTCTCATTCCCCTTCTCCTCGTCTTCTTCTCCGCCTCTCCATGCCCTTTCACCCGCCTCTCCTCACTCTCACATCCACCTTTCCCTACCCTCTCATCCAAAAAACAAAGCTTTCAAGAGCGCCCAAGGTGTGCTTCTTTAGCCTGTGGTTTTAAGCCAACTCAAATTACACAAACCAATAGTTTCAATCCAGAGTCTGTAACACAAAACACATGAGTACACAGACACACAAACACCCAACTGGAAGAAAGCAAGATCTTGGATTGGACTACGTAACAAAACAGCAGTCGATTACGCCACTGGAAAGGAAGCAGCACAAGGGCCAAGCACAGGATGGTACCATGGTAACACTGCAACAACAGCGCAGCGTGGTTAGTTACCACAGCAAAACAAGCAGCATGGTAGCAATACACGCTGCCATAGCTGCCTGAATCACTTCAATTTTTTCTTCTCCTCTTGAAGCGGCCTTGTTAGGGCTTGGTGGGGTCCCCTGCTGCTGCTGCTGCTGCTGCACGGCATTGGCTGTTGGTGTGCTGCTAGGTGCGATGGACAGTGATGCTGATGGGGACGCATGTGCTGATGTGGATGCAGGTGCTGATGTGGATGCAGGTGCTGATGTGGATGCAGGTGCTGACGTGGATGCAGGTGCTGATGTGGATGCAGGTGTTGATGTGGATACAGGTGCTGATTTAGACGCAGGTGCGGATCTGGCTGGTGCTGACGTGGAAAGTGGAGCCGGCCCAGGAAGGGAAGCAGGAGAAGAGGCCGGAGCGGGGGAGAGAGCAGAGGCAGGAGCAGGGGAGGGAGCGGAGGAGGGAGAAGGGGAGGGGGTGGAGGAGGGAGCAGATGCAAGAGTAGAGGCAGGAGCAGAGGACGGAGCAGAGGACGGAGCTGAGGAGGGAGTGGCGGAGGGAGCAGAGGAGGGAGTGGCGGAGGGAGCAGCGGAGGAGGGGGCAGCAGCAGGAGAGGTGGCGTTGGCAGGGCAGTCCTGGTCCGGTGCACTGTCGAGGCAGTTGCCGGAGTATCTGCATAAGTGGGTGGGGGCAAGGGCAAAAAAAAGTTAGTGAGTGGCCAACAAGTTACCTCAGTAAATAAGACGTATCGCCAACAATGCTCACAACAATGCACTGTTCATGGCACATCAACCAGACGGCATGCCGTAGCAAGTCCGAGAAACTCACGAGAAATGCAAACTGGACGGGCGCGGGTTGGGAGGCAACGGCCCAGTGAGATTGTTGTGAGAGATATCCCTGTTGCCATAGGGAGGGCAGGGAGAGGGGAGACAAGGATCAAATGGCCATGTAGGAAATTCGAGACTAGGGTTGGAAGGCCATGGGCGTGTGAGATGGTTGTGAGAGATCGATGGATATCTCTGTTTGCCATGGGGAGGGCAGGGTGAGAGGAGAGAGGGGCAGGGAGAGGTGGGAGAGGGAGAAGAGAGGGAGGAGAGGGAGAGGAGAGGGGGGAGAGGGAGAGGAGAGGGGGGGAGAGAGTGAGGTGCGGCAGGTGCCTGCCTCATGCAGGGATGCTCCCCTGCAGCTGGTTGCGCGCCAGGTTGAGGTCATAGACGCTGCTGACCTGGCATGCTCACATGCTACTCACAGCAATGCTGTGTGCCAACCAAGTGCTTTACTTTCAGGGTCGCTAGATGGGGACGGGGGAGATGTGTGAGGCAGGCTGGTATGGTATGCTCCCCTGCAGCTGGTTGCACGCCAGGTTGAGCCTTGAGGTCAGTCATACATACATGCTGTTCAATTTGCACAGCACCGCTGGTATGCTCGCACCAAGTCCCGTTGACGCACCCCACCCCACTCACAGAGAGGAGAGAGGTGACGCAGTTGCACCAGACTGCCAGGGACAGTCCCGTTGACCTGGTTGCGCGCCAGGTTGACGTTGCACATGCTGCTCAATTGGCACAGCTCGCCAGGTACCCACCCCACTCACAGCAATGTAATGCGTGGCAGTTTCGGCAGACAGGCAGGGACAGTCCCGGTCAGCTGGTTGCGGGCCAGGTTGAGGTTATAGATGTAGCTTAGCTTGCACAGCTCGCCAGGTATGCTTCCACCCAGCTGGTTCCGGTTCAAATACAGCTTATTAAGCGCCGGCAGATTGCCAAGAGCTGCTGGGATGGTGCCTGAGAGGCGATTGTTATCCACAAAGAGCTCGACCAGCAGGTTTAGGGAGCCCAGGGATGGGGGGATGGGGCCCGTGAGGTCGCAGTTCTCAAAGGCTCTGGGAGGAGGGGATAGTGGGGGGGGAGGGGAGGGGAGGGGAGGGGGGAAGACAGGGCGAAAGAGGAGAGGGTAAGTGGAGGGGGAAGGGGCTCTAGTTTTCATGGCCAGAGCTGCCGGGATGGCACCTGAGAGGTTGTTGCTGTCAAGGAAGAGCTCGACCAGCAGCTGTAGGGAGCCCAGGGATGGGGGATGGGGCCCGTGAGGTCACAGTTCTCAAAGGCTCTGGGAAGAGGGGAGGGGAGCTAGGCGTTTGATGCTGCCTGTTTTGTTTCTGTATCCCCCTCCCACCTGCCATGCCTGTGCCATACCACCTACTTAATACAAGGACATATTGAGGGGAGGGGAGAACAGGAGGGAAGGGGAGAACATAGTGGAAGGGGAGGGGATGGTGCCTGTGAGGTGCTTGGTGTCTAGGAGGAGCTCGACCAAGAGTTGTAAGGAGCCCAGGAACGTGGGGATTGGGCCGGAGAGGTCGCAGCTCCCAACGCCCTGGGAAGGGGGGAGGGAGGGGAGGGGAGGGGAGGGGAGAAGATAGGGGAAAAGGGAGGGAAGGGGAGAGATGTGAGGGGACGGAACTTGTAAGTTGCGCATGTTAGAATATTCTCCCTTCATTCTATTATCCTACATCATTTCATTGTCTTAGGTACTTATAAGCACCCCACTAGGGTGTGTACACCCAAGTTGCGGGTTGGGTTCCCAAATTGGTTGGGCTCCCAATTATTGGAACCCCCAATAATCCCAACCAAGATTATTGGACCCACCAATAATCTTGGCTTGGATTATTGGACCCCAAATAAGTTGGCCAACTCAACTTACTGGGGTCACCAATAATCGTAGTCACCTCCCAACCAAACCCCCCCCTCCTACTCCTCACCTATTTATACCCACTCCTTACCTAATACAATCATCACTTCAGTTTCTCACATGGTTTCAGAGCTTATGGCTCACGCCTCTCCGTCGTTCGATCCCTATCCACCTCGCGCCCAATGCGCCCCTCCCCGCGCCTAACGCGCCCCTCCCCGCGCCCTTAAGCGCCCCTCTCTGCGCCTTTAAGCACCCCTCCCCGCGCCCTTAAGCGCCCCTCTCTGCGCCTTTAGACGCCCCTCCCCGCGCCTTTAGACGCCCCTCCCCGCGCCTTCATGCGCCCCTCCCCGTGCCCTTAAGCGCCCCTCCTTGCGCCCTTGGTCGCTGCGTTTTCGCGCGGCGCTCCTGTTGCATTTCGACGCAGCGCTCGGCTGCATTTCGACACGGCGCCCGGCCGCATTTCGACGCAGGGGCTAGGCCGCATTTCGATGCGGCGTCCGGCCGCATTTCGACGCGATGGTCGGCCGCATTTCGACGCGGCGCCCGGCCGCATTTCGACCCAGCGCCCGGCTGCATTTCGACGCGGCGATCGGCCGCAATTCGACGCGGCGCTTGGCCGCAATTCGACGCGGCCCTCCCGCCGCATCTCGAGGCAACCCTCCCGCCACATTTCGACACGCCTTCCACACCGCACTCCGTCGCCTCCTCCCCCTCTGTGCAGTCCCGGCGCCCCCGCCTAGCAAGCGGGTTTTGGCCGGGCTGACCTCTGTGCCGGCGCGCACCGCACGCAGCTGCCCGCAGCGTTCAATTGTCACCATCCGCGCCGGCCGTCACTTTTTGCATCGGCGCCCGAAGAAGGCTTTGCGTCAACCTACGGCGACTTAAGAGCTGCGCTCCGCGCACCCGCCTTTTTCCTCCTCCCCATTCCTCCCTCCCTCCCTCCCCCTCTCCCCCCCCCCCTCCTCCTCCTCCCCTCCTTCCCCACCAACAGTAGCAGCCGCATCCTCCCCCAATCAGCCGCAGCAGCCGCATCAGCAACCGCAGCCGCAACCTCCTCCGCCCTCCACCTCCTCCCCACTCCCCTCATCAGCTGCATCTCCCCCCTCCACCTCCTCCTACTCTCCTTCCTCCCCCCACCACCAGCAGCAGCCGCCTCATCTGCACCAGCCGCACCATTAGCAGCAGCAGCCGTACTTCCCCCCCTCCCCTCCCCTCCCTCCTCTTTCTCCCCTCTCCCCTCATCCCCAGCAGCAACAGCAACAGCACCCGCAATTGCACCATGACCACCAAAGCACTTGCCGTCGACATCTCCACAATCAACGTCCTCAAGCTCATCGACGACGCTGCCCCTGTCAACAAGGCTACCTTTGCCCAGAGCCTCACCAATGTCCTCGGATCCGCAATCATCAACGACTACTGCCTCCTCGACATTCTCCTTGACACTGACGCAGGGCAGCCCCCAGAGCGTCCTGCTGATGTCTCCCCTGCACCTCCCCCCCCACCTCCGGCCCCCTCGGGACCGGCCCCCACCAAGCCATCTCCACTGATCTACACCGACAACCCTGATCGCTGGGCTCGCGTGCAGCACCAGTATGACAAGGACTTTGCGGAGTACACTCTCCTCCAGCACGCGTATGACGCAGAGCAAGCTGCGCACGACGCTGCCAACAGACTTGTCCAGCAGCACAAGGACGCCACAGCTAAGTATGCTGACGACTATCGTGAGTACCGTCGTTGCCACTCTGCCTGGAGCGTTGCCAACCGCAAATGTCTCGCTATCCTGTCTGCATGCGTTCCTTCCTCCCTCAAACGCGAAATTACCCCCTCCTCCGCTCCCGAGTTCTGGAAAGAGCTATGTGCCACCTATGACCTCCAGGACACCAACTCTTTCCTAGCGCTCCACCGCGCCTTCCTCGACATCAACCTCGACTTCTGCCCCTACACCCTCTCCTTCACGCGCCGCCTTCTCATCACTGCCAAACGCCTTGCCGATCGTCGCTCTCCCCTTCCCGACTCCCTCATCGTTTGCCACCTCCTCGACGGCATAACACCCATATACGAGGCCTGTCGCGTGGCGTTCAATGAGGTCCACGGCAGCTTCCCACCTCACTTCGCCTATGTAGCCGCATGGATTCTGAAAACTGAAGCGGAACTTCTCCGCCACTCTCCTCCAACGGCTCATGCTGCCCAAGCAAAAGGAGGACGTGGTGCTGGCCGCGGCGGTACTTTGGCCAGACGATCGGGTGGTGGACGTAGCGGGGGGCGCAGTGGAGGACGCGGGGGTAGCAGTGGTTCCAGCAGCACCGGCGGCTTCTCCCCGTGTCAGTATCTCATCCACAACGACCCCAACAAGGGTAAGCGCTGCCTCCAAACCACTCATGCCACCACCACATGCTTCAAGGCCCTCATTGATGAGTGGCTTGATCGAGGCAACACGGGCACGCCCCCTCGCTGATCCGCTATCACTCCACCTCCCACTCCGTTTGATGTTCGTACCATCCCCGCCTATCACCCCTCCTCTACCTCTCTCCACCACATCCTCGCAGAGCACCTCCCTCCATAGATCCTCCAACAGGTCACGCCCCTCCTTCCGTCCCCGCAGCCGCAGCTGACTCAGCAGCACCAGCAGACCCAGCAGCTGCAACAGCAGTTCCTGCAGCAGCTCCTCCAGCAGTTGCAATAGTCTCAGCAGCCCCAGCAGTCTCAACAGCAGCCCTCCCCTCCCTCCGCCTGGAGCTCCGACTGCTCTGCTCCTGCTACTCCTGCGCAAGCCCCCACTGGACCTCCTGGCTTTACCCCATTTCCCTCTGCTAGCTTCATCAACCATGTTAGCCATGCTTCTTTTGCTATTCCTCCAACGTATCCCGAATCTATTAATGAAACCTCCTTCCAGATTCCGTGTCTCACCCCACCCTTCCTTCCATTAACTTTGTCACCCCAACTTTGTCACCCTCCACTGGGCTCCTCAATGACCTTCCCCTCACTCTCCCCCTACTCCCTCCCTCCCTTGCCCCTCCTTGCACCATTTGTGTCCAGAGCAAGCTCAAGCAGCTTCCTCATAAAAGTCACCTTTCTTGCGCCCCAGAGCTCCTGGATCTTGTCCACATGGATCTCTGGGGCCCCAACCCCTCCCCCACCTGTCAAGGGGCACCGCTACCTCGTCGTCCTGGTCGATGACCGCTCACGATACACCTCGGTCTCCCTCCTTTGCACGAAGGCCGAGGCACCGGCCTTTATTATCGTCTGGGCCGGGCAGGCGCACACCCACTTCGATCGCCCCGTTCGCCGCTTCCATTCCGATGGCGGCGAACCCAATCACCAACCACCATCGCTCTTCCTATTTCTCCACCCATGGCATTCACCACACTTACACCCTCCCTCACTCCCCTCAGCAGAATAGCGTGGCAGAAGCTCGTGTTCGAGAAGTTACAAGGACCGACAGGTGCCTTCTCTCTGGGGTTATGCTCTTCTCCACGCTGTCCTCCTCACTAACCTGTATCCCCACTTTCTCCTCCCCTCCACCACCCCCACCGAGCTTTGGACGTCAACTAAACTTGACGTCTCCCCCCTCAGCGTCAGGGGTTCCAGGGCGTACATTCTCGTACACACGGCCGACCGCTCATGCACAGCACGGAAGCTCGCCTCCAAGAGTCTACCTTGTGGATTCCTGGGTCACAACACCTCCTCCCCTGACTACCTGTTCATTCATCCCCCCTCAAGCCGCCTCATTCGAAGTCGGGACGTCATCTTTGACCGATCCTCCTCGTACTACACCTCCCCTGCCTCACCTAACCCACTCACCATTCCTCCTCACCCCCTCATCCCCTCTGACACTGTCACCCCCCCCCCTCCTCCCCCCTCTCTCTCTTATTCCCCTACCCCCAGCACCTCCTCCTTCCAAATCTGCTCCCTCCTTATCTTCCTCAGGTGACATTCTTAACCTAGTACTCCCCCCCTCTCCCTCTCATTCCGCTTCCGCTCCATCCTCCCCCTTCTCCCCACCTCCTCCCCCTCCACCTCCTTCCCCCCCTCCCCCTCCCCTCCCCCTCCCCCTCCTCCCCCTCCCCCTCCCCCTCCCCCTCCTCCCCCACCTCCCCCACCTCCTCCTCCACCCCTCTTGGTGACTTCTCCCCTTGTCTTTCGCCACCGCCCTCATACTCGGTCCATGGATCCCCTCTTTGATCCGCCCTTAGCCCCTCCCTCCCCTCAGGCAAAGGCACCCGCTCCAGCACCCTCTGCTTCCACATCCGCACCCCCCGCAGCAGCTCCCTCCGCCGCACCAGTGCTTGCCCCGGTCGCCGCACCCGCAGCGTCAGGATCCGCCGAATAGTTGTCCCGGTCAAGCAGCCGTGCAGCCGAGTCGCAGAGTCGCAGTGTCGCAGCCTCCCCCCTCAGCACTGCACCAGACTTGCAACACCACCCTCCCTTCCTCCTCCTTTCTCTCCCCTCCTCATCGAAGACTCTCATGGTGAATTTCTTCGCCTCCACCTCTTCTCCAACACCCAAGCTGTCGCTTTCAGCATGACCGGCGCCTTGGTAGTTGTCTACTCCGGTGCGCCCATCATCTTCGAGCCGGGAAATTATAACGAAGCTATGACATGCCCTGACCACCCTCATTAGGGCAACGCTTTCCTCAAAGAGAATGAGGCCTTTGTCCGAAGCAGCACCTACATCGACGTACCCCGCCCTCTCAACCACAACGTGGGCAAGGGCAAATGGGTATTTCGGGTCAAGCTCCTCTCTGGCGACGACCCGGTCTATAAGGCCCGCTACTGCGCCCAAAGGATTCACGCAGCAAGTGACTTCCTTGACACCTACTCGTTGGCCGCCACTCCCCCTGCCGTCCGCGTGTTCCTTAACTTTTTTTCAGCCGGCGCGGCATGATCCTGCACTCGATGGATGTCACCTCGGCATTTCTCCAAGGTGAACTCCATGAGCGCATCTTCATGGAGCGTCCCGAGGGCTGGCACCTCACTTTCCCTCCCAACACTGTTTGGGAAATTTGGCGCCCGGTCTACGGCCTCAAGCAAGCTCCTCGGGAATGGCATGCCAAGTTCTCAAGCATTCTCCATGCTCTTGGTTTTCGCCCTTCCCAGGCTTCCTCCTGCCTCTTCCTGCGCACCTCCCCCTCCCCCTTCTACATCCTCGTCTACGTCGACGACATGCTTCTTGCCGCTGACAACGACGCAGACTTACAACAGGTCAAGAATGAGTTGCAGAAGCGCCTCCTTTGCAAGGACCTGGGGGAGGTCTGCAACTACCTCGCGATGGAGATTTCTCGCGATCGTGCGGCCAAGACCTTCTCCCTCTCTCACGCATTCTACCTCGAGAAGGTCCTTGAACGCTTCGAGAGGGCCACAGCCAAACCCATCTCCACACCCCTCCAAGTCGGCCACCAGCTCTCGCCGACATCCACCCACGGTTCCTCCACCAATCCTTGCGCTGAACTGGTCGGGTCCCTGATGTACGCCATGATGTGCCCCCGCCCCGACCTCGCCTACCCTATTAGTGTCCTGGGGCGCTTTGTTGGCACTGGCAAACACACTCCCGAGCATTGGCAAGCGGCCAAGCGCGTGCTCCGCTACATCAAAGGCACCAAAAAAATGTCCTCACCTCGGGTGGCCCCATCCCTCCTCAGCTCACTAGCTACAACGACTTCTTTAGGGCAGATTCTCAGCCCGATCGTCGCAGCTCATAGGGGTATCATTTCTCCCTCGGGAGCGGCCTCATTTCCTGTCGCTCCACCTGCTCCTCCTCGGTCGCTCCCTCCTCCTGCGAAGTAGAGCTCTACGCCGTCACCATGGCGGCCCAGGAGGCGCGGTGACTCAGCTTCCTCCTCGCTGAGCTGGATGCTCCCCAACCTTTTTTTTTTTTTTTTTTTTTTGGCTTTAAGGAGATCACAGGAGGAAACCAAGCCCCCTTTCCCCTGCCGGCTTCCCAATCCTGTCCCACCATTTGGTGCGACAATGCCAGTACTATCCACCTCACAAAGGAGGCCGTTTTCCATGGTCGCTCCAAACACATCAAGCTCCGCCACTAATTCGTTCGTGAGCTTGACCAAGCTGGACACCTCACCGTTCGCAAGATTGACTCTTCAGCCAACATTGCAGACATCTTCACCAAGGCTCTCCCTCGCCGTCCCCATGCGGCTCTCCTTCGCCTTCTGGGTCTTGCCCCTCCCTCACCGGGAAATACCTGATTCAGAGGTTGCTTCTCCTCACCTTCCAAATACTTATGGCACTTTGTAGGCTAAGGGGTTGTGTTAGAATACTCTCCTTTCATTCTATTAACCTACATCGTTTCATTGTCTTAGGTACTTATAAGCTCCCCACAATGGTGTATATACCCAACCTTATTGGGTTCCCAAATTAGTTGGGCTCCCAATTATTGGAACCCTCAATAATCCCAACCAAGATTATTGGATCCACCAATAATCCTGGCTAGGATTATTGGACCCCCAATAAGTTGGCCAACTCAGCGTATTGGGGTCGCCAATAATCGTGGTCACCTCCCAACCAAAACCCCCCCTCCTACTCCTCACCTATGTATACCCACTCTTTTCCTTATACAATCATCACTTTAGTTTCTCAGAGAGAGGAGAGGAAAGGGGAGGAGAGGAGAGGAAAGGGGAGGAGAGGAGAGGAGGGGAAAGGGGAGAAGAGGAGAGGAGAGGAAAGGGGAGGAGAGGAGCAGAAAGGGGAGGAGAGGACATGAGAGGAAAGGGGAGGAGAGGAGAGGAGAGGAAAGGGGAGGAGAGGAGAGGAAAGGGGAGGAGAGGAGAGGAAAGGAGAGGAGAGGAGAGGAAAGGGGAGGAGAGGAGAGGAGAGGAAAGGGGGGGAGAGGAGAGGAGAGGAGAGGAGAGGAGAGGAGAGGAGAGGAGAGGAGAGGAAAGGGAGGAGAGGAGAGGAGAGGAAAGGGGAGGAGAGGAAAGGGGAGGAGAGGAGAGGAGGAAAGGGGAGGAGAGGAGAGGAGAGGAAAGGGGAGGAGAGGAGAGGAGAGGAAAGGGGAGGAGAGGAGAGGAGAGCTGAGTGGGGAAGGTGGATACAAGCATACAAACAGTTTCATGTCATGTTACTTATGTATATAGTGTGTACATCCAAAGTTGAGAGGAGAGGAGAGGAAAGGGGAGGAGAGGAGAGGAGAGGAAAGTGGAGGAGAGGAGAGGAGAGGAAAGGGGAGGAGAGGAGAGGAGAGGAAAGGGGAGGAGAGGAGAGGAGAGCTGAGTGGGGAAAGTGGATTCAAGCATACAATGAATACAGTTTCATGTCATGTTACTTATGTATATAGTGTGTACATCCAAAGTTGGGTGTACACATTTGTTGGGGTGCCAATCAAACCCACTTGTGGTTGATGTCCTAAAAAAGGACCACAATTGTGATCAGATCAAGCCCACTCTGTTGGAGGACCAATCCAGCTCCTCCTATTCTTCTATTTTGATTGCTCATTCTTTAGGTCTCTTCCCTTCCAACAATCTCTTCCTAGCTCATCTTCTTTCCTATCTAATGTCTTTCCTCCATGAATAAACTGACTCTTTCAGTTTCTAACATACGATGCATCCAATTATCAACCCGTTTCTATTCACACAGACACTAACAACCACACCTTGCCGCCCAGGAAGGCATGAGGGATGGAAGAGGAGAGGTAAGTGCGGAAGAAGGTTCTTCAAGCATGCAAGGCATCCAGCTGTTGACCCATCCACACTCACACGAACTCCCGCAGCCAAAGGCCATAAGGTAGGGATGGAAGGGAAAGGAGCGGCTTTCATTCATACTTATACGGACTCCACGAGATTAGGGAGGGAAGGAGAGGGGGGGGGGGGGGGTCATCCACACTCACACGGACTCTAGCAGTCAAAGGCAGTCCAGAAAGGTAGGGAGGGAAGGGAAAGGAGGGGGTTTCATTCACTCTCACACGGACTCCACGCAGGTAGGGAGGGAAGGAGAGGGGGGGGGTTCGTTTACACTCACACGGACTCCAGCAGCCAGAGGCGGTCCAGAAAGGTAGGGAGGGAGCCGCCAAAGCCCCTGTTATAGCTGACGTCACTGAGGGTGGGAGGGGGGATGCAGGGGGGATGCGCATAAGAGGAGAGAAATAATGCATGTATGGATTGGATAAGCCTCCTGCACGCCAGAGAGGTCTGCATACTTCTTGAAATGCTCACAGGTACATGAGGCCGCTGAGCCGACTGAAGCTGGTTCTGAGACGTCTCGACTTATGCTCACAAGTGAATCAGGCTTTAGATGCTCACATGTTCACGAGGCTATTGAGTTGACTAATGCTCACAGGTACATGAGGCTGTTGAGCCGGCTGAAGCTGTTGGGGAGGGGTCCTTCCAGGCGATTGCTTGCCACATAGCTGTGGGTGGGTGGGCATGGGAGAGGGAGAGGGCATGGGAGAGGGAGAGAGCGTGAGAGAGGGTAAGGGCTGGCCTTCGAGGCGATTGCTTGCCATGTAGCTTTGAGTGGGCGAACGGGGGCGAGATAGGAGAGACACGGAACAAGGGCTGTTCCGCACCCACACCCCTCAGCCCTCACCCCTACCTCATCCCTCACTCCTCACCCCACACATACAGAGCAGCGAGGCTGGGAAGGTTTCCCAGTGCAGGTGGGATGGAGCCCAAGAGACAATTACATGCCATACACCCTGTAATCCAACATCCTACATCCATACACCCATACATCCATACACCCATACACCCATACATCCATACGTCTATACATCCATACACCCATACATCCATACGTCTATACATGCATACGCCCTTGCACCCATACATCCATACATCCATACGTTCATACACCCGTACGCCCATACACCCATGCATCCCTCCCTACTCCATACAAAGCAGCGAGGTTGGGAAGGTTTCCCAGCGCAGTTGGGATGGGGCCCGAGAGGTCGTTGTCGTCCAGCGCTCTGGGTGGGGAAGAGTGGACGGGGGGCAAAGACACAGGAAGAGATGAGAGGGGAATAGAGGACACGCATGGTGGGGAATAGAGGACACGAGTGGAGGGGAATAGAGGACACGCATGGAGGGGAATAGAGGACACGCATGGAGGGGAATAGAGGACACGAGTGGAGGGGAATAGAGGACACGAGTGGAGGGGAATAGAGGACACGAGTGGAGGGGAATAGAGGACACGAGTGGAGGGGAATAATGGACACGAGTGGAGGGGAATAATGGACACGAGTGGAGAGTTGGGCGGAAAGCCCCCCCCCAGCACAGGTGGGATGAGGCCTTGAGAGACGATTGTCGTCCAACACTCTGTGCGAGGGGGGAGTGTGGTTGGGGTTGGCAAGAGGAATGGCAAGCATTTGTGAAAGACGAAATCCGTCCAGTGCTCTACACGAGTTGGGGGGGAGGGGAGGGGGAAAGTCTCACCCACATTCACTCACATTGACTCACCTTGACATACATTGGCTCGCATCGACTCACGTTGACTCAACCTGGCTCACATTTGACTCGCATTGACCTTGACTCGCCTCGACTCACATTGATTCTCCTTGACTCACCTTGACTCATCTTGAATCGCATTGACTCGCTCCAGAGCAGAGGCATTGCCCATTGACTTGCATTAACACACATAAACTCACAGTGATGCACATGGATGCCATAACAGGTCAACCAACAATCCACACGCCCACTGACTCGCATTGACTCACATTGACTCCAAGGCAGAGGCAGCGGCCAGGCTTGCAGGAATTGGGCCGGACAGTCACATTGACTCGCATTGACTTCAGCGACTTCTGTAACACATGCGGGTACCCCTCAGCATGCTCACATTGACTCCAGGGCAGAAGCGCCGGCCAGGCTTGCGGGAATTGTGCCGGACAGATGGTTCGTGAAGAGCTCTCTGAAAGAAGGGGGGGGAAGAGAGAGGGGGGAGAAGAGAAAGAGGGGGGGAAGGGCAGAGAAAGTGGGGTGCAGGGAAGGTGACTCGATTGCGAGGAATCGAGGAGTCTATTTTTGAGGCGCCTCAAACAAAGTGGGGTGCAGGGAAGGTGACCGGATTGCGAGGAATCGAGGATTCCGAGCATGGAAACGCATGGGGCAGGGCAACGCATGGTAAACGGTTGAAGGGAAGGGGTGTGGATGGGTGTGAAGCGGTGGAAACAGTGTGTGCAGTAGCCATAATTTCTGGCAAAAGAAACATGCAAGTAAGCACAAAATCACTGCATAAGCTAAGCAGCATGCTTACAGCACTCTCAACTTCGTCAATCTTCCCAGCCACTCGGGAATCGGCCCTGAAAGCTCACTGGTGGGGATGGATCTGGTGAGAGCAGAGAGGAGAGGGGGGTGACAGAGGAGAGGACGGAGGGTGGAGCAAGGAGGGAGGGTGTGGGATAAGAGAGGGGGAAAGAGAACTGAAGCTCATTGACTGGGATGGCTCTGGTAGCGGTTACAGCATTGGGGGGGGGAGGAGAAGGGGGAACGATCTCAGCTTCCTCTGCTTCCCAGCCACTCGGGAATCGGCCGTGAGAGACGGATCTGGAAAGAGAAGAAAGGGAGAGCAGAGGAGAGGACGACAAAAGGGGAGCAAATGCAGGCAGTGGAAACGACGGAAGGAGGGGAGGAGAGAGGCACTCGGGAATCAGCCCTGAAAGCTCATTGACAGGGACGGCCCTGGGGAGAGCAGAGGGGCAGGGCGGAGGAGAGGCGAGGAGAGGAAAGGGGAGGAGAGGAGAGGAGAGGAAAGGGTGTTAGAATATTCTCCCTCCATTCGATTAGCCTACATCGTTTCATTGTCTTAGGTACTTATAAGCACCCCAGTAGGGTGTATACACCCAAGTTGGGGGTTGGGTTCCCAACCTTGTTGGATTCCAAAATTGGTTGGGCTCCCAATTATTGGAACCCCTAATAATCCCAACCAAAATTATTGGACCCACCAATAACCTTGGCTAGGATTATTGGACCCCCAATAAGTTGGCCAACTCAACTTATTGGGGTCACCAATAATTGTGGTCACCTCCCAACCAAACCCCCCCCTCCTACTCCTCACCTATGTATACCCACTCCTTTCCTAATACAATCATCACTTCAGTTTCTCACAGAGAGGAGAGGAAAGGGGAGGAAGGGAGAGGAAAGGGGAAGAGAGGAGAGGAAAAGGGACGAGAGGAGAGGAGAGGAAAGGGGAGGAGAGGAGAGGAGAGGAAAAGGGAGAAAATGCCGGCAATGGAAACGACGGAAGGACGGGCGAAAGGCAAGAAGGTGGGTGCGCAACGTGGGGGAAGGTGGGGGGGAAGAAGGTGGGTGCTGGCGGAACTAACAAGAACTCCAAGTCTTTGCAGTGCTGAAGGCTTGAAGACAAATGCCCCACGATGTGGTTGCTTCCAAGGTCTCTGATTTGGGGAGAGGAGCCGGGGGGGGGGGGAGGGGGGGGGGGGCGGGTTTGACGGAAAGGGTAAAACATGGGGATAAAGCCTTGCGGGGAAAAAAAATATCTTGAATGCGTTAAGGGCATGAAGCAAAACCTAGAAGGTCAAAGGCCTATCATGGGAAAAATCACGGCCTAAGTGTGACGCTTACAGAGACAGCAAGCTTCTGAAGGCCAAAGTGTGACGCTTACAGAGACTTCAGGCTTTTGAGACCACTGAGGGTGCTTGGTAGAGAGCCGTTGAGAGAGTTGGTGGCAAGGTGACTGAGACAAGAGCGGTTAACAACGGTGAGGAATGGTGAAGAAGAAGTCCACATGGTTACATATTCCTTTGAGTCGACTGATAAGTGCACTGAGAGCTGCTGAGAGACTACAGCAAGGAAACTGAGACAAGAGTGGTTAACAACGGCAAAGAACGGTCAAAAGTGCACTGAGGGTGCTTGGTAGAGAGCCGCTGAGAGAGCTGGCAGCAAGGCGACTGAGGGAAATGGGGAGAAACATGCAACGGTTAGCAACGGTTAGCAACAATCAAGACGGGAAAATAAAGCATGCTTGAATGGTGAGAAACATTACAGTAAATCCATGATTGGATGGATTAAAACAACGTATAGTGAGAGACACTACTATACATTGTGAACACACTGTAACTTAGCAACAATCTTACTTACAGATTCACTAGTTTCAAAAATTTTGACCCTATCCACTCAGGAATAGGCCCTTCCAACTTATTCGCCTCAAAAGACCTGAAGCAGGTAAGGAAGGGAGGTTTTTGAGAATTCTCAGAAAAATATTTGAAGGGGATAATGGAGAGAAAATGCGACCGGATCCACAGAGGAATAGGCCCTTCCTCCAACCCATTCCCCTCAACAGACCTGAAGGGAGTTCGGTTAGGGGTTGAAGGGTGGGAGCACGAAACGTGGACGAAGGGTGGGGAGGGAGGAGGCGGAGGGCGATAGGGAGGCATAGAAATGGGAGTGGGGAAAGGTAAGGGAGACTATAGTGTGTGAAGGAGCAGAGGGGCTGAAAGCGTATGGAGTGCGTGTGGGGAAAGGAAGAGCGGTCAAGGATGGGCAGAGGGGAGGAAAGCCGACAGGCGGGAGAGGAGAGGAGAGGAGAGGAGAGGAGAGGAGGGGAGGGGAGGGGAGGGGAAAGGAGAAGAGAGGAGAAGAGGGGAGGTGAGGGGAGGGGAGGGAAGGAGAGGGGATGGGAGGGGAGAGGAGAGGAGAGGAGATGAGAGGAGTGGAGAGGAGAGGAGAGGAGAGGAGTAAAAGAGGGGGCAAAGGATAGGCAGGGGGCAGAAAGTTCGGATTGAGATTATTGGAAGAGAGCAGCAGACAGGTTACTCCGGACAGGTTTAGTAAGGGAGGGACTGAGGGACAAACAGTTAGGAGGGTGAAATTTTGATGGAAGGATAGGTTGTGAGTGTGATTGAGACGTCTCAAAACCACACTTGTTACTTGTATCACACGGGTTGGCGGCAGAGGGACCCACAGGTAGGTGAGATTGGAGAGGGTTGATAGTGCCCCGGGGATGGGCCCTGTGAACGTGTTGTATCCCATGTCTCTGCCATGCACGGCGTGGATGGGAGTGGAAGAGGGGTTGAGAAGGTGGAAGTAAGGGGGGATAGTAGGAGCGGGGTGGAGAAAGGGGGAAGGCTGATAGCGCCCCTGGGATGGGCCCTGCGACATCCCTATCCACATATCCGAGGTTTGAGCATACAAGCCAGAGGGGAAAGGGCGGACAGTGCTTCTCTCTCGCTTGTCAATCACTGCATACCCTCTTCCCCCCCCCCCCCAATCTCTGCACCCCACTCTGTGCCTCCCCCTCCCCCCACCTCCCCGCCTCCCCTCCCCCTTACCCCCCCTCCCTGCACTCACTGTGGCTGCAGGCCACCATCCAATGCCACCAGCTGCACGCCCGGAATGCGGCCTCTTTGTCCCCCTTCGTTTGTTGTTCCCTCCCCAAGTTCCTCTCGCTATACTTCTTAGGCGCCTCAAAATTAGACTCGCGTTGTACACCACCTTCCTCCCCCCCATGCACTCACAGCCGCTGCAGATCATCCAATGCTGCCAGCTCCTTTGCTGGAAGGGGCGTGTTGGCAGCTCGCCCATGTCATCTAGTCACCTCATCCCCCACCTCAACCCTTCGCCTTCATCCCTCTTCTTCCCTCCCTTTCTCCCAGCACTCACAGCTGCTGCAGGCCATCCAGTGCCGCCAGCTCCTTCCCTGGGATCGGCCCCATGAGCATCTCGCTTGCCAAATTCCTGGTCAATCTCGAGAACTAGATGTCTCCCCTTTCCTCTCTCTCTATACCTCACTCCCCCCCATGCACTCACAGCTGCTGCAGGCCATCCACAGTCGCCAGCTCCTTGTTTGGAACGGGCCTGTTGGCAGCTCGCTTGCTACGTATTGCCACACCCCTTCCCCCCAACCCCCCCTTTCTCCAACGCACTCACAGCCGCTGCAGGCCATCCAATGCCGCCAGCTCCTTCCCTGGAATGGGCCCCTTGAGCAGCTCGTTCGCCAGCTTCCTAAACAGAGGGAGAGTGGGGTACAGTGCGGTGCGGTGGGATGGTGTGGTGTGGGGTAGGGTGGGGTGGGGTGGGGTGGGGCGGATGGGGAGGAACCAGAGGTGGCACTGTGTGGACGAGAAGAGAGGGGAAGGGGCCCCTTGAGCAGCTCGTTGTCCAGGTTCCTAAACTGAGGGGGAGTGGGGTGCGGTGGAGTGGGGCGGGGTGGGGTGGATGGGGAGGAACCGGAGGTGGCAACGTGTTGAAGAGAAGGGGTGGCCCCTTTGAGAGGCTCGTTCGCCAGGTTGCTGGACGGAGGGGGAGTTGGGAGGGTGGGGTGGGGTGGGATGGGGTAGGGTGGAGTGACCGGTCTTTTAGTCGACTCAAAAAGAGGAGGGGGAGTGGTGAAGTGGGGTGGGTGGGGGGGGGGGGAACCAGAGGTGGCAGCCTATTGAAGAGAGGGGGATGGGCCCGAGGCTCGTTGGTCTCGTTTCCGAGATTTCCTCGCGCACCTTAAAAAGTAAAGAGACATAATCGTTAAGCTGTTATTAAGGCGCCTAAAAAATAGGGGCATGGTCGTTTGCTTGCTGCTGAAAGGTGTCCATCCCATCTCACATGCGTATAACGCGTCCACCCCACCCCATCCCACATGCTTATAACGCGTCCACCCCATCTCACATGCTTATCACGCGTCCATCTTTGCTGCATCCGAGGGGTGGAGACAACATGGGGTCACAGGGCTCCATGGTATCCTCCCAGTACGGCAGCACCAAGAGGCTGTTGGCCCTCAGCGCGTCCCTTAAAGCCAACAACGCGGCCTCTGCAAGGGGGGAGAGAGGGGCACGGAACGGAAGAGTGGAGGTGTGGCATCCCCAGGGGTCACAGGGGTCGAAGCTATCCTCCCAGTACCGCAGCGCCAAGAGGCTGTTGGCCCTCAGCGCGTCCCTTAAAGCCAACAACGCGGCCTCTGCAAGGGGGGAGAGAGGGGCACGGAACGGAAGAGTGGAGGTGTGGCATCCCCAGGGGTCACAGGGGTCGAAGCTATCCTCCCAGTACCGCAGCGCCAAGAGGCTGTTGGCCCTCAGCGCGTCCCTTAAAGCCAACAACGCGGCCCCTTTAAGAGGAGAAGTGGGGAGGGGGGGCAAGGAGGGGGGGCGAGGAGGAGGGGCAAGGAGGGGGGGCAAGGAGGGGGACAAGGAGGGGGGCAAGGAGGAGGGGCAAGGAGGAGGGGCAAGGAGGGGGGGAAAGGAGGGGGAACGGGTCAGGAGGCCACGTGGGACAACGTCACGTCACAGGGGTCGAAGGTGCTCTCCCAGTAAGGCAGCTCCAAGGGACTGCTGACCCTCAACGCGTCCCTCAGTGCGACGGGAGAGAAATAGGCAGGGGTGCACGCCACCTTGTAACGAGGAACTCACTATCGGGGCTCGTCGGAGCGGCCGTGACGGGGGGAGCGGCGGTGACGGGTGGTGGTGCGGCGTTGACTCCGGAGGGAGCGGCGGTAACGAGCAGAGTCGCGGCGGCGATTGCAATCAGCCTGAGCGCAATCAGCGCGGTTGACGCGCCGCGGTTCGCCATAGCCAGATCGTGCTTCTTCTTTTCGCGACACAAAAGACTGGAAGAGAGTGCCTGGAAGTGTCGCAAAAAGCAAAGCACTCTTTTGCTAAAGTTTTTCCTCTTAGCTGCAGCCCACCCTAACGCTTAATGGCTAGAAGTGTCGCAAAAAACAAGCACTTGTTGTTCGTGTTTCTTGTTTTTGCGACACAAAAGACTCGAAGAGAGTGACCTTTTTCGGATGGCCAACAAGTGCCTCCAAACGATTTCCTATCGCTTGGAGCTCAACGATTTCACAGTGCGGAGAGGGGAAATGACGGAACGGGCGGAGAGGGGAAATGGCGGAACCGGCGGAGAGGGGGAATGGCGGAACGGGCGGAGAGGGGAAATGGCGGAACGGGAGGAGAGGGGAAATGGCGGAACGGGAAAATGCCGGAACGGGAATGGCGGAGCGGGGAAATGGCTCAGCCTGGGGGGTTTGGGTCTGGTTGTTTGTGAGCCTGGTACGCCAAGAAGGACCGCGGGAAATGTCTCCGGAGACGCTGGACAGTGAAATGGTCAATAAGGGGGAGCTTCGGCGTCGGCGCGCGTAGTGCTGAGGCGAGTAACCGCAATTCCTGATCCGCAAGTAGTAGCGTTACTGCAGCAGCTGCTTCTGCTTATCAGTTACCAAAGATCAAAGAACAGACAACGGGTGGAATGCAATTAAACTGCTCCTCTTTTGAATTTATCGAAAAAGGACGGCACGAGAATGGTTCAATGGACCTCCTGCCATCCCGTCGAACGGTTGGTCAGGGATAACGAGTTGCTGTTCCTAAACACCAGGTCGCAGGAGACCTACTAGGTGAGGTCGCGTTCTGGAAGTTTGCCCATCCCCAAGTCTACCCATCCGTCACGGTTTTGGGCAATTCTGTGGGCAAACTTCCTGATCGCCGAAGTTTGCCCATCCGACTTCACAACCCTGCGACCACTGTTGCGATCAACGAGTAACCAAACGAAACACTAAATTGCTCGCATCAAATCCGGAGCCGCGCTTGCCAATCCCGTACCCTGACCTGCGACGCGAAGTTGGGTCGCAGGCGTCAACGATGGCAGCCGGCCACGCTGACGCGTCGGTCTGTCGACCACTCCATGAATTTTTCCAAAAATTGTGGGCTACCATCTCTTCTGGGCTTAATGCGCTACCATCAAAATTTTGGGCTCGTGCTTTTCGGATGCTTGGGTTTCCACGTAGGTGGTGGGCTTTCCAGTTGCCCCCGCCTTGTTTTTTCCGCCATGCGGGCAGTTGCGTGTTGTTCCCTTGAAGACCAGACGTCAAAACGTGCCGGAGTGGGACGCTACACTGCTGCCAATTCCTGACGTTTCATGTGTTCGCACTTCGTCGTGGGCCCACGTCGCATGCATCCTGGCCGGCCGAAAGCGGGATGGGCAAAGTTCTCATCGCATGGGCAAAGTTAGAATCGTGTGGGCAAACATTGAAATGTGTTTTTAGACATTCCGAGCCGCGTGGGCAACCTTCGTGGATGGGCAAACTTTCTGAACGTGATCTGACTTCCTGGACCTCTATTGGCGACGGACACGGAAGAAAAGTGGGAAATTCGGAAACTGGCTCGTGCTGTATTGACTTAAAACGGTTCGTGACGGTACGAACAGGGCTTACCTTAGGGTTTTTGCCTACACGCCAGATCTGGGTTCTGCTCCCTCGCGACCTGGACAACACGGGTATTTGTTAAGAGTCACCCGTTAGAACCCGGGTATGTAAAAAACATACACGTCAGATTCCGGATTTTTTTTTCGTAATGTCGAAATGCATGGTTTTATGTGAATAAGCCTTGATTGACAGAAAACAAAAAGAACCCAGGGGTACGACCAGATTTAATATTCAGCACGAAAACACACTAACACACCGACCTCATCTACTTGCTATGACGCCTACCTTTCAGCATGTGCTCAAAGTGTTGGTGAACATGGGCATCTTGCTACAGATTCGGAGACACCTGCTCAAGCTAAAAGACTTGGCGGAATTAGACACAGCTGAGAGCGAGCGTGAACAAATTTCAATCTGTAATGCCTAAGGATGAAAACCAGCACTTGTACTTGACATAACTCACCTGGAGGCTTGTTCTTGAGCCGTGACAGCAACTCTCCCTCTCCCTCAGAGAAGTAGAGGTGGGGGGGGGGAGGGGGGGTGGGGGGTTTGAGGGGGGGGGGGGGGGGGTTCGCCAGCGCTAGAACTCGGGTTTTCGAAAATCGTACCCGTCAAATAAGTGTACTTGGCAAACCTTACACGTCACTTCACGGGTACAAGTCAAAAAAACACCCGCTAGAATCAGGGTTTATGAAATCTGAACACGTCAGATTCCGACTGTGGGAAAAAACCACCCGTTATTCTGCCAAAATATGGGTAATTATCCATAAAAAACAAGCCCTGGGTACAAAGCGGTGAATAAAATTACCGCTCTTAAAGCCCAGGTCCCAAATTAGCAAGGTTGATCATCAAACTGGGCCCAGTTTGATGTGGTTCGGGTTGGTAACCCAATCCACCCTCACCTAGGCCGGGAAAATGCCGAGGGGCTAACCACCCCTTTTCGCACAAGAACATGCCACCTTCCCTGACAAACCAGCCAGCCAGGGACGGAAATAGCATGGGCCCAGTTTGATGGTAATTTGGGACGAGGAGGTAGACAGATCCCACAAAGTCCACCCATTTACGTCGGGGAGTTAGGAGCAAAGCGCGTACTTCCAGATATGGACGAAAAAGCCAAGACAAGTCTCAGGTGATGAATTGACTCTGTCGCAAGTGAGGCATCAGAATAGGGTTTAGGGTGATGCGAGAGGATAATGACAAGGCAAGAGGCGAGCGGCTCTCGCTGGAGGAGAGGCGACGCGATAGGAGAGGCTTTGCGGTAGGAGAGAGGGGACGCGAAGGAATGTAGCGACTCGATAAGAGAGAGGCCTCGCGGTAGGATAGAGTGAGACGAGGCGAGGGGAGAGATGTGAGCTGAGAGGAGAGAAGTAAGGCGTGAGGAGACAGACGGCGCGGGAGGACAGAGGCGACGCAAGAGGAGATGGGCGGATCGAAATTCGAGAGGCGACGCCAGAGGAAATAGCGACACGTGGTGAGAAGAGAGAGGTAAGGCGAGAGGACAGGCGATGCGTGAGGAGACAGTCGACGCGGGAGGACAGAGTCTAGGCAAGGATAGAGGCTAGGCGAGACGAGAGCGGCGACGAGACAGGGGAGAGACGACGCGAGAGGAGAGGAGCGAGGCGTATGGTAGAGGCATGGCGAGAGAAGTGAGCAACACGCGAAAGGCACGGGCTAGACATGGCTGAAAGCGGCGGCGCGAGAGGAGGTAGGCGAGGAGAGGGGATAAAGGCGAGGAGGGAGGAGAGAGGTGGCGGGAGGTGAGACAGGAGACGCGGGAGGAGAGAGGTGGCGGGAGAGGAGAGAGGCGCCTAAAGAGAGGAGAGCGGCGAGGGGGGATGAGGGGAAGCACCGCGAGATATGAGGCGGGTTGAGAAGGGGAGCAATGCAACATACGAAGCGAAGTGGGAGGGGGGGCCACGCGGGATAAGAAGCGTGGCGGAGAGGGGAGGCAAGGCAGAGAGGGGAGGCGAGGTAGAGAGGGGAGGCGAGGCTGAGAGGGGAGGCGAGGCGGAGAGGGGAGGCGAGGCGGAGAGGGGAGGCGAGGCAGAGAGGGGAGGTGAGGCAGAAGGGGGAGGCGTGGCGGAGAGGGGAGGCAAGGCAGAGAGGGGAGGCGAGGCGGAGAGGGGAGGCGAGGCAGACAGGGGAGGCAAGGCGGAGAGGGGAGGCGAGGCGCAGAGGGGAGGCGTGGCGGAGCGGGGAGGCGAGGTGGAGAGGAGAGGTGAGGCAGAGAGTGGAGGCGTGGCGGAGAGGGGAGGCGAGGCGAAGAGGGGAGGCAAGGCAGAGAGGGGAGGCGTGCGGAGAGGGGAGGCGAGGTGGAGGGGGAGGCGAGGCAGAGGGGGGAGGCGAGGCAGAAAGGGGAGGGTGGTTAGCGTACAGGGACAGAGGGGAAGCAAGGAGGGCTAGTGCATGGGCCAAGAGGGGACGGCGGGGTGGTTAGCGCACAGGGACAGAGGGCCAGCATGGAGGATTAATGCACCAGGGGGAGAGGGGAACTCTGGGTGGTTAGCGCTCAGGGAAAGAGGGGCAGCAAGGGGGGTTACTGCACAGGGTGAGAAGGGAAGGCAGGGTGGTTAGTGCACAGGGAGAGAGGGGCAGCAAGGGGGGTTACTGCACGGGGTGAGAGGGGAAGGCAGAGTGGTTAGCGTACAGGGACAGAGGGGCAGCAAGGAGGGTTAGAGCACGGGGTGAGAGGGGAAGGCAGGGTGGTTAGCGCACAGGGACAGAGGGGCGGCAAGGTGGGTCATGGTATGGGGTGATGACTAAGGGTTATGGGATAAAGGCGACACGAGTTTCCCACAAAGACCCACCCACCTCCCCCTCACCACTGCCCCCCCCCCCCCCCCCCCCTTCTTCTACGTCTCCACTTCATCATGACCCGACTCCCAGTTTCGGGCTCCAGGACCAGCACAATGGCGCATCCCACCATAAACTCCCTCGGCTACGCTTTCTTTTGCGGAATGCAACGACTGGGCCTTTGTGCTCAGATTCCATCCCAAAAGCAACTACAAAAGACTATCACCGGCACATGCATGATCTAGGCAATGCAGCAAAGTGTATTTTGAGCCATCGGCCAAACCCAATGACTTTCACTAGGTTAGTTGAGAAACTGTCAGGAGGCATCCCGCCTTGCAATATCGGCATGGAGGGAAATGAGAGCCACATCTTCTCCCACAACCCCCCACGCACAGTGCATGTTTGTAGTATTATACATAGAATGTAACATGCTATCAAAATATGAGTAGCAAAGCTCCGAGCTAGTTGGCTGGCATTCTTGAATAATTACACCCCGGATTCAAAAAGATGCTGCAATAGGAAACCCCCACCAGAGAGGAGTGGCTGAGGGGAGCAAACCGAGACAAAACAGCACCCTGGTGAACAGGGGAGACAACCTGCAAGCCATAACGAAGCAGAGAACAAACAAGGATACTAAGACAAGAGTGGGGAGCATGGATGCGATGATGACGAATCCAAGTGAAGGTGCGAAGGGGGAAGGTTCATCTGGGGCTAGTGATTACGACTCTTTGCCTGATGTGTCGAGAGGAGATGGACGACGCGGGTTAGGATAGATCCTAAGTCTGAGAGGATAGGACAGGGTGGTAAGTGCACAGGGCCAGAGGGGAGGCAATGTTGGATAGTGCAACGGGGGGAGAGGGAAAGTCAGAGTGGTTAGCGCACAGGGTCAGAGGGGCAGCAAGGAGGGTTAGGGCACGGGGTGAGAGGGGAGGACAGGGTGGTTAGCGCACAGGGACAGAGGGGCAGCAAGGTGGGTTAGGGCACCAAGGGGAGAGGGGAAGCCAGGGTGTTTAGTGCACAGGGACAGAGGGGCAGAGAGGTGGGTTAGTGCATGGGGTGAGATGGGAAAGCAGGATGGTTAGTGCACAGGGACAAAGGGGCAGCAAGGTGGGTTAGTGCACGGGGGGAGAAGGGAAGTCAGAGTGGTCAGCACACAGGGACAGAGGGGCAGCAAGGAGGGTTAGGGCCCGGGGTGAGAGGGGAGGACAGGGTGGTTAGCGCACAGGGACAGAGGGGCAGCAAGGTGGGTTAGGGCACCAAGGGGAGAGGGGAAGCCAGGGTGTTTAGTGCACAGGGACAGAGGGGCAGAGAGGTGGGTTAGTGCATGGGGTGAGATGGGAAAGCAGGATGGTTAGTGCACAGGGACAAAGGGGCAGCAAGGTGGGTTAGTGCACGGGGGGAGAAGGGAAGTCAGAGTGGTCAGCGCACAGGGACAGAGGGGCAGCAAGGAGGGTTAGGGCCCGGGGTGAGAGGGGAGGACAGGGTGGATAGCGCACAGGGACAGAGGGGCAGCAAGGTGGGTTAGGGCACCAAGGGGAGAGGGGAAGCCAGGGTGTTTAGTGCACAGGGACAGAGGGGCAGAGAGGTGGGTTAGTGCATGGGGTGAGACGGGAAAGCAGGGTGGTTAGTGCACAGGGACAAAGGGGCAGCAAGGTGGGTTAGTGCACGGGGGGGGGAAGGGAAGTCAGAGTGGTCAGCGCACAGGGACAGAGGGGCAGCAAGGTGGGTTGGAGCACGGGGTGAGAGGGGTAGGCAGGGTTAGCTAACAGGGACAGAGGGGCAGCAGGGTGGGTTAGTGCACTGGGGGGAGAGGGGAAGCCAGGGTGTTTACAGCCTCACACTGTAAACTGTCTTGCTTCCCCTCTCACCCCACGCCCTACCCAGCCTTACTTCCCCACTCACCCCACGCCCTGCCCAGCCTTGCTTCCCCTCTCTCCTCACACCGTAAACTGTCTTGCGGTCCCTCTCACCCCACGCCCTATCCAGCCTTGCTTCCCCTCTCACCCCACGCCCTATCCAGCCTTGCTTCCCCTCTCACCCCACGCCCTACCCAGCGGTGCTTCCCCTCTCACCCCACGCCCTATCCAGCCTTGCTTCCCCTCTTACCCCATGCCCTACCCAGCCTTGCTTCCCCGCTCACCTCACACTCTAAACTGCCTTGCTACCCAGTCTTTCTTTCCCGCGCCCTGCCCAGCCCGACTTCCCCTCTCTCCCCACACAGTATAAACTGCCTTGCTTCCCCTCTCTATCCACGCCCCACCCAGCCTTGCTTCCCCGCTCACTCCACACTATAAACTGTCTTGCTTCCCCTCTCACCCCACGCCATATCCAGCCTTGCTTCCCCACTCACCCCCCCCCCTACCAGCCTTGCTTCCCCTCTCAGACCACACTATAAACTGTCCTGCTTCCCCTCTGACCCCACGCACTCCCCAGCCTTGATTCCCGTCTCACCCCACGCCATATCCAGCCTTGCGTCCCTTCTCATCCCACGCCCTATCTATCCTTGCTCCCCCTCCCACCCCACGCCCTATCCAGCATCCCTTCACTTCTCACCCCGCGCCCTATCCAGCCTTGCTTCCCCACACCCCGCGCGCTGTCCACTCCCTAACCACCTCCCCAACCGGTCCGTATGTAGACTTGCCCCCCCTCGCACCCTGCTCCTATTGACCATTGCTGCATCGCAAACTCACCCCGAACTCACCCACCCTTGATCCCTTTCTCGTCCCGCGTCCTACAAACGCAGTACACTAGCCTGTCCACTCTTGCGCCACTTCCCCAACCACACCCTGTTTACCATTCCTCCCCTTCTCACCCCACGTCCTGTGTGCCCGTGCTATCCCGCCCAACATCGGCTCTATGTGGCGTGGCCATCCCTCCCAACCCAAGCGCAGAGGACCCTGGCTATTCCCCCCAACCAATGCTGTAAATAGGGTGGCAAACCCTCCCACCCCAAGCTATATTTTCGGCAGATGGATACCAGTTGCGACCCTCCTCCCGTCCCTGCGCCCTCTCCCTCCGTTCCTCCTCCTCCATCGCAGCGTGCTTCTTGCCCTCTCCCCCTATCCGCCTGTCTATCCCCTGTGACAGCGCTGCTATTTTCCTCTCTCCGCCGGCCCCACTCTCTCTCTCTCTCCCTCTCTCTCTCTCTCTCTCTCTCTCTCTCTCTCTCTCTCTCTCTCTCTCTCCTCTCTCTCTCTCTCTCTCTCTCTTCTCTCTCTCTCTCTCTCTCTCTCTCTCTCTCTCTCTCTCTCTCTCTCTCTCTCTCTCTCTCTCTCTCTCTCTCTCTCTCTCTCTCTCTCTCTCTCTTCCCGTCTTCTCTTTGCCCTCTCCGCAGTTTCGTGTTTCGCCTCGGCCTGTCGGCGTCCATCTGCCATTCCCTAATAGCGCATTTATGCTTACAAGCTTTTATTAGATGTAGTGTCAGCTAGGGCACGGGTCCACCTCCGCCCTCTTCCGGCGGGCTACGCCCACGGCCGCGCGTCTTTTCTGTTCCTCCGGCGATTGCGGCACGCCGCGCCGCACACTAGCCGCACACACTTGCGATGCGGCTTTTCCGGGCGTCTTTTCTAACCTTATCCGCTCAGCCACGCTCCTGCCAGGTGGAATTGTCCAATATGGCGAGGTTACTTATGCTGCGGGAATCTGTCGGGCGCGTCTAGGTAGATACTGTTCTTGTCCCAATCTTGTCCAATGACAAGCGTGCGTAGTCTGAGTTACGCCTGGGCTATTGAGGGTGCTCCTCGCTTGTTTCTATATGGGCGTGAGACATACAGTTCCGAACTCTCACGTGTGGACGTCCACCTCTCCCTACCCATTCAATATTTGTTAGAATGTATTTCCAACATATCAAACTGCTCTCCACCTTGCCAAAGTTCGAACTTACTTGGTTATGTAACCGTATGTTCCACGCCCTGAGCGTGGTTGGTGCTGGTGTGCTCGCGAGCTGGCGAGGGGTGGTTGCAGCAATCCCTAGCGCGCATGAATGCTGGCGATGCACAGGTGATTTTGTCCTTTTCCCGCGGGCACATTTTATTGGGTTTGCATTTTGGTTTGCGAAGTTCGCACTCTCTCAAATCCCCCTGGGTGTTTCGTATTCCTGTTTCGCGAGTACTCCTTCCTTCGCGGCCAAAATGGGCCAGAAATCCCTGCAACCGAGCCTCCACCCAACCTCCTCCGAGCCTGGACCAGAGGGCGTTGACTTTCACGAGCTAATTTGGGACCTGGGCTTTAAACGCGGAAACGCGTACTCGACCGAGCAAACCACGGGGAAACTGAACTCTCGTGAGGCGCCCAGCCAGATGTCGGTGGACTTCTCGATTCCCTGCTGGTCAACGCCTGTGAGGTACGCGCTAGGAACTGCTTCAGCGCGACTGACAGTACGCATTCGAGCATTCGGTGATGCAGGAAACAACTTTTACCAGAACCGCATTTCTCCAATCATGATCCCTCCCATGTGGGTAAATATAATCCCTCAACATATCATCAGCTTCAGATGGTTATACCATTTCAATTTACACGGCATTTCAGACACAGCATTGCATGCAGATATATGCTCTCCATTGTGCACATACCACATTCCTTGCTCAAATCCCTTCCGGATGTGCTGTGCCCACAGTTCTGAATGAGTACCATATATGTGGGCCATTCCATCCATGCCACCACCACCCTTCCATTGTTTCAAGAAACCTCCAAACTCCTCCTTTGTTACTACTAGTTGGACCGTTTTGCCCTCACCAGCACGGCCAAGCCCAACCCAACAGCACACGCGGCAATAGCTGGCAGTGCAACAGTCGCCACCCGAGACACAGACCAATCAGAGGTGGGGGAATCAGAGAGTGAGGAGTAGTGGGAGTGGTGGGGCAAGGAGGAGTAAGGGCGATGGGAGGAGCGATGGCGTGCGGAGGAGGGGGTATCGGAATCGAGCGAGTCGCGAAGGAGACGACTCAAGGAGTCAATCTGTGAACGGAAACACATGGAGGAGTGAAAGACAGAGAGGGAAGAGGGGAAGGGACAAGGGTGTTGGGACAAGGGTGTGTCGGAATCGAGTGATTCAAGTCAAGCTGGAGAGGATTGTGGCTGGGAAAAGGAAGGATCAACAGGGAAAGGGCAGAAGGAGGGGGGGAGGGGAGGGGGGACATATGAGCGGGACGAGTGGCGAGGCATCGAGACAAAAATGAATGACCCTTGTAAACCCCTAAACCTTCCACCTCAACCCAAGGCGATTTCCGAGGGCGCTCAAATTATGATCCCTCACCTCAGACCCGAGCCTTCTTTGGTTGTTGGCGATCTCCCTCACTTCAAGCACCAGTGCTGCTGCTGCTGGCACTGGTACTGGGGCCATTGCTACAAAGCCCTCTGAACCGCTCCCCACTCCATTCACTCCAACTCCGTTCACATCGTAACAATGATTGTTACCACCCATGCCCACTGTCGTTACACCAGCAGCACCATTCATCAGTCCCATCACACCACCCCCAGCACCAGCAGCACCAGCAGCAGCAGCAGAAACAGGAGTGAGCCTGCTTCCCCCCCCCACTCCCCCCTTTTCCACCACTACCACCACCACTCCCACCATTGCCCCCTCCATTTCTCCTCTCCGCCCCATTCCCCGTCACAATATCAATGGGCCCTGCCAGCTCCCCCTTGCTCCCGCCTCTCCCTCCCAACCTCCCGTTCCCTCCTGCCACAAGCTGGCCAGTCAACGCTGACGTGGCAGGACTCAATTGGCTGCTGCCGCCATTCCCCACCGCAGTCCCGTTTCTCGTCACAGCACCCCCTGCTCCAGTCGAAATGATATCCAACCGTGACAGCAGCCCATCCAATCGGTCGGCGACAGCTGTCAGCTGCTCAGTGATCCGAGACTGGGAGCGAATCAGAGATGCCACTTCTTCACCCGAAGCTTTCCCCTCCAATTCCTTCTCCTCCCCAACAGATTTCCTACTTCCGTTCCCACCGCCAGTGCAGCTTCCTGCTCTTCTGCCGCCTCCCCCCTCCCCTGCACTATCCGCATGCCTGCCCCCCCACCTTCCCTCCTGTGCCGGCGGGAAGGCGTGTCAGCACCAGCAGCAGAGCCGTTCTGGTTGGGGTTGGGTGACGTCTCCAGGCTGTCTGGAGAGGCGTTGATGCGGCCTCCCTGATGATCCTTGCTCCAATTGCTGATGGGGCCATGGGATGGCATGGCATGGGATGGCAGGAAACGGGATGGCATGTCATGGGATGGCATGTGTCAACAGTAGGAACAGAGCTGCTCTAGTTCTGGTTGGGGTTGGGTGAGGTCTCCAAGCTGTCTGGAGAGGCGTTGATGCGCCCCCCTGACGGTCCTTGCTCCAATTTCTGTGGGTATGGCATGGGATGGCATGGCATGGCATTGCGGTTGGGTGACGACTCCAGGCTGTCTGGCGAGGCGTTGATGCGCCCCTTCTGACGACCCTTGCTCCAATTTCTGTAATGGGGGTATGGGATGGCATGGGATGGCATGGGATGGCATAGGATAACATGGGAAGGTGTGTCAGCAGCAACAGAGCCGCACTGTTTGAGGTTGGGATTGGGGTTGGGTGACGTCTCCTCTCCAGGCTGTCTGGAGAGGCGTTGATGCCCCCCCCCCTGACGGTCCTTGCTCCAATTCCTGGTGGGAGCATGGGACGGCATGGGATGGCATAGGATAACATGGGAAGGTGTGAAAGCAACAGCAGAGCTGCTGTGCTTGGGGTTGGGGTTGGTTGGGTGACGTCTCCAGGCTGTCTGGAGAGGCGTTGATGCGCCCCCCCTGATGGTCCTTGCTCCAATTTCTGTGATGGGGGTATGGCATGAGATGGCATGGCATAGGATAGCATGGGAAGGCATGGCATACGATAGCAAGAGAGGATGGGAACTCACGATTGGTCGAACTTGTGGCCGAGGGTCCAGGAGGAGGAGACGAGAGGCGGGGTGAGGGAAGGAGAGTCAAGGAGAGAGCGCTTACAACTAGTGAAAACAGTGGGTAGGCGAGAACGAGAACTCACGACTGGTCGAACTTGTGGCCGAGGGTCCAGGAGGAGGAGACGAGAGGTGGGGTGAGGGAGGAGGAGAGAGGCGCGCCCATGGGGCTGCCTGACGGCAGGAGATGGTCCGCCACTCTGAACCGCTCCTTGAGGACATTTTCTGCTGATAGGGCCTGGAGTTGAGCGCATCGGACACGGGGGACAAGAAAAGATGAGAAAGGTGGGCATGAATGAGGCGCGGCTGCCTGACGTCAGCAGGTGGTTCGCCACTCTGAAGGGCTCCTTGAGCACGTTATCCGCTGATAGAGCCTGGAGGTGATGGGTTGGGATGCAAGCAGCAGTGTGGTAAGCAGTGAGGAAGGTGGCCGCAAACAGGAGATGGGCGCACCCATGGGGCTGCCTGATGGAAGCAGGCGGTCCGCCACTCTGAACCGCTCCGTGAGTACGTTCCCGGCTGATAGAGCCTGGAGTTGGAAGCACGGGAAGGGCGGGAAGAGGTCTGAAAGGTGGGGACGGGCAGGAGGGAGGAGGAGATGGGCGCGCCCATGGGGCTGCCTGACGGAAGTAGGTGGTCCGCCACTCTGAACCGCTCCCTGAGGACGTTCTCGGTCGATAGAGCCTGTGGGCGGTGGGTGAAAGCAAGGAGAGAAACAGGATGGCACATGGAGAGTGTGCGCCCATAGGGGTGAATGAGGGCAGCTGGTGGTTCTCCACTCTGAATCACTCCATCAGAACGTTCTCAAGTGAAAAAGCCTGGGGTTGGAAGCACAAGAAGAGGTGGGAAGTCTCAGCTGGCAAGGCCTGAGGTGGAAAAGGCTGGGAAGGGTAAAAAAAATGTTTAAAAGGTTATCAGAGGTCGACTCGATGCTCCAAAGGCGCTAGTGAAGCACACCCCACCCCACCCCACTCTCACGTGTGGACGTCCACCTCTCCCTACCCATTCAATATTTGTTAGAATGTATTTCCAACATATCAAACCGCTCTCCACCTTGCCAAAGTTCGAACTTACTTGGTTATGTAACCGTATGTTCCACGCCCTGAGCGTGGTTGGTGCTGGTGTGCTCGCGAGCTGGCGAGGGGTGGTTGCAGCAATCCCTAGCGCGCATGAATGCTGGCGATGCACAGGTGATTTTGTCCTTTTCCCGCGGGCACATTTTATTGGGTTTGCATTTTGGTTTGCGAAGTTCGCACTCTCTCAAATCCCCCTGGGTGTTTCGTATTCCTGTTTCGCGAGTACTCCTTCCTTCGCGGCCAAAATGGGCCAGAAATCCCTGCAACCGAGCCTCCACCCAACCTCCTCCGAGCCTGGACCAGAGGGCGTTGACTTTCACGAGCTAATTTGGGACCTGGGCTTTAAACGCGGAAACGCGTACTCGACCGAGCAAACCACGGGGAAACTGAACTCTCGTGAGGCGCCCAGCCAGATGTCGGTGGACTTCTCGATTCCCTGCTGGTCAACGCCTGTGAGGTACGCGCTAGGAACTGCTTCAGCGCGACTGACAGTACGCATTCGAGCATTCGGTGATGCAGGAAACAACTTTTACCAGAACCGCATTTCTCCAATCATGATCCCTCCCATGTGGGTAAATATAATCCCTCAACATATCATCAGCTTCAGATGGTTATACCATTTCAATTTACACGGCATTTCAGACACAGCATTGCATGCAGATATATGCTCTCCATTGTGCACATACCACATTCCTTGCTCAAATCCCTTCCGGATGTGCTGTGCCCACAGTTCTGAATGAGTACCATATATGTGGGCCATTCCATCCATGCCACCACCACCCTTCCATTGTTTCAAGAAACCTCCAAACTCCTCCTTTGTTACTACTAGTTGGACCGTTTTGCCCTCACCAGCACGGCCAAGCCCAACCCAACAGCACACGCGGCAATAGCTGGCAGTGCAACAGTCGCCACCCGAGACACAGACCAATCAGAGGTGGGGGAATCAGAGAGTGAGGAGTAGTGGGAGTGGTGGGGCAAGGAGGAGTAAGGGCGATGGGAGGAGCGATGGCGTGCGGAGGAGGGGGTATCGGAATCGAGCGAGTCGCGAAGGAGACGACTCAAGGAGTCAATCTGTGAACGGAAACACATGGAGGAGTGAAAGACAGAGAGGGAAGAGGGGAAGGGACAAGGGTGTTGGGACAAGGGTGTGTCGGAATCGAGTGATTCAAGTCAAGCTGGAGAGGATTGTGGCTGGGAAAAGGAAGGATCAACAGGGAAAGGGCAGAAGGAGGGGGGGAGGGGAGGGGGGACATATGAGCGGGACGAGTGGCGAGGCATCGAGACAAAAATGAATGACCCTTGTAAACCCCTAAACCTTCCACCTCAACCCAAGGCGATTTCCGAGGGCGCTCAAATTATGATCCCTCACCTCAGACCCGAGCCTTCTTTGGTTGTTGGCGATCTCCCTCACTTCAAGCACCAGTGCTGCTGCTGCTGGCACTGGTACTGGGGCCATTGCTACAAAGCCCTCTGAACCGCTCCCCACTCCATTCACTCCAACTCCGTTCACATCGTAACAATGATTGTTACCACCCATGCCCACTGTCGTTACACCAGCAGCACCATTCATCAGTCCCATCACACCACCCCCAGCACCAGCAGCACCAGCAGCAGCAGCAGAAACAGGAGTGAGCCTGCTTCCCCCCCCACTCCCCCCTTTTCCACCACTACCACCACCACTCCCACCATTGCCCCCTCCATTTCTCCTCTCCGCCCCATTCCCCGTCACAATATCAATGGGCCCTGCCAGCTCCCCCTTGCTCCCGCCTCTCCCTCCCAACCTCCCGTTCCCTCCTGCCACAAGCTGGCCAGTCAACGCTGACGTGGCAGGACTCAATTGGCTGCTGCCGCCATTCCCCACCGCAGTCCCGTTTCTCGTCACAGCACCCCCTGCTCCAGTCGAAATGATATCCAACCGTGACAGCAGCCCATCCAATCGGTCGGCGACAGCTGTCAGCTGCTCAGTGATCCGAGACTGGGAGCGAATCAGAGATGCCACTTCTTCACCCGAAGCTTTCCCCTCCAATTCCTTCTCCTCCCCAACAGATTTCCTACTTCCGTTCCCACCGCCAGTGCAGCTTCCTGCTCTTCTGCCGCCTCCCCCCTCCCCTGCACTATCCGCATGCCTGCCCCCCCCACCTTCCCTCCTGTGCCGGCGGGAAGGCGTGTCAGCACCAGCAGCAGAGCCGTTCTGGTTGGGGTTGGGTGACGTCTCCAGGCTGTCTGGAGAGGCGTTGATGCGGCCTCCCTGATGATCCTTGCTCCAATTGCTGATGGGGCCATGGGATGGCATGGCATGGGATGGCAGGAAACGGGATGGCATGTCATGGGATGGCATGTGTCAACAGTAGGAACAGAGCTGCTCTAGTTCTGGTTGGGGTTGGGTGAGGTCTCCAAGCTGTCTGGAGAGGCGTTGATGCGCCCCCCCTGACGGTCCTTGCTCCAATTTCTGTGGGTATGGCATGGGATGGCATGGCATGGCATTGCGGTTGGGTGACGACTCCAGGCTGTCTGGCGAGGCGTTGATGCGCCCCTTCTGACGACCCTTGCTCCAATTTCTGTAATGGGGGTATGGGATGGCATGGGATGGCATGGGATGGCATAGGATAACATGGGAAGGTGTGTCAGCAGCAACAGAGCCGCACTGTTTGAGGTTGGGATTGGGGTTGGGTGACGTCTCCTCTCCAGGCTGTCTGGAGAGGCGTTGATGCCCCCCCCCCTGACGGTCCTTGCTCCAATTCCTGGTGGGAGCATGGGACGGCATGGGATGGCATAGGATAACATGGGAAGGTGTGAAAGCAACAGCAGAGCTGCTGTGCTTGGGGTTGGGGTTGGTTGGGTGACGTCTCCAGGCTGTCTGGAGAGGCGTTGATGCGCCCCCCCTGATGGTCCTTGCTCCAATTTCTGTGATGGGGGTATGGCATGAGATGGCATGGCATAGGATAGCATGGGAAGGCATGGCATACGATAGCAAGAGAGGATGGGAACTCACGATTGGTCGAACTTGTGGCCGAGGGTCCAGGAGGAGGAGACGAGAGGCGGGGAGAGGGACGGAGAGTCAAGGAGAGAGCGCTTACAACTAGTGTAAACAGTGGGCAGGCGAGAACGAGAACTCACGACTGGTCGAACTTGTGGCCGAGGGTCCAGGAGGAGGAGACGAGAGGTGGGGTGAGGGAGGAGGAGAGAGGCGCGCCCATGGGGCTGCCTGACGGCAGGAGATGGTCCGCCACTCTGAACCGCTCCTTGAGGACATTTTCTGCTGATAGGGCCTGGAGTTGAGCGCATCGGACAGGGGGGACGAGAAAGGATGAGAAAGGTGGGCATGAATGAGGCACGGCTGCCTGACGTCAGTAGGTGGTCCGCCACTCTGAACCGCTCCTTGAGCACGTTCTCCGCTGACCGAGCCTGGTGCCTATGGGGCTGCCTGACGGAAGTAGGTGGTCCGCCACACTGAACCGCTCATTCAGCATGTTCTCCGCTGACAGAGCCTGGAGGTGATGGGTTGGGATGGGACGCAATGCAAGCAGCAGTGTGGTCAGCAGTGAGGAAGGTGGCCGCAAACAGGAGATGGGCGCGCCCATGGGGCTGCCTGACGGAAGTAGGTGGTCCGCCACTCTGAACCGCTCCTTGAGGACGCTCTCGGCCGATAGAGCCTGTGGGCGGTGGGTGAAAGCAAGGAAAGAAACAAAATAACAAATGGAGGGTGTGCGCCCATAGGGGTGAGTGAGGGCAGCTTGTGGCTCTCCACTCTGAATCACTCCTTCAGAACGATCTCAAATGTAAAAAAAGGCTGGGAAGGGTAAAAAAAGGTTAAAAAGGTTAAGGTTAAAAAGGTTAAAGCCAGGGACCCAAGTTTACCAACTGTAAAACAGTTGGTTGGGACTAAAACTACTGATTGGCCGGCGAGCTGTAGGCACCGGTGAAATCGCCTGCGAGTGTTGCAATTCACGCACCCTCGCGACACAAAACCTAGTTTTTCCCAACCAACTGTAAAACACTTGCCCCAGGTTCTAGAAACTTGAGTCCCTGGCTTTAAAAATGTTAAAAAGGTTATAAGGGTTATCAGAGGTCGACTCCATGCTCCAAAGGCGCTAGTGAAGCACACCCCACCCACGCAACCCCCTGCCCCCCCAACCATGTGTACACTCCTCTCCCCCCCACTTCCACCCTTTCCCTCCTCTATATACCGCCGCCGGCAGTACTTCCCCTCCATGCCCCAAAGCACTGGTGCAGCATCGACCCAGTGCCCAAAACCTTAACCCTAACAGCCGAAACCAAACCCCGCGCACCTGCACTTCTTCTGTCAGGTTGTGCAGCTGAATCTGTGTGTAATGAGGACTCAAAAATCGACTCATTACACACCAAACCACGCGCACCTGTACAGTTTTGAGGCGCCTCAAAACTAGACTCCTATCGCGCACCTGGACTTCTTCTGTCAGGTTGTGCAGCTGAATCTGTGTGTAATCCTATCGCACCTAGACTCCTATCGCGCACCTGCACTTCTTCTGTCAGGTTGTGCAGCTGAATCTCCTCAATATAGAGCCGCGGGCTGTACTTTCCCTCCATGCCCAGCTGGCCCGCCACCTCGCGCACGCGCTTGCGGTCCTTGCCTTGGACCTGCAGGGATGGGCATGGGGAGATGGGGGTCAATGGGGGGTAGGGATGGTGGGGGGGATTGGGGCGAGAGTCGAAACATCTACTTGCCCTCCATGCCCAGCTGCCCCACCACCTTGCGCACGCGCTTGCGGTCCTTGCCTTGGACCTGAGAGTTGATGGGGAAAGAAAGGGGCCCGGAACGGAGGGAAAGGTTGAAAGGGGCGTTCCCTTTCAACCTCGCACCAACTTGCAGTCCTCGCACTGCATTTAAGATGGATTTGGAGAGGGGGGAGAGGAAGAGGCATGGAGAAGGGGGTTGAAAGAGGGTATTACCATGCCTCCCTTAACCCGCATGCGCTTGCGGTCCGTGCCCTGCACCTGTGAAGTGGGCGATAGGGGAGGAGAGGGAAGGGGGGAAGGGGAGATGAAAATGGGGTGTGCCATTCCACCTCCCTCACACGCTCTGGTAGAGATGGGTTGGGGCCGGGAGCAAGGGGGGGCTATTGAGACGTGTCTCTCATTCTCCATCTGATGTCTACCACCTATCAAGGACGCTCTCCCCTGCATGAACGTCTTCTTGATCTGCTCCAGCCGATCCACTCCACCTTCACCACCACCTGCTGCTGCCTGCCTTGCACCACACAGACCTGTCGACGCCGCACCCCCTCTCCCCTTTTTGACCAACTGCCCCTTCTGTCACCGAACGGCTCTCGCCTGCATAGATGACTTCTTGAACTGCTCCAGCCGATCCACCTTCACCACCACCTGCTGCTGCTTGTCTCTGCGCACCAATTATGCGCCAAAGCCTCAGACACGAACACAAAGAGCACCGCCCCACCTGCCTCCACCACCCTCTCACCTGCATGAACGTTTTCTTGATCTGCTCCAGCCGGTCCACCTTCACCACCACCTGCTGCTGCTTGTGTCTAACCGCCCCAAGGTGCCAGAGAGTTATTACCACTGTGAGTAGCTGTCAACGCTTCCTCTCCCTCTCACCTGCATAAATGACCTCTTGATCTGCTCCAGCCGGTCCACCTTCACCACCACCTGCTGCTGCTTGTCCCGAAAGACCCGCGACTCGCGCCTGAGGATGTGTGCCATCTCGTAGCCCAGCGCCATCAGCCCGCCCAGCAGCCGCACGCTCACTTCAAATGTGATGCGCGGCGTGATGACAAAGGGGCCGTCCGTCACACACTCCTGCAGAAGGGGTTTGGAGGGCGACAAGGGGATTGCGGTGCATGCTTGGAGTCAGGCGATTTTGCAGGGTGTTTTTGAGAATTCTCAAGAACACCCTGCAGAAGGGGTTTGGAGGGTGACAAGGGGATTGCGGTACATGCTTGGAGTCAGGCGCGACGAGGGGAGCTACAGCCCCACACTCACTTCCACGGGGAAATCATGCCTGATGACGGCGGGAGGAGGGGGGGGGGGAGGGAGAGAGGATTTGGAGTAAGAGGTATGGGGGGAGGGGTGGGGGGGAGGGAGCTGCTCTGTAATCCGTCGGCACAACCGACTCTGAGCACTGACCTCGAACAGGAATGAGTAGCGCGCATCCCTGTCGCGCATTCTCAGGTAAGACTGGCAAGTCTCCTTGTCCTCTATATAAGCTGCTCTGACACCCTTCAACATAACCCACTGCAAGCACTGACCTCAAACATGAGCGAGTAGCGCCCATCCCTGTTGCGCATTCTTAGGTACGACTGGCACGTTTCCTTGTCCTCCCCTGGCGGCAGCAGGTAGATGTCGTACGTCTCCTCACTCTCAGAACCTGCCACTGCCTCGGCAGACAGCACTGACCGGATCCGAGCCTCAGCTTCGGCAGAATCGGACTCAGGTGCCTGAATCAGGGGAGGTGAAGAAAAAACGGAGCAAGATGAGAGTTTAAGTGTAGGTAACAGGATGAGTTAAGCGACAGAGAGCCAGTGACTCTCCTGTGCTCTGTGCAGGAGAGACAATCCAGAAAGGGGTTAGATTTGTTGACGATCCGAATGTGAGCCGATGAACGCCTTGTACATCGGATATACTGTCTCCAAGATCTGGTGGATGATCTCCTCTGGGTCTCATTCGGACCCGGCTCACAGGCAACTAACGCTTCATACAGCAGATCAAGCACCCCGCATCTGACATCCGGTGTATAATGGTTTAACCCCGCATACATACCTTGAGGATGTAAGTGGCATCTTGGAATCCAGAAAAGGGGTTGAACTTGTTGACGATGCGAATATGAGCCGTCTGCAGGTCCGGCTCAATGAACGCCTTGTACATCGGGTACACCGTCTCTGAGATCTGGTGTATGATCTCCTCTGGCGCCTGCCCCGACCGGTCGATGTCCCGCAGCACCCTCTTAACGAGATCAAAGTGTACCCCCCCCGTTATAGACACCCGCAGGTCCAGCAGCGGGCGCAGCCGCTCGCTGAGCGCGTATATCCCCTCTATAATCACGACCCGCGACTTGGGGACCTTCACTTCTCTGCAAGGGAGCGAAATAGAAGGGAGTGGAATGGGTGTGGAACGGTATTAAAAGGTGCCCCCAGTTCCAGAGCGGCTGAAATCGCTAGACTAGCCTATCCCTCAGCCCATCCTCATCCTATTTCAGGGCCCCTCGCGTTCCCACCTGAACCCCACCCTCGTGCTGCTCTTGAAGTCGTAGATCGGCACCTGCACCGTGCGGCCCTCCCTCAACCCCTGCAGGTTGCTCAGCAGCAGCTCGTAGTCCGTGATGCGCGGGTCTGGAGGTACAAGGGAGGGCAGAGGAAGGCAAGGGAGGACAGGGGAGGGCAGGAGAGGGCCGGCGAAGACGACTCATGATCATCAACAGAGGCTTCTGAAGCCCTTGCAGGTTGCTCAGCCACAGCTCGTAGTCCGTGATGCGCGGGTCTGCAGGGGATGAGTGGACGGAAAGAGAGTGGGGAATGGGAGGAAGACCATGACTCGAAGTTGCTCCACAGAGAATCCCTCAGCCCCTGCAGGTTGCTCAGCCGCAGCTCGTAGTCTGTGATGCGCGGGTCTGGAGAGATAAGAAAGGAACCGTGATTGAAGTTTGGGCAACAGACGCAGCAGAGTTGCAAAAGCCAGCATATGCTTCCCCATCCCAGACGGTAAGCCCTGACAGGATTGCCCCGACACAGTCCCGTGATTCGGTATTCTGGAGAGAAAAAAAGAAGAGAGAGAGAGAGAGAGAGAGAGAGAGAGAGAGAGAGAGAGAGAGAGAGAGAGAGAGAGAGAGAGAGAGAGAGAGAGAGAGAGAGAGAGAGAGAGAGAGAGAGAGAGAGAGAGAGAGAGAGAACACACGGCACGTGATGCTCTTGAATTTGTGCCGCTCAACAGAGCGATTGACGACTCGTGGGACATTAAGCACTCACCGTCAAAATTGCCGTCGATAACACGACTGGCGACGTTGTAATTGTCCATGGATATTACCGTGATTCCAGGCATGAAGTTGAGGACCTGGGGCAGATAATAACGCGTACAGGGAGCAACACAAGAACATCAGTTGATCAGGCACGAGCAACGGCGAGTAGCACGCAGGCACTGCACAAACCTCGCATCAGCTCAACTCATCCATTCTTGACATCAGGAGGTGAACGATAATTTTGGCGTGACCTGACCTCGGCGCGATCTTTCCATTGATCTTACCAACCCAGCAGAATCGTTAACGGCTCTATTCACAATTCAGAAACCTGAAGGCTTAAGCTCCCCATTCATGCTTGGACGTATCTTCAGAAATCTCCTACCTTGAGAATTGCGCGAGCAGCATTCCCTCATGCCCTCAGCATAGCGCCGTGGCCATATATATCTTGAGGAGTCTTTTTTTAGGCGCCTCAAAAATAGACTCCTCAGCATAGCGCCGTGGCCATATATATCTTGGCGCTGAAGATTTGGAATCGACTCAAAAGCATAAATTTACGTATTCCTTACCTGGAGAATTTTGTGAGCATTCTTCTATGACCTCAGCATGGCGCCACGGCCATACCTTGGCGCTGAAGACCGTTTTGCCGGCTCCAGAAGGGCCCGCGAGTCCCACGAGGACCATGCCTTCGTTGTTCTGCCATAGGAGACATGGTATGGTGGGAGGGGGGGGGGGGGGGGGGTATACGGAATGTGCGGGAGCGACGAGAGGTGTGAGGCTGATACTTAAAACTCGGAGGCTCCAGAAGGGCCCGCGAGTCCCACGAGGACCATGCCTTCGTTGTTCTGCCATAGGAGACATGGTATGGTGGGAGGGGGGGAGGGGGGGGTATACGGAATGTGCGGGAGCGACGAGAGGTGTGAGGCTGATACTTAAAACTCGGAGGCTCCAGAAGGGCCCGCGAGTCCCACAAGGACCATGCCTTCGTTGTTCTGCCATAGGAGACATGGTATGGCGGGAGGGGGGGGGGTACGGAATGTGCGGGAGCGACGAGAGGTGTGAGGCTGATGCTTAAAACTCGGAGGCTCCAGAAGGGCCCGCGAGACCCACGAGGACCATGCCTTCGTTGTTCTGCCAGGGGAGGGAGGCACGGGACGGCGCGGGAAGGTACGGGAGGTTTTGGAGATAAGGAAGGTGTGAGGCTGATCTCCAAAAATCGGAGGGGCCAGACGGGCCCGCGAGACCCACGAGGACCATGCCTTCGTTGTTCTGCCAGGGGAGGGAGGCACGGGACGGTGGAGGAAGGTACGGGAGGTTCGGGAGGTAAGGAAGGTGTGAGGCTGATGTCCAAAAATCGGAGGCGCCAGACGGACCGGCGATGCAATAGATGAGCGGTACATGGCGTATGAGGAGTCCGTATCTTGAAAGGACAGTGTTGATCAGGAGTCGTGCGATGCCAGACTAGCCAGGAGTGATGATCGCTAAAAGCGTCTACCAGAACGGCCAGGATGGGGACGTTCCTAACACTCCGGAGAAAGGATCGCATCGTTGTTGCGCTGCGCTGATGGTTGCGCATCGTCGTTCATCTCTAGCCGGATCGGGACGATCGGCACGATCGGGTCGGTCGTTCATCCCATCCTGATCGGCATGATCGGCATGATCGGCATGATCAGGATGACCGAGATAAACAGAAATTCGGGGCAAGCTCCTGCGAGTGACTAGAAAACGAGTATTCGTCTACCCTCCGCAGCTGACCTTCGTCGAACATTCTGCTCAATTCTGGAACTTCCGAGTCCCGTTCCGAACAGGGTATACTATAAAAATCTAGACTGAAGCGAGAAAGCTCACCTGAGTCAGCAGCTGCACGGCTCGGATGAAGAGAAAGAAGCCCTTCTCGAACGACAGGGTTTCCGCGATCACCGCGATCTCCTTGCGTTCCTTGCCGTCCGGCGTCTTCCGCGGGGCCAGCTGCAGCTGCTGCTTCAGCAGCCGCCCGCGCCGGTGCTGCTCCATCGAGATCGCCCCGCCGCGCGACGGCACCGACTGGCTCTCCACCGCCGCGTCGTAGCTCATTCTGGTGAGGAAAATATTAACTACTAGGTACTCCTAGAGGGAGCGTAAGCCGCACTGCACGTAGTTAAGTTACTGACTATACAATGCTCAAGCGTAAGCTTGAAACGATGGGCTCTAGGGTAGACATACACTGACCCAGAGTTCCTGGAAACGAGTTTCAGATCTAGAATTCCAAACCTAATTCGTATACTCGACGATGGAAGCCATGAAAACCGCTGTCCTGTCAACGAGATTTCAACTCACAAAAAAGCGTTCTGCTTTCTGGTTCACCTACCAGAAAGGCAAGGCCAGTAACGCACCAACACTGATCCATATGGAGAAGGGTTGGCTTGGTTTGGTAAACGGTGGGTGTCAGCGGACTGTAAGTTGTAACAGGCGGGCGGGAGAAAGAGGAGGGAGGTGAAAAGCATTGACGCTGGCGCTGCCACCCATTCCACCTCCCACTTGCCTTCAAGGAGTGTCCAGCGCGTACATTCCATTGCGGTTGAGTGAGATTCTCTGCGAGTCGAAAGGTACTTTTAGCGATCTGAAACGGTCAGGTAGGGTATTGAGAGATAAAATTACGCCAGGGACACGCCCTCAGTTGCCTTGGTAATGTTGAAGGTTTAGGGGAGGGGCAGTCAGGGACAAGCCAGGGAGTGCGGGCCGCTCAATGCATGTGGGGCTGGGGTGATGGGGCTGGGGGCCGCTGATTGCGTGCAGTGCTGGGGTGAGGGGACCACCACAAGGGCGTAGATGAATCTAATTGGCTAAACTCATCAGATCTAGGGGAGACTGACGTGGCGTAGACCACCTTCCACCACGAAATGGAGATGGAAAGGAATTTGTGGAGCGCAGGAGGATGCAGCGAAAAGGGGAAAATGTGGCACTGGAGGTAAGTCAGTCAGCCGTAGGCTGTTGTGGCGCAGGGGAGACGAGGAGGTGGATTTTCGCAGTTCAGGGGGTGTGATTTAGAATGGAGAACGATGAGTGGCTGCGAAACTTTGCGATCAGTAGACGAAAATCATCCTCCTGGCGACACGACAGTCAATTTTCGGCCCCTCTTTTGACAGCTTGTAATAAGATACAGTTGCAGTTTTACGGGGCGTACAGGTTCAGTAAGATAGATTATTCTTTCCTTGTAGGAGGTTCATGCATGTTCAACATTCACCTAGTGCGAAAAAATCAGATGTAAAATTCCGGTGTACTAAAAAAAGAGGTTAAAACCCTACCACACCGGGTCAAAACCAGAGTACAAGGAGGCTCTAAGTGCTGAACTCAGCACCATACTATCCACTATTGTTCACCCCATTTCCAAGATTGTCTGCTCATTTCAAATCTCCTCCTGCACATCTCATTTCGAGTCCGTGAAATCAGCATCGATCACATCGTTTGGGTTGCCTCCAGCAGCACCACCGCCAGGTGTGGGGCCAGCGCCAGGGGCAGCACCCTCAGCACCTGCAGCTCCTCCTTGAGAGTACACGGCTTGACCAAGCTGCAAGGGGTGAGGGAAGGAGCAAATAGGCAAGGGTTGAGAAGTAAGCAAGGCATATGGGATGCTATAAATCCTCCCCCTCTCGCATCTCTCCCTCCCACATCCTTGTACTACATATGTGCTCACTTCACTTATCCATTGTTGCTGCCTCATTCCCTGCCTCGCCCCCCTCCCCCATCCCCACCATACTCCTCATCCTCACATTCCCACAAGTTTTCACTCCTCATCCAACTCCCAGTTGAGCTTGTTTGACTGCATTCACAATCTCATGATTATTTGTCCCACCCGCTGCACCCTTGCAGCCATTCAACTTCTCCCACCCCCCCCATAGCATACCCTATTTCCTTCCGAACAACGCACTCACCTTCATCACCTGCTGGTTGAGCTCGTTCAATGCGCCCTTGATCACCAGATAACCCACCCCACCTTTTCACGCCCCTCAGGACACCCCATCCCCAGCACCAACCCACAGCGCTGAGCACCCCCCCAGCCATCAACTCACCTTCATGACCTCCTGGTTGAGCTCGTTCATCGCATCCTTGATTGCCTGGATGTTCTCCCCGCCAGCCACCGCCTTCAGGTCCGCCACCTTGGCCTCAACGCCCGCCTTCACATCTGCCGGCACCTTGTCCGCCAACTCCTTGAGCTGCTTCTCCGTCTGGTAGATGATCGAATCCGCCTGGTTCTTCACATCCACAGCCTCCCGCTTCTCCTTGTCCTCTGCGGCGAATTTCTCCGCCTCCTCAACCATCTTGGACACCTCGTCCTTGGGGAGGGTGGACGCGCCAGTGATAGTGATGTCCTGCTTCTTGCCCGTGCCCTTGTCCGAGGCTTGCACGGAGAGAATGCCGTTCGCGTCAATGTCGAACCGGACCTCGATTTGGGGGATGCCACGGGGGGCGGGGGGGATGCCGTCCAGCCGGAAGCTCCCGAGGGACTTGTTATCGCGGACAAACTCACGCTCGCCCTGCAGCACATTGATCTCGACGCTCGTCTGCCCGTCGGCCGCCGTCGAAAAAACCTCGGACTTGGACGTGGGGAGGGTCGTGTTCCTCGGAATGATCTTGGTCATCACACCTCCAAGCGTCTCGAGACCCAGAGACAGGGGAGTCACGTCCAGGAGGACAATGTCGGACACTTCACCCGCCAGCACTCCGGCCTGGACGGCAGCGCCGAGAGCAACCACCTCATCGGGGTTGACTGAGACGTTGGGGTCCTTCCCTGTGAGCTTCTTCACCAGCTCCTGGACCGCTGGGATGCGGGTGGAACCGCCAACCAGGATGACCTCCTGGAGGTCCGAGTAGTTGAGCTTGGCGTCACGCAGAGCAGTCTCGACGGGGGTCTTGCACCTGGGGAAGAGGATAATGTGGAGGGAGGAGGGGTCGTGGGATGATTGAGAAGTCAGAGTTGAAGCAAAACTGGCATCAGATCATCGAGCCTATGAATGTGAAGGTTTTAATCTTTGTTCAAATTAGTTTGGCGAGGTCGTTTTCATTATTCCACGGCCCGTGCGCACATGCGCTGTACACCGCACACTGTGCACTGTAACGAGGCTCGCCAGTCGAACATCAAGGCTCGGACTCGACGGCACTGGCGCTCACCTGTCGAGCAGGTCGGAGCAGAGCTCCTCGAACTTGGCGCGTGTGAGGTTCGTGTCAATGTGCTTCGGGCCGTCAGCGGTAGCCGTGATGAACGGCAGGCTGCACGCAAGAGGGAATGGGGGAGGAAGGACCCAAGCAGACACGTGAGGAGTCCATTTTTCACGCGCCTCAAAAAAGGCAGGCTGCACGCAAGAGGGGATGGGGGAGGAGGGACCCAAGCAAATACGTAAGGATGGAAACCCGAGCAGACTTGTGGAGCTATGCCAAGCGATGCTATTAAACCATACGTTCTCACAGTGGTCGCACCAAGAGATTAACCTGTCCTTCGCATCCTTTCCATGCTCCATTCTACAGGCCGTCCCACAGGCCCACTGCAATCCCCCTTAAAACCCAACCTGACCATCCCACTTACCGTGGGTTTCCACTCCATAAACCCGAACCCGAAAAAAATATGGGACTTCTACCTGATGGAAGAAACAAAAACAAAAACTCACTACCGCTTGCAAAAAACCCTACCTGATGGAAGTCTGGGTGAGGGTAGAGAGCTCCATCTTGGCCTTCTCCGCTGCCTCGGTAAGGCGCTGCAGCGCCTGCTTGTCCTTGGTCAGGTCCACGCCCTCGTCGCGCTTGAACGCATCCGCCAGCCAGTCCACGATGCGCTTGTCGAAATCGTCACCTCCGAGGTGCGTGTCGCCGGAGGTCGACAGCACCTCGAACACGCCATCGCCCACCTCCAGCACTGAGGGGAGGACGAAGGGTTACATTGGAAAGCGAGAGGGGAGGAGAATGGGTGAGGGGAGTACGGGGTCGGACGCGTCCGCCAGCCAGTCGACAATGCGCTTATCGAAGTGGGTGTCGCCGCCCAAGTGGGTGTCGCCGGAGGTCGACAGCACGTCGAGCACGCCGTCACCCACCTCTCAAGGAACAAACAAGACCCAAGGTTAAGACGGAGGTGTGAGCAAAACCGGCTCGGGAAAGGCACGGAAGACAGGGGAGGCACGGAACATTGGCGACACAAATAGAACGGCCCTGACAACGCTTCGAGGAAGCGAGGAGTTGACAAAAAACGCCGTCGTCGACAACTTACCAGACACATCGAAGGTACCGCCGCCGAGGTCGAACACGAGGATCGTCTCATTGCTCTTCCGGTCGAACCCGTACGCGAGCGACGCGGCGGTGGGCTCGTTGATGATCCTCAGCACGTCGATGCCCGCGATGCGCCCCGCGTCCTTGGTCGCCGTGCGCTGGCTGTCGTTGAAGTACGCCGGCACGGTCACCACCGCTTTCGACACCTTGTCGTTGAGGAACTTCGACGCGTCGTCGACGAGCTTGCGAAGAACCTGCGCGGAAATCTCCTCCGCGGCGAACTGCTTCCCGATCGCGGGGCAATCGAGCTTCACGTTCCCGTTCGAGTCGCGGATCACATGGTACGACACCTGCTTCGACTCGTCCTTAACCTCGTCCATCTTGCGGCCGATAAACCTCTTCACCGAGAAGAAGGTGTTTTCGGGGTTCACGACCGCCTGGCGCTTGGCGATCTGTCCGACAAGCCGGTCGCCGTTCTTCGTATATGCGACGACGGACGGCGTCGTGCGCTGGCCCTCGGCGTTGGTGACGATCGTCGGCTTGCCGCCCTCCATGGCTGCGACGGCCGAGTTAGTGGTCCCGAGATCGATTCCCACCACCTTCTCGCAGACGACGAAGAGGCGTCCGCCGGATTGAGAGCCAGAAGCCTTGCACCTGGAGGGATCGCGGAACCAGGACAGAACCAGAACAAAAGCAGATCGGAGAGTGGGAAAATGGGAGCGAGATCAGAAAAAAGGAAGTGGGGAGCAGGTGAGATCCATGAGTCGATCTCGTTCGCGAGCGTACAGTATCATCGTGGAAATACTGAGACTTCTCATCAACGTCAGATTAACTAGCTCGTTCAAAAACCTTGGCGGATTAAAGCCTTGGTGGACCAAGGCGGTGTCAGGTACGACCATTCGGTTCCGACACGTAAGATTCAGCAAGAACCGCCGCTTACCTGGCAGCCTTCTTTGCAATGGCGGCCTTGAGCGAGCTGGACCCAGAGAAGAAGTTGGCGTTGCGAACGCCGGTGGCCTTCTGGGCCGGGCCTGACACGCGGAGGCCATTCAGGCCCTGGGCAGCCGCGTGGACGGACTGAGAAACGGCAGCCATTGTTCTTTGACGAAGAACAAACGTGAGATGTGGTGTGAAGAGGAGCGTCGGAGAGCAGGATTCAGGCAGACAGATTTGAAAGCTCTTGGTAAGAGCTCGCTAGTCCGTGCAGGGATGCGGAAAATGCCGAAGTCGCAGGAGGAACGAACCTAGGAGATGAAATCTCGAGACTCAACAGAACGGATAAGTAATGGAGACAGGTGAGCAAGAGCAGGTCCAACAGAAGCGGCTAGAAGGAGCTGATATTGACAGTTGCGATTCTCGCCAATAAATCGCGAAATCGCCACAAGCAGGTCACAGGTTGTTACTCGAGTACTGAGCTGAGATCGTCAAAAGGTTGCGAAAGAGAGCTTGATAGGTTGCTGGTAATCGTCAGAATGTCGAATGTGTGAGCTGATGGCCGCTTGGCTGGGTAATATACTGACACCACACGTGGCGTCGAGAAGGGTCCTAGTCACACGTGGATTACGGAAAGAGTGCCGCGTCATCAGCGGCGCGGATCAGTTCGCTTCCGTGGTTTCGGGCAGTCACTAGAAGGTCATCCTGCTCGGCACCGTTGGCGTGAGTTGGAAGGAAGGTTTGACGGTGGGGATTGCGTGGGCCAAGAGCCAATTCCAGGTTCATCGCGAATGTCCCATTCGCGACACAGCTGGAAACTTCTAGATCCTTGAATTGTTGAATTATTGGCAAGCTCCAGCAAAGGCTTGCTAGGTTTTGCTAAGAACATAAAAAGGAGAGCATATAATGTGCGAGAGGCATAAACCACTTGATGGACTGAGATCATATCACCAGAGATCTCAGGAAAATACCATAATGTGCGAGAGGCATAAAAAACCTTCAAAAAAAGTAATTAACAATGGGAAAATCGAACAAAGTGACGACGCAAAATGACCATCTTATATTTCATTGATGTCTTTAGGGCAGACTATATATTTCCTGAGAATCTAATAACGCGTATATCAAGAGCGTTGACCAACAGCGACCCAGAACACCAACATTTCCCCAAACCCAGATCCACCAGGGTGCCTCACAGAGCCGAGTTTACGTTCGATTTGTTTGGCTCAGCACGGCCGCTCACAGCCTAGAGCAGATATCAGTTTCCGCCGCTTTGTACCGTCGTATTTCACCTTGAATCAGTACACAGATTCCAATTTCCAGCCGCTTCCCGAAATTCGGACTTTGTCCAGGTCCGCCTGTTATTTGCTGTCTGGCTGCAATCCTCCAATGGGAGCCATGAGAGGTCGTCATTCTGCTAATGGCAGCCGGCCTCCATGGAACGCCCTCACTGGGGTGGGGTCGTCTCCCCCTCACTGGGACTGTGTGGGCACCCGGCGCCTCCTCTGCGCACACTGAGATTCGAACCCGGCTCCACCATTCTCTGCTCCGCCATTCCCTGCTCCGCCATTCCCCGCTCCGTCATCCCCGCTCCGCCATTTCCCCGCTCCGCCATTTCCCCGCTCCGCCGGAGCGTCACTTCGTGAGTTTCTGAGGCTGGTTCGGCATTGGGTCAATATCAGCCCCAGTTGAGCATAGTCACTTTCCTGGCGCTCCAGAAAAAACTCATTCTCTTTCAGTCCGCTGGCTCTCTGCGACTTGACACTTCCAGAAGCTTCCAGACGCTTCCAGACGCTTCCAGACCCTTCCAGACCCTTCCAGAAGCCAAGAAGAATTTTCATCCGCCCATGGCAAACAGCACGGCATGGGCCGCGTGTGCGGTGATTGCGCTCAGGCTGATTGCCATCGCCACAACGACTCTGCTCGTTGCGGCTGCTCCACCGGTTACGGCCGCACCACCACCCCTCACCGCCACTCCACCCCTCACCGCCGCTCCACTGGTCATGGCCGCCCCACCCGCCACGTCTGCTCCACCGAGCCCCGATAGTGAGTTCCTCGCTACAAGGTGGCGTGCAACCCCTGCTTTTAGCTCCCCTAGTGCGGCGTGCGTGTGGTTCTTTGCGCCACCCGTTCGCCCTTTACCCGCCTCTCCGCACCACTCCTGTCCGTCCGCAGCTTTCTTCGTTGCTCCCCCCTCCCCTCCCCTTCCGCTGTGTCCCCCTCCCGCCGTGTCCACCGACCGCTTCCCCAGAGCGAGGGACGCGCTGCGGGTGAGCAGTCCTGCGGTGCTGCGGTACTGGGAGTATAGCATGGACCCCCTTCTGGTCCTCCTTGCCCCTCTCCCCCTCCCTTGCAGAGGCAAATCTTCTGGCTTTAAGGGACGCGCTGAGGGTCAGCACTCCCGCGGTGCTGCGGTACTGGGAGGATAGCATGGACCCCTGTGACCCCGCGTTGTCTCGCCTCCCTCCCCTCTTCCTCCCTCCCCTCTTCCTCCCTCCCCTATTCCTCCCTCCCCTCATCCTCCCTCCCCTCTTCCTCCCTCCCTCTTCCTCCCTCCCCTCTTCCTCCCTCCCCTCTTCCTCCCTCCCCTATTCCTCCCTCCCCTCATCCTCCCCCCTCTTCCTCCCTCCCTCTTCCTCCCTCCCCTCTTCCTCCCTCCCCTCTTCCTCCCTCCCCTCTTCCTCCCTCCCCTCTTCCTCCCTCCCCTCTTCCTCCCTCCCCTCTTCCTCCCTCCCTCTTCCTCCCTCCCCTCATCCTCCCTCCCCTCTTCCTCCCTCCCCTCTTCCTCCCTCCCCTCTTCCTCCCTCCCCTCTTCCTCCCTCCCCTCTTCCTCCCTCCCCTCTCCTCCCTCCCCTCTTCCTCCCTCCCCTCTTCCTCCCTCCCCTCCTCCTCCCTCCCCTCCTCCTCCCTCCCCTCCTCCTCCCTCCCCTCCTCCTCCCTCCCCTCCTCCTCCCTCCCCTCCTCCTCCCTCCCCTCCTCCTCCCTCCCCTCCTCCTCCCTCCCCTCCTCCTCCCTCTCCTCTTCCTTCCCTGCTGCCATGGATGCACTTCTGGCTTTAAGGGACGCGCTGAGGGTCAGAAGTCCCTCAATGCTGGCCTACTGGGAGGATAGCTTCGACACCTGTGACCCCACGTGGTCTCCCCTCCTCTCTTGTCCTCCCCTCACTCACCCCTCTCTTTCCCTCCTCCCCCCCCCTCTCCCTCTCAGAGGATGCGCTTCTGGCTTTAAGGGACGCGCTGCAGGTCAGCAGTCCCTCGGTGCTGTCCTACTGGGAGAAAAACTTCGACCCCTGTGACCCCACGTGGTCTCAGCGCTTCACATGCAACAAAGATGGACGCGTTATCAGCATGTGAGAAGGGATGGGCGTGTTATAAGCATGAGATATGGGCTGGATGGTCTCTGTCGCCTCTATCGCTCCGTCCAGGAACCTGGCAAACGAGCTGCTCAAAGGGCCCATCCCAGGCAAGGAGCTGGCGGCATTGGATGGCCTGCAGTGGCTGTGAGTGCATGGGGGGGGGGGGGAGAGGGGGACGGGGAGAAAGGATCTAGGGGAAAGATCTAGAATTGTCCAGGAATTCGGCAAGCGAGCTGCTCAAGGGGCCCATTCCAGGCAAGGAGCTGGCTGCATTGGTCGGCCTGCAGCGACTGTGGGGGGGAGGAATAGGGGGGGAAGGGGAAGGCATAGAGGGGGGAGGAATGTGTGGAAGGATGTAGCAAACGGGCAGCTCAAGGGCCTATCTATTCCTTACTCTTCTCTCATTACCCGCTCATCCCATCCCCGCTCAAGGGGATTCACCACTTCTAGAGGACTCATCCCCAGGGGTATTCTCCTCCCTCTCCTCCTCCTTACTTTCCCCACATTGCCCCCTCTTATTCCCCCCTCATCTCACCCCCGTCTCCCCCTCTCTTCCCCCCATCCACTCTTTGCAGAGACATGGGTTTCAACACCCTCAAAGGGCCCATCCCAGAGGCACTAGCGGCCCTCTCCAATCTCACCTATATGTTAGTCCCTCTTCCTTCCAGCCTGCCTGTTGCCCACCTCAACTTTTGAGTCGACTCAAAATGAAATTTGCACTAGCGGCCCTCTCCAATCTCACCTACATTTTAGTCCCTCATCATTCTAACCTACCTGTTGCCCAGCCTACATGGTGCCCAGCCTACCTGTTGCCCAGCCTACCTGCTGCCCAGCCTACCTGTTGCCCAGCCTACCTGTTGCCCAGCCTACCCGGTGCCCAGCCTATCTGGTGCCCAGCCTACCTGCTGCCCAGCCTACCTGCTGTTTTAAAGTTAATTCCACCGCTGTTCCTCTGCTAGCATAACCTTGCATTGACCCTCCCAATTTTTCTACTTGTGCGCTTCATGTAACACGTCTTCAGCCCCTCTGCGAACTCAGAGTTGAGGGTTTGGTTCACCCTGCCGCCGCTCTTTGAGGCGCCTAAAAAATTGCCGCCGCTCCTCTGCAAGCGCATCCATGCCTGGCCCCTTCTGCTTTTTCTATCATGCGCGTCAGATCATGCGCTTCAGATGTGCTTCATATCATGCACGTTCAGCCCGTCCCCCGATTTTTTAGGCGCATAAAAAATCTACCTGTTGCTCAGAAACTCACCCCACCACCTTTCCTCTGCCACCATATCTTTTCCTCTGCCACCATATCCTTGCCCGTTCCCCTGTTTTGCTCATGCGCTTCATATCATACGCTTTCAGCCCCTCTGTTCCCAATACGCACTTCAGTGTCCCTATTTTTCCCTTCCTGTTCCCCTCAGCCTCCCCATCCCTCATCCTCCTCCTCCCTCCCTTCTTCTTTACCCTCCCCCTCCCCCCCCCCCTCTTTCTTTTCACCTTTTCGCCCTTCGTTCTCCTTCTTCGCCCTTGAGTGACCAACTCAGGTCTCTCGAGGGGAATCTGTTGGAAGGGCCTGTGCCTGAGTGGATCGGGTCAAAACTTTCAAAACTAGTGAATCTGTAAGTAAATGTGCTGCTTATGCTGTAGTGTACAGTGCGCATTCACCAGGTGTAGTTTCATTTCATCGAATCATGCATATTGTAGTGTTTCTCACCATTTAAGCGTTGTTTTGTTCTCCTTCTTGACCGTTTTCTACCGCTGTTAACCGCTCTTGTCTCAGTCGCCTTGCCGCCAACTCTTTAAACGGCACTCTGCCAAGCACCCTCAGTGGGCTCAAAAGCTTGAAGTCTGTGTAAGTGTCCCACTTATGCCTTCAAAAACCTGCTGCCTCTGTAAGTGAAACACTTAGGCCTTCAAAAGCTTGAAGTCTCTGTAAGTGTCACACTTAAACCGCGGCCCTTTTAGGCTTGAAGTCCCTGTGAATTTTCCATGCTAGGCTTTTGACCTTTATGTTTCGCGTTGTGCCTTCCTTCCTTCCTCCTTATTGAATCATCGAGCAAGGCCTTGCAAGGCCCCTTCCTGCCTTCCTTTTGACCTTTACGTTTCCCTGCAAGGCCTTATCTCCCCCCATTCCCCCCCCCTTTTCCCCCCTTCCCTCTTTAAATCAGCGTCGTTGGAAGTAACCACCTCTCAGGGCAGCTGCCTTCGGGCCTTCAGCACTGCAAGGACTTGGAGCACCTGTTAGTTCCTCACTCTATCCCTTTGATAGTAATCTCGTTTCAAGACGTCTCAAAATAAACTTACCATCTCACGAACCATCTCTCAGGGCAGCTGCCTTCAGGCCTTCAGTATTGCAAAGACTTGGAGCACCTGCCAGTTCCTCGCTCTATCCCTTTGATAGTAATGTAGCTTTGAGACACCTCAAAACGAGAACGAAATATGCATCGCACGAGCCACCTTTCAAGGCAACTGCCTTCAGGCCTCCAGCACTGCAACGCCTTGGAGCAGCTGTCAATTCCTCACACCCTCCCCTCAACTGCACCCCTGCTTTTGAGTCGACTCAAAACCTGTCAGTTGCGCACGAACCATCTCTCAGGGCAGCTGCCTTCAGGCCTTCAACACTGCAACGCCTTGGTGCACCTGCCAGTTCCTCACACTCTCCCATCAACTGCACACCCCCCTTCCATGCGCCTCTCTCTCTCTCCCCTCTCGAGTGAGCTGTTGAGTCGACTCAAAATCAGTCGCCTTCCTTCTCCCTTCTCCTCCACCCTACCTCCTTGCTCCTTCCTTCCTCCCTCTCAACTTGTTCCAGATCTGTCCCGTGTGAGATCTGTCCCGTGTGAGATCTGTCGCGTGTGAGATCTGTCCCGTGTGAGATCTGTCCCGTGTGAGATCTGTCCCGTGTGAGATCTGTCCCGTGTGAATCAACGTGCTTTCAGGGCCGATTCCCGAGTGTCTCTCTCCCCTCCTTCTGTCCTTTCCACTGCCTTCATTTCCTCTCCTCTCCTCTCCTCTCCTCTCCTCTCCTTTCCTCCGCCCTCCCTCTCTGCTCGTTCCAGTTCAATCTACGTCAACGGGCTTTCAGGGCCGATTCCCGAGTGGCTGGGAAGCCTGAAGAAGCTAAGAGTGCTGTAAGCGTGACCTTTAGCTAAGCTCCGTGAAATTGTGCTTTCTGGCGTTTCTGTTTTGCCGTGTATCAAGACTTCCGCAAATGGTATTTCCGCCTCTTCACCCCCACACCCTCTTCCCTTGACCCCCACACCCCTTCCCCTCCGCCTCTTCCATTCAACCGGTTCCTCCTCTCTCTCTATGCTGTGACTTTTGAGTCGACCCAAAAGTCGTCGTATCTTCACCCCTTCAACTCCACACCACACCTCTTCTCCACCCCTTGTTCAGAGAGCCTAGCCCTACACAAGCCAACTGTTTGGACGAATCCCCACAATCCTAGGCAGCTCCTCCTCTGCCTGCCTATCCTTCACGCACCTTCCCTCCTCCCCCCCCCCAACTCCCCTTCTCCCTCTTTCAGCCAAGTGTTTGGACCGATCCCCGCAATCCTAGGCAGCTCCTCTGCCTGCCTGTCCTTCCCTTCCCCCCCCCCCCCCCCAACTCCCCTTCTCCCTCTTTCAGCCAACTGTTTGGACCGATCCCCGCAATCCTAGGCAACGCTTCTGAGTGCCCTTCACCCACCGCCCCTTCTTCCCCCCCCTCCTCCCCACTCCCCTTCTGTGTGCTCTACACAGAAAGACAGTTGGCCCATCCCCGCAAGCCTAGCCGATCCCCGGCAATGCTTCTGAGTGCCCTTCACCCGCCGCCCCTTCTTCCCCCCCTTCCTCCCCACTCCCCTTCTGTGTGCTCTACACAGAAAGACAGTTGGCCCATCCCCGCAAGCCTAGCCGATCCCCGGCAATGCTTCTGAGTGCCCTTCACCCACCGCCCCTGAGAGTGCTTTTGAGGCACCTCAAAAGTGCCCTTCACCCACAGCCCCTTCTTCCCCCCCCCCTCCTCTCCACTCCCTTCTCTCTCTTTTAGAGAGCTCTACACGAACCAACTGTCCGGACCCATCCCCGCAAGCCTAGCCGATGCCTCTTCCCTATCGTCGATGTGAGTGTGTTGATTGGTAACCGCGTCTGTTACGGCATTCATGTCAGTCAATGCAAGTCAATGCGAGTCAATGCAAGTCGATACGAGACATCGTGATTCCATCATACTTCCGTGCCATTTCGCATGTAACCACTGCACGTAACCACTAGATGTGACCGCCCTCTCATGCCATCCCCCAGCTAACCACTCTCTCCCCTCCCACCAGAGCGCTGGACGATAACCGTCTCTCGGGTCCCATCCCACCTGCGCTGGGGGACCTCCCACCATCCACTTGTGTCCTCTATTTCTCATGGATGGGGCCCTCCCACCATCCACTTGTGACCATCCACTTGTCACCTCTTTCTGTGTCTTCTCTTCCCACTGCTCTCCCCCACAGAGCGCTGACTGACAATCGTCTCTCGGGCCCCATCCCACCTGCGCTGGGGGACATTCCCAACCTCGTTGCACTGTATGTGTGGGGGTGTGTTGTGTGGGGTGTGAGTGTGTTGTGTGTTGTGTAGGGTGTGGAGTGTGGGAAATGTGCCGCTTGCATAGATGCACTTCAGAGTTCCGACAGTTCCGACAGTTCCGACAGTTCCAACAGTTCGGACAGTTCGGACAGTTCGGCCATTTCCGACAGTTCCAACAATTCCGACAGTTCCAACAGTCCCGGCAGTCCCGACAGTCCCGACATTCCCGACATTTCCGACAGTTCCGACAATTCCTTTCTCCTGCTTTCCTTCCCCTCCAACCTTTCTCTCGCCACCACCACTCTATGTTCCTTCCTCTCTTCTCAATTCTCTTCCTGCAACCCTCTTCCCTTTCTCCCTTTGCCTTGCCCACCTCTCATCCCTGCTTCCCTCTGTCCTTTCCTTCCCTCCTTACCCCTTTAATTCCTCTCTTTCACCATTCCAAACCCTTCCGCCCCGCTCTCGCTTTCCCCACAGCTATGTGGCAAGCAACCACCTCGCAGGACCCCTTCCCAACAGCTTCAGTCGGCTCGATAGCCTTATGTACCTGTGAGCGTCGGGCCTCTTAGCAGCCTCATGAACTTGTGAGCGTCGGACCTCTCCATAACATTTGTGAGCGTCGGGCCTCTCCATAACTTTTGTGAGCGTCGGGCCTCTCAACAGCCATATTCACTTGTGAGCATTACTCACCAGCCTAAAGTATCTGGGTGCAATTGGAGGCGTCTGCACTTGCGGGCATTTGGAGGCTTCTAAACTTACGTTGTAGAACCCTATGGTTTATGCTTGCTGTATTTCTCCCTTCTAATGTGCATCCCTGTCCGTATCCCTCATGCGTCATAAACCTCCCTAAACCTCCAACCCTCCCACCCGCAGTGACGTCAGCTACAACAGGGATCTCAGCGGCACTATCATTCCTCCCCCCTTACCCCCGCCCCCCGCCTCCCCACTTACCCCGCCCCCCGCCTCCCCCCTTACCCCCGCCCCCCGCCTCCCCCCTTACCCCCGCCCCCCGCCTCCCCCCTTATCCCTTGTCTTTTTCCTCTTGTCTCCTCTGTTCGTCCTGCCTTGTGCCCTCTGTGACGTCAGCTACAACGAGGGCATCAACGGCTCCCTCCCTGCCTTCCTGGGAAACCTCAGGCTGCTGGAGTCCGTGTGAGTATGAGTGGGTTGAAAACTGGAGTGGAGGTGTGGTATGCTTGAAACCTCCGTCCCTACTCATCTCTCCCTCGTCCCTCCCTCCCTTCCTGGGAAACCTCAGGCTGCTGGAGTCCGTGTGAGTATGAGTGGGTTGGGATGTGGTATGCTTGAACACTCCGTTCCAACTCATCTCTCCCCCTTCCCTCCCTGCCTTCCAAGGGAACCTCCAGCTGCTCGAGTCCGTGTGATTCGAATGACTGAAACCTCATATGTGAGTACGAATTGAATGAAATCTCCTTCACCAATCGCCTCTCCCCTTCCCCACTCGCCTCTCCCCTTCCCAACTCGCCTCTCCCCTTCCCAACTCGCCTCTCCCCTTCCCCACTCGCCTCTCCCCTTCCCAACTCACTCTCTCCTTCCCCACTCATCTCTCCCCTTCCATGGGGTGTTTCACTCGGCCATGGGGTGAGCCACCCCCTGGCCGAGTGAATCACCCCATGGCCGAGTGAGCCACCCCATGGCCGCGGGAATCACTTCCTGGCCGAGTGAATCACCTCATGGCCGATTTAATCACCCCATGGCCGAGTGAATCACCCCCTGGCCGAGTGAATCACCCCCTGGCCGAGTGAATCACCCCCTGGCCGAGTGAGCCACCCCCTGGCCGAGTGAATCACCCCCTGGCCGAGTGAGCCACCCCCTGGCCGAGTGAGCCACCCCCTGGCCGAGTGAATCACCCACTGGCCAGTCACTCACCAGAGTCCCTTCCCCCTGGGAAAGCAAGCTAGAGTCGCTCCCCGCTGCTCTGACCTCTCCTCTTTCCCAGTACTCCGCCACTTCTCTTCCCAGAGTCGCTTAGCACTGCAACCTCTCCGGCTCCATCCCAGGGACTCTGGGAAAGCAAACTAGAGTCGCTTCTCGCTGCTCTGACCTCCCCTCTTTCCCAGTACTCCGCCACTTCTCTTCCCAGAGTCGCTGAGCACTGCAGGCTGCAGACTCACGGGCCCCCTATCATCCATGGGTTCCCTGCCTCGCCTCGGCGAGCTCCACCTCGACAACAACCGCCGCTCATGCTCCTTCTACACATTAACGTATCTCCCTCCCAATGTTCCCCCCTCTTCCCCCCTCTTCCCCCCTCTTCCCCCCTCTTCCCCCCCCTTTCCCCCTCTTCCCCCCTCTTTCCCCCTCTTCCCCCTGTCTTGCTCCCCTCCCCTTTCTCTGTGCCGCTGAGTACTGCAACCTCACCGGGCCCATCCGTCCATCCCTGGGCTCCCTGCCTCGCCCCGTCGAGCTCCTCCTCGCCAACAACCGCCTCTCAGGCCCCATCCACACATTGACGTCTATTTCCCCCTCTCCTCCCCCCTCTTCTCCCCCTTCCCCCTCTTCCCCCTGTCTTGCTCCCCTCCCTTCCCAGAGCCGCTGAGTACTGCAACCTCACGGGCTCCATCCCTCCATCCCTGGGCTCCCTGCCTCTCCTTGTCGAGCTCTTCCTCGACAACAACCGCCTCTCAGGCTCCATCCCAGCGGCGCTTAGCAGAGCAACGGCGCTTAACAAGCTGTATTTGAACCGGAACCAGCTGGGTGGGAGCATACCGGCTGGGCTGTGCCGGCTGAGCAACATCTATGACCTTAACCTGGCCCGCAACCAGCTGACGGGAACCATTCCTGTGTGCCTCACGAAACTGCCTCACATATCTTCTCTGTGAGTGGGGTGGGGTGGGACTGGGTGGGAGCATACCTACCAGCTGGGCTGTGCCAACTGAGCCACATTGATGACCTCAACCTGGCGCGCAACCAGCTGCCCGGCACTATCCCCACTCGCCTCGTGCAACTGCTTTTGAGGCGCCTCAAAAGCACTATCCCCACTCGCCTCGTGCAACTGCTTTTGAGGCGCCTCAAAAGCACTATCCCCAATCGCCTCGTGCAACTGCTTTTGAGGCGCCTCAAAAGCACTATCCCCACTCGCCTCGTGCAACTGCTTTTGAGGCGCCTCAAAAGCACTATTCCCACTCGCCTCGTGCAACTGCTTTTGAGGCGCCTCAAAAGCACTATCCCCACTCGCCTCGTGCAACTGCTTTTGAAGCGCCTCAAAAGCACTATCCCCACTCGCCTCGTGCAACTGCCTCACATCTCTTCTCTGTGAGTAGGGCGGGGTGGGGTGGGACTTGGTGAGATGGAGCTCCGCTCCACACACCTGCTGAGCTCTGCCAGCTGAGCCGGCTGACCAGCATCGATGACCTCGACCTGGCTCGAACTATCCGCACTTGCCTGGTGCAACAGCTATGACAGTTGCAACTGCCACACGTATCATCGCTGTGAGTGGGGTGGCATGGGACTGGGTGGGTTTGAGATGTCCATACCTGCCGAGCTGTGCCAGCTGTGCCAGCTGTGCGAATTGAGCAGCATCTATGGCCTCAACGGTCAACATGGCTATTGCTCCCCCACTCCTAGGTAGGACCCTACGGCCTCCTCTCTCCCCTCCCTCCTCACTGTCCCCCCCTCCCCCCATCCCCATTGCCCCCCATCCCCATTGCCCCCCATCCCCATTGGCCCCCATCCCCATTGGCCCCCATCCCCAGTCTCCATTATGCTACTCAGCCATGAAGTCCCTGTCCCGTCTCCTCCCCCTCCCCATGGCAACGGGAATATCTATCCGGCACGGGCAACTCAAGGGGGCATTGCCTCGCAACCCCTATTTCTATTTTGCTGCTGAGTCATGATGTCGCTCTCTGCTTTTGAGTCGACTCAACAGCAGACTGGCACGCCGTCTTTTTGAGAATTCACAACAACACCCCTGCCTCCTCTCACCCCTACCTGCCATGCGTGAGGAGTCCATTATTGAGGCGCCTAAAAAACTGACATCCCTGTCTCCCCTCTCCCATACCTCCCCATGGCAACAGAATTATCTCTAACAACCGTCTCACGGGGCCATTGCCCCCCATCACCAGTCCGCCTGCTTTCCACTTCTCGTGAGTTCCTTCCCTGCAATAGAGCCTTCAAGTCATGCGCAACCTCCATGCCATGTAATATGATATCAGCTGAACTGATACCATGATAAGAGATGCCAGTTTCACAAAGCGCCATTGTAGCGTGAACAGTGCTCTGGTGTCATACGCATGTCTTTGTGCCATGAACAGTGCTCTGGTGTGAGGAATCTTTACTATACGTATGACTGACGAGGGAGGTTTGTGAGCCACGCTTGAGCCTTTTATGCACACCATGCACGAAGCCACCCATCCATGCACATACAGCCTGCACCATGCGATCATCCAGTCACTCAGAGATCTTTTGCGTTTCCATCTCTTCCCATGCATGTGCCCCCACCCGTACATGCAGATACGCCGGCAACTGCCTCGACAATGCACCGGACCAGGACTGCCCTGCCAAAGCCACCTCTCCTGCTGCCGCTCCCTCCGCTCCCTCCTCCGCTCCCTCCTCCGCTCCCTCCCCTGCTCCTGCCTCCGCTCCCTCGTCTGCTCCCTTCCCCGCTCCGGCTCCGGCCTCTGCTCCTGCTTCCCGCCCTGACCACGCTCCTTCTACCCCCTCAGCACCGGCCAGGTCAGCACCTGCGTCCAAGTCAGCACCCTCGTCCACATCAGCACCGGCCAAATCAGCACTTGCCACATCAGCACCTGCACTTACTTCTCAGCCCAGCAGTGCACCAACAGCCGATGCCACACAGGCACAGCAGCAGCAGCAGCAGCAGCAGCAGCAGGGGCCCCCACCAGGGCCCAACAATGCAGCTTTAAGTGGCGTGCACTTTCCCATTACTCGTGCTGCCATGCTCGCTCTTCTGCTGCTTGTGTTACTGTGGTAACCACATGGCTGAAGCTGCTGTGGCTGTTACTTGCTCTCACGTGAAACAATACTGGTTCGTTAGGTAGCTTGCTGATTTTCGTTCTTAGAGTGTATGCCTGTGCGTGTGCACTTCTGTGGTTTGAATCTCTGATTTGCGGCACATGTTTGTTATGATATGATATGTTTGGTTGATTATACACATGCACCGAAAACAGCACACATGCACCCTCTGTGCCACTGTCGGTCGGTAGCATCATCAACACGTGCCTACTAGAGTCTAGGAGTGCTAGTCCTAGTGGTAGGCACAGTGCCACTCCAGCAGCTGCTATTGAATACAGTAGGAGGCAGATGAAGGTACACCTCACAGGTCTTAGTTGTACTGTTAGTCAGGGTTTAGGGTAAATGAGATTACATGAACAGGGAAGGAACTCACAAGAAGTGGGCTCCCTCGCTTGCAAGTGAGGGAGAGGTCATTCACTGTGAAAGTACCGTCAAACTAGGTGTCAGATCACACCACCGCTCATATCAGCGGTGCTAGTGCAGCTGATATTTAGCATGCAAGCTACAGCAAAAAGAGAGATCAGCAACTGGTTACTGCTAGTCCTTCCAAGCTGGAACCCGTGGTTGCAGCAACAAGAGAGATCACCAAAAGTTGCTGGTCCTTTCGTAGCTGGAATCCGTGGTTGCGGCGGTAACGTCCCCTGTAGAGGCTTTCTCAGCAACTGCTTACTGGTCCTTCCGAAGCTTCCGACCACTGGAATCGGTGGTTGCGGTGGGATTGTCCACTGTAGAGAAATCCTCAGCATGGCTGGTTGTCATGGCGAAACATTCCTGTCATAGGGGTTTTAAGCCCATAGGTGTTTTAAGCCCATAGCATCCATTGTAAAACCCCTCAGTTCCGGTTCTCTGCTCAGTCCTGCAGAGTTCCGGTTCCGGTTCTCAGTTCCGGTTCTCAGTTCCGGTTCTCAGTTCCGGTTCTCAGTTCCGGTTCTCAGTTCCGGTTCTCAGTTCCGGTTCTCAGTTCCGGTTCTCAGTTCCGGTTCTCAGTTCCGGTTCTCAGTTCCGGTTCTCAGTTCCGGTTCTCAGTTCCGGTTCTCAGTTCCGGTTCTCAGTTCCGGTTCTCAGTTCCGGTTCTCAGTTCCGGTTCTCAGTTCCGGTTCTCAGTTCCGGTTCTCTGCTCAGTCCTGCAGCGCATCAGATCCCTTACACCGCCGGCACTGATGAAGGTCTGATTTGGGGCCTGTCCCAGTCAGCCTCCGCTGCTGCCCACCCTAACGCTTAATGGTGCGCACCTGATCCCTGACACCTGATCCCTGACACCTGATCCCTGACACCTGATCCCTGACACCTGATCCCTGACACCTGATCCCTGACAACGCCGGACCCTCCACTGCGGAAGTTCACCCGCCCCAGTCAATCGACAGCAACGGCTCTGAAACCCACCCACCCTTCCTGCTCACCGTTTAGCAAAGTTTGTGAACCCACCCTTCCCACCCACAGCAATGGTTGTAAACCAACTCTTCCCACTCAACTTACAGTCAGGGTGTGAGTTGAAGTCTGAAGCCCACCCTTCCCACTCAACTTAAAGTCGGGGTGTGAGTTGACGTCTGAAGCCCACCTTTTCCACTCAACTTATAGTCGGGGTGTGAGTTGACGTCTGAAGCCCGCCCTTCCCACTCAACTAACAGTGGAGGCGTGAGTTGAAGCCTGAAGCCCACCCTTCCCCTCACCTTACAGTCGGGGCGTGAGTTGAAGCCTGAAGCCCATCCTTCCTCCAACGCACCTACTGTGGAAGACTGAAACACCCTCCTAACCTCACTCTGTGACTTGGGGTTGGAGCCTCCACCGCCTAACCTCAATGGGCAACTTGGCTTTGGACCCCCCCCCCTTGCCTCCCCCCTAACATGGGGTTTTCAGCCCCCTCTCACTTGCCTCACCTTGTGACTTGGGGTCTGAAACCCCCTCCCTTGCCTAACCTTGTAACTTGGGGTCTGAAACCCCCTCCCTTGTCTCACCTTGTAACTTGGGGTCTGAAACCCCCTCCCTTGCCTAACCTTGTACCTTGGGGTCTGAAACCCCCTCCCATGCCTCGCCTTGTAACTTGGGGTCTGAAACCCCCCTCCCATGCCTCATCTTGTAACTTGGGGTCTGAACCCCCCTCCCATGCCTCACCATGTAACTTGGGGTCTGAAGCCCCCTCCTCCCTTGCCTCACACTGAAAAGGGTTGAACCAAAGAGCCCAAGGATGGGGCTTATTGCATCAGGCAACACGTGGGGCAGCATCATCATTTGCCTCACCTATCATGTGGAGCTCTAGGCTCAACCCTTCTTTTCCACACTCCCTTGGGTGGGTTTTAAACCCCGGGGGATTCAGCCCCCCATCTCATCCCCCTCCACTAAACTTACAGTGGCGGTTGCAGGTGCAGACGCCTCCATTGCCGCTCATTCTACTTCACCCACTCCACCACCCACTCCACCACCCACTCCACCACCCACTCCACCACCCACTCCACCACCCACTCCACCACCCACTTCACCACCCACTCCACCACCCACTCCACCACCCACTCCACCACCCACTCCCCTCCGTCCCCTCCCTTCCCCATCCATCCCAGCACTAGGAGCAGCATGCAACCCACTCCCCTTCGGAAGCAACACCCCCCATGGCTCCGCCTTGTGGGGGAAAGAGTGGCAGTGGAAAGTGCACGGGCGGCCCAAGACTCAAATCCCGCGTACGAAAGCGTCGTAGGAGGGGACTCCCATCCAGAGCCGGCGCGCACGGCTCTGGCCGGTTCCATTATACGATACGCCAGTGTTGGTACTTGAGGAACGACTGCCGTGCCACACACTTTCCACTTACCACCCCCGACCAACAAGGCAGGAACCGCAGAGGGCGCTGCCCGTAAGGGAGTGAGCTGCATGCTTGCTCCTATGCTCCCCCCCTCCACCCTCCCTCGCTCCATCCCCTTACCTCCACCTACCATAGCCAAATGGAGTATGCTGTTGCGGCGCAACCTGCTAGTGGGGGGGTGGGGGAGTGAGGGTGGAGACTGCACCTTCCTTTCCTCAAGGCGATGCTGCTGGAAAAGGGGAAAGGGAGAGGAGAGGAGGTGAGAGAGAGGGTGGGCGCCATTCTCCTGCCCTTGCTCCAAGGAAGGGGGAAGGGGAAGGTGACATCGGGAACTGAACTGCACCTTCCTTTCCTCATGATGCTGCTGGGGGGGGAAGGAGGGGGAGAGGGAGGGGGGGAAGGAGGGAGGGAAGGAGGGGGAGAGGAGAGGAGGTGAAAGAGGGTGGGCTTTATTGCTCCTGCCCTTGCTCCAAGGCTCCAGTTCCGCATGCTGTAGGAAGGAAGTAGGGGGGTGAGACAACCATACCTGCTACCTTACCTGGTACCATACCTCACTCACTCACTCCTAGTCCTAGCCTGCCCGCTAACCACCCAACCCGCACTGCTGCTTCTGCTGCTGCTAGTGCTGCTGCTGCTGCTGCTGCTGTCAGCTGCTCAGCTTCCTCTGCTGCAGTCTTCAGCTGATGCCAAGTGATCTGGTGGGGGCAGAAGGGCAGGCAGACAGAAAACAAGTTAGTACCGGACAAAGCATTGGGTGAAAAAGAAAGGACAGTGAACAGCGCATGCACGAACTGGAAGGACAGTGAACAGGCACCACTTGCAGCAGCAGGAGGGGTTGGTGAATAGACGCTTACCTTGAGAGGCCAACCCCACTCCAGATACTCTCCCTCATGGCAGCATTCCTCCCAGCTTCCCGTGTGCAGAGCAACGGCAGCATTGCTCCCAGCTCCCTCCCTGCATGGCCACCGGGGAGGGGTGCAGGGGAGTGGCGCTGTTGATCCCCTCAACCTGCAAGGAGAAAACTGGAGAGCAGTGAGTAGGCAGCTTAGGGTGGAAGCATGAGAGGTGGGCATGGGTGGGGTGGCAGCAAGGGACCACTGGAGAAGCACTAGGAAGGCACGTGATGCAGACCCCAGGGCCATAGGGAGGGGGATACTTAGGGAGGGGGGTACTTAGGGAGGGGGGTATTTAGTAACTATAGGGGTAGGCTTAACCTTGGGGGGGGGAAAAGGGGGGGAGATACCTGGACTAATGGGGGGGGTGGGGGGTTGCGGGTAGGGGTCTGCACCATGTGAACTAGACTGCTGCAAGTGGGTTGGTTTTAGGAGGCATGAGGCATGGATGGAGTGATGAGGTGGGAAGCATGTGTGAACGCATGTGAGAGAGTTGCATGAAGTCAAACGAAAAGTCAAAGACAGCAAGCGGAAAGCAGGGAGAGGCCAGCAAGGAGAAGGCATGTGAGTGCACTTATCTGCTGTGGCTGCACTGGCAGCTGGCACTTCTAGTTCCAGCCCTCTCTGCTCCCCGCCTTCAAGCACTTCACAGCACCCACTTGTTGCCGTTGCAGTCCTCCCCTCGCTCTGCAGGCAGCAGCCACTGCACAGGTGCTTGCACATCCGCCAGCAGAGGCCCTGCTCGGGGATGGCTTTTGAGGCGCCTCAAAAGCAGGCAGCAGCCACTGCACAGGTGCTTGCACATCCGCCAGCAGAGGCCCTGCTCGGGGATGGCTTTTGAGGCGCCTCAAAAGCAGGCAGCAGCCACTGCACAGGTGCTTGCACATCCGCCAGCAGAGGCCCTGCTCGGGGATGGCTTTTGAGGCGCCTCAAAAGCAGGCAGCAGCCACTGCACAGGTGCTTGCACATCCGCCAGCAGAGGCCCTGCTCGGGGATGGCTTTTGAGGCGCCTCAAAAGCAGGCAGCAGCCACTGCACAGGTGCTTGCACATCCGCCAGCAGAGGCCCTGCTCGGGGATGGCTTTTGAGGCGCCTCAAAAGCAGGCAGCAGCCACTGCACAGGGGATTGCACATCCGCCAGCAGAGGCCCTGCTCGGGGATGGCAGGGACGGAGGAGGAGGTGGAGGGGAAGGGAGAGGGGCGGGCGGGGGAAGGGAGGGAGAGGTAGTTAGTCCCAGGAGAGAGTGGTAGGCAGGGAGGAATCAGTGAGTGCAACCAAAGAAGTGCGAGTAGAAGGGAGGTCAAGATCAGCGAGAGCTGAAACGACAGTGAAGGGGCATAATCTGCAGCAGCAGCAGGAGGGGTTGGTGATTGGAGGCTTACCTTGAGAGGCCCTTGAGAGGGGATGGGAGAGGGGGGGGGGATACCTGGAATAAAAGGGGGGGGGGGGGGGAGGGGGGGTATGCACCACGTGAGCTAGGCTGCTGAAAGTGGTTTGGTTGAAGGCGGCATGCAGCAAGGATGGAAGGACATGATTTTGAGAAGAGCATGGAAGGACATGATTTTGAGAAGAGCATGGAAGGACATGATTTTGAGAAGAGCATGGACGGACATGCGGCCGAAAGCACAAGAGTAACACGGGAAACCAGCAGGCTCAGGCCAGAGTGGAAGCGTTACTTAGCTGGAAGTTGGAAGTCGAGGCACTGAGAGAGCAGCTGTCTGCCCTCCCCTCCCCACCCCCCCTCTCCGATATTCTCCCCACTTCTCCCCTTCTCCACTGCGCCCTGCAGACGGAAGCAAGTGCGCTTGTAGACACGTAGACACTCCAGCAGAGGCCCTGCTGGGGGGATGGGGAGGGAGAGGGAGGGAGGGGAGTGGAGAGGGGGAGGGGGGAGAGGGGGGGGAAGGGAAGAGACAGAAGGAGGTAGTTAAGTCCAGGAGAGAGCGGAGGGCAGATGGAATTTGAGACGTGCAGTGCAGAGAGGAGAGGAACAAACAAGGGAGGGAGGGGGCCACTGGTGGAGCCACAACCACAAGCCACAGACCCCAGGGGAACCTGAGGGGGCTGTAATGTAAGGCTTTAGGGGGGCTGCGGGGAGGGGGCTACCTGTAGTGTGAGAGGAGGGGGGGGGGGGGGGGGGGGGGTCTGTGGCCTGTGAGCCGGGCCCCAACCAGAGGCGAATTTCAATGGGGAAAGGGTGGAAGGAGATCTGACTAAGAACAGAGCGGAACCAAGAAGCAATTGGCAGGCTGAGTCTAGGGAGCAAGGGTGACTTCGCTGGAAACTGAAGCACCGCTGAGAGTGGCTGCTTGCTCTCCTTTCCTTCCCCTCTCCCCTCCTTCAAAAGCACTGCGGCCAAAGCTGAAGAAGTGGCACGGTTTTGAAGGGAAGAAGCGAATGACAGAGGCAAACAGGGGCAAGGCATGCTGTGAAAGGCGAGGGTGGGTGCGGGGAGTCGAGAGCACTTAGCTGGAATCACCATGCTTGCTAGAATCTCCAAGCGGCCCTGGCGCCATTGGGCAGGTAGAAGCATCACCTACTGCCCCTGGTGCCTCCGCTGCTCCTGCTGCTCCCCAGAAGCCCTGTTGGGGGGATGAGGGGGAAGGGTTGGGGGGAGAGGGGAGGGGAGAGGTATTTAAGTCCGGGAGAGAGAGGTAGGCAGATGGGAACAGAGATGTGCCACTGGCAATGCGTAAGCGAGAAGACAAGGGGAGGGCGCCACTGGTGGAGGCATAGCCACAAACCACAGACCCCAAGGGAACCTGAGAGGGTGAACCTGAGGGGGCTGTAAGGCGTTAGGGAGGCTGAACCTGAGGGGCTACCTGTTGTAAAGTGGGAGGGGTCTGTGGCCTGTGAGGTGGACCCAAACCAGTGGCGGCATTTTGAGAGAAAAGGCAACAGCAAGAGGAGCAGCTAGCAGCATGCAAGGCTCGGTCCAGCGGCGGAAGGTTACTTAGCTGGAAGCTGAAGCAACAACTCCAACTCGGAAGCCCCTCCACCTTACCTCCGCCCACCCCCCGCTCCTCCCTCCTCCCTCCTCCCTCCTCCCTCCAACCTCTGCCACCATTGCACTCCGCCCTCCCCTCCTCCTGCCCTCCCTCCATATGTGCCCTCCAGGCTGCACTTGCCATGTGCGCGCCTGCTGCCATGGGCGCACCTGTTGCCACGGGCGCACCTGCTGGCATGGCACGTGCATGGGGGAAAAGGCACGGGAGAGGGGAAGAGTGAGCAACTGGACGGCAGAAGGAGAAGCAGAAAGCAAACTGGCAGAAGCATGTGGGCACGCTGCTCACCCGTTGCTGACAAGCCCGTCCCAGCACCCAGATGCTCTCCCTTGCACCTGAATGCCCTGCCGCCGTCCCTTGCATGATCCATCCTGGCAGCACAGCACAGCCACGAGCGGAGAGTGCTGCTGTTGACTCTCACGCCAACCCTCCACCACTGCTGCTGCCGCCACCCCTGCTGCTCCTCCAACCGCCATAACTGCAGACACGGGGGGGGGAGGGGGGGGCGGGGGGGGGGGGGGAGGGGGGGGGGGGAGGGGGGATATCCCCCCCACCCCTCCATGGAGAAAGGAAAGACACACGCACGGCGGCAGCAACACTCGTTAGCAGCAGCAGGAGGAAAGACACTGACTCGAGCAGAGAGCGAACGAGACTGGAGACGCACTTACCAGGTGCAGCGGCGACCTTGACAGTGACCTACTCGCCCCCCCTACAGCTGCCTCTACAGTGACCTCTCACCCGGCAGAGCAGGCGGCAGAGGAAGCGGCAGACGACGATGGAGGCGCAGCGCTGCCCGCAGCACAGCCACGCGCGGAGCGCAGACGTTTCGCGGACGGGCATGCGACAACCCTGGAGTGTAGACGACGCGAGGGCGATCAACTCGCCGTGCGACGCGCACGGACGACACTCCCGTCGCGCGGCGACGCACGGACGAGGATCTCGCCGTGCGACGAGACGCGCGCGACCATCTCGCCACGCGACGACTCGCGGAGCGGGCGATCATTTCGCCACGCGATGACGCTACGGCACGGCGCCGGGTATCGTTTGTCACTCGCATCTGTATCTGGACGACAATCCCGCTGTGCGAGGAGGAGCGGAAGGCCATGCGACGACCCGCGGACGATCATCACGCCGCGCGACGACGCGCGGACGACCATCTCGCCGTGCGACGACGCGCGGCGGAAGATCTTGCCGTGAGACGACCCGCGGACGACCATCTCGTCACGCGACGACGGGAGGACGACGATCCCGCCATGCGACGATACGCGGACGACCATCTCGCCACGCGACGCTACGACAGTCGCTCGCATCTGAACGAAGGAAGCACAGCCATAAGGAGGGTTGAGGCTTTCGGGTGTGACAATAACGAGGCACACGAAACGGCGGATGGTACGCAATTTGCAAAATAGCGGCTGAGTGAGGTGAATAGGTTTTAGCGAAGAAACTGGCTGGCGAAATAAAATTGGAGTAATTTGGCGAGAGTTGGCGAAAGTAGTTTGGCGGGGGTCGAAACGAACCTTGTTCAGCAGTCGCCCATAATTTGTTCGCCCGTCCAGGTGCGGCATCGCGCGAATTCATCGCCTCTCCGTCGCACACCGCAGCAGGTCGCACACAACTGGAGCTCGGAGGTCAACTTTTTGCCTCGAAAACTCCACCAGGCACAAGCAGCACCCGGCAGCATCAGGCAGCACCAAGCAGCACCCAGCAGCACCCAGCAGCACACAGAAAAACAGGAGGGGAGAGTTTGTTTGTCCCACCACGCACAGAGCAGACTCAAAGCACGAAACGGACGAGAGACACGCTATGCGGTGGACGCCCACCCGCCCCCCCTCTAGGTCGTCCCAGCCACTTGCTCAAACATCTCAACTGCGGTCAAGAGGCGTGCACGCGAGAGGCAAGGTCTCCGTCCCAGTGGAAGCCTCCATCATATTGCGTTCTCGCGGTCTCCATCTCGATCTTCTTCGAATTTGCGACCGCGAGAGTGCAACACGATTGCCAATGGCGGCTCCACGACCCCCCGCAGACGCGTGCCACGGAATCGACGGCTCCGCGGCCACGAAGAGGCGGCAGCCTCACGCCGACGCGTTCACTCGCCGACGGTCACATGCGCGCGCACGAAAGCGGAAACAGAACCACGATAGGGAGTGCGTTAGTAACCACGCAGGATGACTCAAGCAGCACGAAACGGACTGGAGACGCGCTATGCGGCGGACGCCTACTCGACCCCCCAGAAGCGATTCCCTTTCGCTTACCAAGGCGGTTCGTGAGAGGATCGTCGGCGGCGGACAGTCCGTCGGTCACGAAACTATCGCAAGCGGCGGAACGATCTTCGGCAGCGAAACTATCGCAAGCGGCAGAACTCTCCTCTCCGGTTATTCCGACCGCGGCATGATGGCCGAGCAGCCGTCGCTGGTCGTGCGATGGCTGCGACGCACGCGACGGCTGCGACGTGATGGCCGAGCAGCCATCGCTGGTCGTGCGAAAAGCTGCAAGGAGGCGAAAGGGTAGAAAGAGAGAGAGAAAAAAAGAAGCAGCTGGCAGGTCGTGCAATACTAAGGGCGAGCGGAACGGGGAGAGAATCGGCGATCAAGACGTCGAGTAAAAAACGAAAGAAAACGAAGATAGGCGACGAATGTTTAGCGTGATTCCTACCGAGTTGGAGACGGAAATCAAGACGCCACGCACGACGGACGGAACGAAGCCTCCCTCGAGTTCTCGACAGACTCGACTCGGAGTCGTCGGCCGACGCTGCAAGAATCGTCGCACGTGACGATTGCGACAGACGTTGTCGCAACTGCCCACTCAGTTGCCGCGACCGCCGAGTACGTCGGCTCTCCGTGTTACTCCGACGAGCAGCCATGGAGAGCTCGTAGTGAAGCCGCCTCGTGGCTCATTCGACGATACGTCGGTTGTTAAGAATAGTGTAAGCGTGGCGAAGAAACGATGGAGCTAGACGGAGAGCTAGTGAAGCGGCCTAACGTCACCAAATTTCTCTAGAGTAGAGCTGAGTGAGGAAAATGCGAGAAGCTACAATGGGCGTTGGGAGAGGAATGGGCGTGGGAGAGAGCACGCGGTGGGTGAGGCTGGATGAGCGAGCCTCGGGGGAGGGATCCCAGCATCGCCAACGCTGGCCAACATCCCAGCGACCATTTTTTTTCCCAGAGCCAACCTCGACTCCGCTGCTTGGGTGGTTTCCCGCCGCGGAATGCGAAAAGCGCAACGCGAGGTGACCAAGACGAGCCGCCTGGTCCTTCGTTCTATGGAAAGGGCTCAAAAGTACGCGGCAAAAGGCCCTAACGGGCATACTAAAACTGCAAACAAACGAAATACGAGCCTTGCTGGGAGGTCCGACAAGGGTGTGGGGAGTCTAGGTAAGCTGAACGATGAGTCGAAATTGAATGGTCGAGGTGAAAGGCGACTCGACGCGGCGGACGAACCTTTTTCTGGGGTCAATGCGACTCGAAATATAGCGGCGGCCATGGCTGGTTGGATTCGAGTCAGCGCATAGAAAACTGGCGAGTTTTGGAGGGAAAGAAGGGGGTCGTGAAGTGCTGTGTACGCGACACTAGCACATTCACGAGCAGTTCAAAATCGCCATGTTCACTGAAACATATTTAGTATTCGAACTGATATTTTATGCTGCTAGAAGAGCTTGCTGCTACTTACCTTCGATGGGATAAACTTCTGTTGGGAAGTGTAGACTGTAGTCAAAAGTGTGGAGGGAAAGAAGAAGCACGTGCCTTGTGTGTGGCCTTCGGTTTGTGTTTGGCTGGAGGGGCATTTGCAAATTTTGCAGCCACCATATCGAACGGGCACGTGCGAACTCAGACCTTCCCCTCACCTACCGTCGATCTTCTCCCCCTACACACGCCGTCACTACGAATCCACCGGCCCATATGATTTCTGGCGTCTGTTGGGTGGTTGAGAGTGCTGCTGCTGACACATTGGCCCACCGCCTGCTCGTCCCTTGGGAGTTCCTTCCAAGTCTCGATTCCCGAACCGAACCGAACACAGGCTGCTGGGTGTGGTGTGGGGCAGCCAGCCAGCCAGCCAGCCTGTCGTCCGGTTCGGACTGAGCTGTAGTTAGTGCCTGCGGGTCTGCTTGTTCGTTCCTCCCTCTCTCCCGTCTGGTTAGGGCGTAGGAAATCGAACCTGAAGACACTGCTCAAACGGAAATTTTTTATGGGTTGACCACGGTACTACATAATATATTAAGATACGATGCGTTGCAGTGCGATGGCAGTTTGAACAAGACCCGTTCGAATGCCGATGTCCCACGCCGATGTTTTCCAACCTAACAGACCACAGGAGGGACCACAGTTCCTCATGACAGCCATAAATGTGCTTTATTACCTCACCGACCTTCGCCCCTGTGAAATACCTTCCTAGATCTCATACTATTCCCCATGGCCGTGCGTTCAGTACAGTATCCGTTTGGCAGGCGATTACGCCTTCACTTTCTGGTTAGTCCAGACACGAGCTTTAATATCACACCGACAACTGTGTATCGAAATAGCCGTTGGCACATGCCACCGAATCAGCTGCTCTTCTTTACAGAGCAGAATCGACACAACGTGCTCACCTTACATTACCTCCTCCTTACCTCATTGTGCCTTACCGAGCCTCGTCAGCCACCCTTTCAAGCTGACACGAAGCTCCTGGTCCCAGCGGTTCCAGTGGTTCCAGCGGTCCCAGCGGTCTGACGTTTTTTTAAACGCCAAGCTGCTGGTCGAACGCCTTCCACTTGTCCCGGCGTTGCTTACAAGATCTTTTACAGTAAACATTTCGCATTCATGTGCTATGGTGCTGGCTGTGAATGCACACACGCTTGCCATGCGCGATCATGCAATGGACCTGACGTGGTGTGGTGTGGACGCCGTTCCCCAGAAACGCCGTTCGCCTTACTGTTACAAGTTACAACGCACTTACAGGCCGACCTGTGGCTTTTAACTATCTGCTGCCGAGCCACCCAGCCAAGCCACACCCTACAGCCTGTAATAAGCAACGACTTGTCGTGGTCCCCTCTCCTCTCGTCCCTTCCGCGCTTCGTGCATTCGATCGGCTTCTGCGAAAGCGACTAGCGATGCGTTGTTAGTCAGTCAGAACGGCTTGCGTGTTCTGCCACCCACCACCTGCGCGTCGAGGACGGGAGCCGACCAGACTCCAGAATCGACGAGATTCAAGGAGCGGTGAGCGGTGAGCCGTGAGTCGTGAGCCGTGCGGAATTATGACCCGCGCATATCAGTCCATCGACTCCCTCCCACCCATCCATCCCATGAAAAGCGTCAGGTCGCCTGTAACATTCCGGATCACTCTAGCGACATTGACCATCTCCGAGTCGATCGCACTGGAGCGAATATATCCGCGTCTCCGTAGCTTAGTACCTCCGAGGTTCGCCGCATTTGTCACCTCAGCTTAGTAACACACTCCGTCACACCCTTCGGTAGCTTCCGAAGTAGAGCCCTTTTTTCTTCTTCTTCTTCACCCAAGATCGTGATGGAAGAAACACTTAGCTTCACGAACGCCGCTCGTGCCATGCTAGCGTCGCGGCTGATGTGCCTTTCAGAGAGAAGAAATGGTCCCTCACCGCTTCAAGTTGCTAGCTCGACTGCAGCACAGAGCAACACTGTAAAGAGTCTCTCACATCCTTCTCTCGTCATGATGTCGTCGTCGAGCGGCGGCTCCGATTTTCCAACTCCGAGTCCCGCCGCTGCCAGTGGCGGAAACAGCGCTGCTGTGAAGAAGCGAACCTGGGCTGAAACATTCGACGACCTTTTCCGCGCGAGGCTCGAGCCGTTCCCCGTCAGATCCCGATTCAACGCCGCCAATCTCGCCGCGAACAACCTCACGCTTTATGAAACTCCGGGGAGCAGTGGGCTGGACAACGTGACGCCGACCCATTCTGCCGCGAACTCAGAGAAGACTCGTGAGGAAGTGCGGCTTCCGGGTTCGTCCAGTCTCCATTTTTTTCCGCCGAACCAACCGGCGATGTCAATGTCAATGTCTCAGCAACCTGTAGCTGCCCCTGACGAAATTGCACTCCCAGGGGTGGTAACCCCACGCGCCAATATTTCGCCAGCTCGGTATCAACTTCAAGGCCAACGGATCTGCAGCCTGTTGACTCCGGAGGGCCGCACCAGCAGCCGGTGCAGCAGCAGCAGCCATGGGAGCGGAGGACGCAGCCAGGGCTCCGAGCCTTTGAGACAGCAGCCTGACTCCATGCAAGCGCCAGTGGCAGCAGTGGCATCAGGAGCAGCTGCACCAGCACCAGCAGCAGCACCACCAGCAGCACCGGGCTTTCCTAGACCAGCATCTATGGAGGGATTGTCAACTCTGCGTGGCGTGTGTGGTGCTCGGAGCTTTCTCGCGAGGGAGTGTATGAGCCAGCCGCAATCCCGTGAAGCTACCCCAGTCAGGGATGAGAGAACTGTTGAGGGATTGTGTTTTGGGATGGTGGGTACACCTGATTGCAAGAGAGCTCGGCTGCTTGCAGAGGTCAAGCTAGCGGTTGCCTCCTCCCCACCGTCTGTCCTGGCTGCTGCCCTCCCGTGCCCAATGCTCACCAAGGCTGCTAAGGATCGATTGCGGCACCACAGAGTGACTATGCTGCGTGGAGCTTCTTTCAATGGCTGTGCTGACAGCACTCTAATTGGACGGGGAAATGGAGTTGGGAAGAGCGCAGCAGGTTTGGAAACCATGGATGACAAGAAATGGCCAGTGTTGTTTGGAGTTAGGCTAATTCCTGGGGAGATGAGTGCATGAATGACAAAGGGTACCATGGACCTTCCATGTACATTTTTGGGGTACCATGCCAATTGGAATGTTTTTTGCCGTAAGTGAAGTAAAAATTATAAGTTGTACCACAGCGTGTATGCTTGTAGTTATTCCAAGGTTGAAAAAATCGCCTTCTGAGTACTTTATCTTAAGCATGGCCCACAGCTTAGCCTACTTCACGCTCTTATGCTCCATTCGAATTTGCTTCAATGCGTACGCGACCCTTGGCGGGAAAACAGCATCCGACAAGCACCCCGTCGCTCTTGTATTAGATTGGTGCATACTGTCAAGTGATTTTGAGCCGAGAGCTGCCCGGTGTCTATTGTCCACGTGCCTTATTGTCAGTCCAGCAGAGCTTCAAGGGCCGCTGGTCCCTCAAAGGGCACTTCAGATCAGCACCTGGTCTACAGGGGGGGAGGGAGTTCGTGCGCAACGAGTCTTCCGCCCGGGGAAAGCCAGGTGCGGCATTGCGTTGCGTGCGACATCCCCCCCTCTCCCCAGCCCCGGCCATGGGGAACAAACTTCGAGGGGCTGTCTCGCGCCTCAAGATTTGGGGGCCTCCGTCAAATCGGAACCGTCAGTTTGGCTCAGCAGAATCGGGTTTGCTGCGGATCTCCGTCCAAATCCCTTGGGATTGTTTCACTCCTCCAGAGTCTCCACTCCCCTCCCAGCAGGTGCATCGGGATTTTTTTTCATTTTTCACCTTGTAGCTTGCGAGTCGTGACTCGTGAGTCGTGACCGCCAGGTGCCTCTGAAATTATCTCGTGTCCTGCGACTCATGAACTTGGCTTTTGCCTGAGTCGGAGCTGGATTGAACTCTTGCTCCTCTGGCTAATGTTCCTGTCGCCTGTCGCCTGTAGTCCAAGCTAGCAAGTCAGCCTACGTCTTTCAATCACTAACGTCGGCGAGCACTCGCCGGGCTTGACCACGCTTAGCTAAACGATAACCCTAGGCCACAGCTATCTCGCAGGGCTAGCTCACCGGAACCCGGCGGTAACCGAGCTTCGGAGGCTAACTGTTAGAGAGGGCGAGTAACAGAGTCCGGGAATCGGCTCGTCTGAGTCACGAATCCAGCTGCAGCATTCGCCATTATCAAGGGCTGTGCCTGTCGGAGTCTTCTATCGCACAGTTTCCAGTCGCACAGCCTTGGGTGGCTGTATACCGCTTTTGGTCTGCTGTCGAGTTATAGTCTGCTGTCGCCTTTTAGCCTGTCAGTGTTTTTGCGTCAGCGATCGACACGAATCTTGCAGTCAGCCGGTAGTGCAAGCGATCGCAGGGTTCACGTCAGCCGGTGCAGTGTGTGATCGACGCGAGTTTCGCAGACAACCGCTGCTGCGAGCGATCGACGCGAAGCTCGCAGGCGGCGAAATGGACGCTGCGATGACGACCCAGAGCGCTGCTGATGTGCCTGAAACCGGTGGTGACTGTAACGAGGGGAAGGCCTCCCAGGCTGTCAGCCTTCCAGATGCGTGGCGGGAGAGATTCAGGGACCTGATCACGGTGAGCCTCTGCCGGGTGTGACTACAGCGGGGGTACAGACAGGGTGTGACTAGAGCGGGGGGAGAGGCGGGGTGTGACTACAACGAGGGTAGCCGCGATTAGGTCAGACCACGATGGGCCTGCGGAGCGAGTGATTACAGCGAGGTTATGGCGAGACCTGCTTGCAATGAGCCACACGATCAGCATGATATTATACGCTCCTGTCGATGTTGCGAGATTCGACGAGCACGGAATGCCAGCGAGATTCCGCGATCATGCAGCTGATTCGACGAGAGAGATTAAGAGATCATGCAGCTGCATAGCGAGGCACTGCGCAGCAGGCAGAGGAGGTCGTCAGCAGTAGTCCTGACCTACCCTATCGCCTTTCCCCGCTTTCTCTCCGCGCTCTTCGATTCTCGTTTTCCCTTCCCGTTCTAGCTCCTCCACACCCGCCATCCGTCCCCCCTCTTTCCCACATGCGTGCATACCCATGTGCGCATGGACGGCGCCATGCGCAGCGGGTCATAGAGGTATTTTCCTCCTTCGATGGGCTATAGAACCCCGCTCTTCCCCTTCCGGTGTCTCCTCCCGCCTCCGCGCCTCCCGCTTTACCCCTCCCGCTCCCCCATGCGCGCAGACCCCCCAGAGGGCATGGACGGCGCCATGCAGCTGCAGGCCATGGAGCTCGTCTCCGCCTGCCACCGTTTGAGTCAGCACACGTTTCATCTTCCTCCGCTCTGCGCTCTCCGCTTCCCCTTCCCCCCCTCTGCCCCCCGTCCGCCCATGCGCGCAGACCCATCTGCGCATGGACGGCGCCATGCAGCAGCAGGCCACGGAGCTCTTCTCCGCCTGCTACGCCCTCCTCGCCCCCTCCATCGCCTCCTTCGGCGCCCCCGAGGTAACCCCGTCCGTCCCTCCGTCCGTCCCTCCGTCCGTCCCTCCGTCCGTCCCTCCATCCGTCCCTCCGTCCGTCCCTCCGTCCGTCCCTCCGTCCCTTCTTCGTCTTCCCTGTGTCTCTCGCTAGTCTCTCCTCCGCCTGCTACGCCCTCCTCGCCCCCTCCATCGCCTCCTTCGGTGCTCCCGAGGTAAGCCCCTCCATCCGACCTTCCGTCCGTCCCTTCGTCTTCCCTGTGTCCCTCGCTTGTCTCTTCTCCGCCGGCTCCGCCCTCCCTGCCCCCTCAATCGCTTCCTGCTGCGCTCCCGAGGTAACCCCGTCCGGCCGCCCGTCCGTCCGTCGATCCCTTGGTCATCTTCCTCCCAATGTTCCCCTCTCTGCTGCTCGTGGCGCGGAAGCTGAGCCTCATCAATATTCTTCCCATTCTCTCCCCATTCCTCTCCCCATTCTCCTCCCGTTCTTTCCCCATTCTCCTCCCGTTCTTTCCCCATTCCTCCCCATCTCCCAGTCCCCGGACGACAGCGAGCGTGCGTGGAGTGCGTGCATCCTATTCGTGGTGCGGAAGCTGGGTCCCGCTAAGGCAGCAGAGGAGGCGGCCGCCGGAGCAGGACAAATCTCGCCGCCCGGGTCGTCGCGGTCGCAGTGGCCGTGGTTCACTCTGTCGGAGCTGCTGCGAGCCACCAAGCTCACGTGAGTCCCCTGTTATGTATAGTGGCATGCGTGCATGATGGTCGCAGTGGCCGAGCTGGTGCTTGCTGACACATGTGCATTGGGAGGTCGCAGTGGCCGTGGTTCACCTTTGTCTAAGCTACTGCGAGCCACCAAGCTCATGTGGGTTGCTTGCGCTTGACTCATGTGCACAGCTCTGCCCCTGCCTCCGTTCCCCCAACTTCCGCCCCGTCCTTTCCGGTTATTGACTGTCACTTGCATGTGCGGCAACCCCAATCCAACCCCAATCCAACCCCAATCCAACCCCAATCCAACCCCAATCCAACCCCAATCCAACCCCAATCCAACCCCAATCCAACCCCTATCCAAACCCAATCCTCCGCTCCACTTCTCCCCCCAACCTCCCTCCCCTCACACTCCCCACCTCCCACTGTCGCCACAAAACCCCTGCCTGCACGACCACGTGGCGCCTCCAGAGTGGTGGATTTCTTCAAGGAGATCGCCAACTTCCTGCCACGTGTCAGCTCTGTGATGCAGTCGGCCTATGGTGACTCGTGGGAGCAGAGGCTGGAGGTATGTGTTCCCAAGGCCCTCTTAAGTAGAGGTTGGAGGTATGTGTTCCCAAGACCCGCTTAAGTAGAGGCTGGAGGTATGTGTTCCCGAGACCCTCTTAAGTAGAGGCTGGAGGTATGTGTTCCCAAGACCCGCTTAAGTAGAGGCTGGAGGTATGTGTTCCCGAGACCCTCTTAAGTAGAGGCTGGAGGTATGTGTTCCCGAGACCCTCTTAAGTAGAGGCTGGAGGTATGTGTTCCCAAGACCCGCTTAAGTAGAGGCTGGAGGTACGTGTCCCCAAGGCCTTCTTAAGCAGAGGCTGGAGCTGGCTATGTCACACGACCCTCTTCCTTCTGTTCTTATCTCTTTTCCCCCTGTTCGTTTTCCCATTCTGCTTCTGTTGCCCAATCTCATACTCTCTCACATACTCTCTCTCATACTCTCTCACATACTCTCTCTCATACTCTCTCACATACTCTCTCTCATACTCTCTCTCACCGTCTCTCGACCATGTTTCTCTTTCGCCCCTCTCGCTCTCTCTCTCACTCTCTCTTCTCTCCCACCAGGTGAAGGAGCTCCAAGCCAACTTCGTGCATGCCATCGTGCTCTTTAAGTGAGTATCCTGCTGAGTTGTCATCCTGCTGAGTTGTCATCCTGCTGAGTTGTCATCCTGCTGAGTTGTCATCCTGCTGAGTTGTCATCCTGCTGAGTTGACATCCTGCTGAGTTGGCATCCTGTTTAGTCCATAGGCGCTGGACCACTCTCATGAGAGGAGCAGCGGCCCCCTGCAGGGAATTCTCTTCACGACTGCAGCACGGGTCCTTTTCTCATGCTTGCGGTGATCAGCCCCACTCTTACTGAAACTGCCAGCCGCGCCATCGCTCCTCCATGACTCACCCTGCCTTCTGAACCCACTGTGGCCACCACTTCTGCTTATCTCACACGTCCTCGCTCCTTCCCTCCCCCGTTTCCCCCTCTCCTTCTCCCCCGCAATCCCCTCTCTTTCCCTCCCCCGCTTCCCCCTCTCTTCACTCGCCGGGCCACCCATTCCCACCTCCCAGCCACTACAAGAAGGTGTGTGCAGAGCTGTTCACCAGCCCCTCCCCAGCTTCTCGCCCGGGCATGGCCCCCAGCAATGCCCCTCCCAGCGCTGCTGACGCCTCTCAGTTCTCCCACGAGAGGCCTCTTTTCTCTCCTGACCTTCGCTCTCCCTCTCCCCACCTCCCTGCCACTACAAGAAGGTGCATGCGGAGCTGTTCTCCGGCCCTTCTCCCAGCTCTCACCCGGGCATGGCCCCCGGCAGCGCCCCTCCCACTGGTGCCGCTTCTCAGTTCTCCCGGGAGATGCGGTTCGGCTGGCTGCTCTTCCTCGGCTCTCCCCTTCCCCTTCCACCAGCTCCTCTCCCTCACTCACATTCTTCCTTCTTCTCCCTTTCCCCCCCACTCCCCCCCTCTTCCATCCTCCCCCCCACCCCCTTCCCCGGGCCCCACCCCCCCCAATTTCCAGCCACTACAAGAAGGTGCATGCAGAGCTGTTCACCAGCCCTGCTCCCAGCTCTCACCCTGGCATGGCCCCCGGCAGCGCCCCTCCCCCGGGAGCTGCTGCTTCTCAGTTCTCCCGCGAGATGAGGTTCGGCTGGCTGCTCTTCCTCTCCATCAAGGCGCACCTTCTCAGAAGGTTCCCGGACCTTGTCACCGCCACGAATGCGATGCTCTGCACGCTGGTGAGTGCGTCGGTGATTTCTGAGAATTCTGGAAAGTCACCTGTCGCTGTCGGTGATGCTTGCTCGAACAGTGCACGATGTTGCACTGGGTCCGTTGCCTATTGTGTGTTGCACTGGGTGCGTTGCCTATTGTGTGTTGCACTGGGTGCGTTGCCTATTGTGTGTTGCACTGGGTGCGTTGCCTATTGTGTGTTGCACTGGGTGCGTTGCCTATTGTGTGTTGCACTGGGTGCATTGCCTATTATGTGTGCTCGATGCTCTTAATGTGTTCCTCCTGGGGCTGCCTGATGACGCTGCTGGACAAGGGAGAAACCTTGGTGACTTTTGAGCCGACGCAAAAGTCACCTCCGTTTTTAGTCGACTCAAAAGTCACCTCGGTTTTGAGTCGACTCATACGTCACTGGGTGTGTATTATGTGTGCTCGATGTTCTTAATGTGTTCCTCCTGGGGCTGCCTGGTGATGCTGCTGGAGAAGGGAGGAAGGAACCTCATATGCTGCTACCTACGTTATGAGCGTTTTTGCATAACAGAATACTGCCATCAGTAGTGTTTACACACTACCGGCCTTTGCTCTCCCTTCCCACTCCCCACCTCACCTTCTCCCCGCTCCGTGCGCCCAGATGGTGCCATAGTGCATGTTCCCCAACCTCACTGCCAATTCCTCTACATATCCTCCAATCTCCCCCACTCCACTTCACCTCCCTCCCCCCTTCGTCCCCCCCTCCTTCCTCTCCCACCCACCCCCCCCCTTGTCCCGTCCAGGTGGTGCTCATAGTGCATGTTCCCCCATCCCTTCGCCGGTTCTCCTTCTCGGACCCCGTCAGATTCCGTAAGTGCTGCACTTAGTTAAGCTTCTGATTTCGCATGCCCTTTAGGGGATCCGTGGGCGCTGGGTGCCACCTACAGGTTACCTTTTCTGCCCTCTGACTGCCCCCCCCCTCCATTCCCGCACAGTGTGCCGAGCCGGGAGAGAGAGGATGGCAGACGTGGTGGGGTGGCTATCTCATAGTCAATTCAACATGTGTCGAGTCAATTTCTTTGCCTAATGCCTACCTACTCCCTTTCTCTCTGCAGAGCACCGAGCAGGCAGGGAGAGGCTGGTGGACGTGGTAGGGTCCCTGTTTCCGAGCTACAAGGCGGCCGAGGGGGAGTGGCGCGTTGGCAGCAGACTCAAGCATTACTCGAATTATGTGGATGCCTATCCCTGTGCCCTCCACGCCCTTCCTCCCCCCCACAGCGCACCGAGCAGGCAGGTAGAGGCTGGTGGATGTGGTGGGGTCGTTGTGTGTGGGGGCTACAAGGCGACCAAGGGGGAGGTGGCAGTGCTGCTAGAGCTGAATCAGAATAGTCTTGTGTGTGCATGCATGCTCTCTCTGCCCCCCCTCTCTCCCCCCCATCAGCGCGCCGAGCGGGGAGGGAGAGGCTGGTAGACGTGGTGGGATCATTGTGTGCGAGCTACAAGGCGGCCGATGGGGAGGTGGCCGCGCTGTTGGAGCGCACGCACCAGCTCATGGAGAGATGGCTAGGGCGCCAGGCAACAGCGAATGCGTGCGAGCAGCAAGATGCTGGGGAGCTGTGCACAGGTGAGGGTTGCGGGAAGAAGGAAAAGTGACATCGCTGTTGGAGCGCACGCACCAGCTCATGGAGCGGTGGCTCGGGCGGCAGGGCGCGGCCAACTGGGGAATTGTGCAAAGGTGGGAGTTTAGGAAAAATGGGTGAGCGGTGGCGCTGTTGGAGCGAATGCACCAGCACACCGGTCGAAAGGACACTGGTCGAAAGCACTCCGGTCGAAAGCACTCCAGTCGAAAGCACACCGGTCGAAAGCACACCGGTCGAAAGCACACCGGTCGAAAGCACACCGGTCGAAAGCACACCGGTCGAAAGCACACCGGTCGAAAGCACACTGGTCGAAAGCACACCGGTCGAAAGCACACCGGTCGGAAGCGCACCGGTCGGAAGCACCCCGGTCAGAAGCACAGCGGTCGGAAGCACACCGATCAGAAGCACACCGGTCGAAAGCGCACCAGTCGAAAGCACACCGGTCGAAAGCACACCGGTCAAAAGCCCTCCTGTCGGAAGCCCACCGGTCGAAAGCGCACCGGTCGGAAGCGCACCGGTCGGAAGCACACCGGTCGGAAGCACACTGGTCGGAAGCACACCTGCCAAAAGCGCACCGGTCGAAGCACACTGGTCGAAAGCCCTCCTGTCGGAAGCCCAGCGGTCGAAAGCGCACCTGTCGGAAGCGCACCGTTCGGAAGCGCACCGGTCAAAAGCGCACCGGTCGGAAGCGCTCTGGTCGAAAGCACACCGGTCAAAGCACACCGGTCGAAAGCACACTAGTCGGAAGCACACCGGTCAGAAGCACACCGGTCGAAAGAACACCGGTCGAAAGCACACCGGTCGCAAGCACACCGGTTGCCTCGCCTCTCGCCCAGCCTCGCCTCGCCTCATGCCTGGCCTCGCCTCGCCTCCTGCCTCGCCTCACGCCTCGCCTCGCCTCACGCCTCGCCTCGCCTCACGCCTCGCCTCGCCTCATGCCTCGCCTTGGAGAAGAGAAGAGAATGGCGCTTCTTCCTTACCCGCCCCGCCTCCCCCCCCTCCCTCCTTCCCTCTGCACCCTTCTCTCCTCCCTAACACCCCGGCCCAGACCGCCTTTTCCTGTTTGAAGGCTTGCTGCAAGACCCTGCTCTGCTGCCGAGTGTGGATCTGGTGGAGGGCGCGTACCAGGCGGCGGGAGATGGGGGGAAGTTCTTCTTCTTACCTGCCCCTTCCTCCCCCTCTCTTCGCCGTTCCTTCAGACCGCCTCTTCCTGTTCGAAGGCTTGCTGCAAGACCCTGCTCTGCTGCCGAGTGTGGATCTGGTGGAGGGCGCGTACCAGGAGGCGTATGTGGAGGCGGGGGATCGGGCTCTGGACGAGCGGATGTTTCTGTCGGGGGACAGCCAGGTCATTGGCGCTGTGTCCCAGCTCACTGCCGCCTCTAGTGTCGGTGCAGCCAAGGTGAGTCTCTGTCGGGTACTGCTCTTGCTTCTCTGGTGGTGGAGGGCGCGTACCAGGAGGCGTATGTGGAGGCGGGGGATACAGTGTTTCTTTCCGGGGATAGCCAGGTCATTGGGGCTGTGTCCCAGCTCACTGCCGCCTCCCCTGTGGGTGCAGTGCAGCCAAGGTGAGTCCTTGTTGCCGGGAGGGGATGATGGGGGGCTGGGCGCTGGTGGTGGGGAATGAGGAACAGGCATGTCACCACACTCACCTCTCTACTTCCCCTCAAACCCTCTCTGACCCCCCCCCCCTCCTCCCCCTGTGCAGCGCTCCATGCCTCCCCCTTCCCCCCTCAAGAGCGCCCCCATGGGCGCCATGAACACCCCCTCCTCCCCCTTCGCCAGCACCATGGGCGCAGGGGGAGGGGGAGGGGGGGCGGGGGGAAGCACCACCATCACCATCGCCCCTTTCTGCTCCCCCGCCCGCTCCTTCCTCACCCGCCTCGGCCCAGGGGGAATCGGGGGAGGGGGAGGGGGAATGGGGGGGGCAGGGGGAGGCGGAGGGGGAGGGGGAGGGGGAGTGCCTGGGACCCCCATCTCTGCTGCAATGTCGACAGCTCATTGGCTGAGAACGGTGGTTTCAGCTTCCCCTGCGGAGCCATCTCTGGATCTCCTGCGGTTCCTGCATGCCTGTGACAAGGACGTAACGGGCGCGGTGGTAACCAGAACCACCCTGGTTTCGCATGAGATCTTTGCTGCCGTCTCGCAGAAGAAACGAGCCGCTGCCGCCACTGCAGCAACAGGAGGAGGAGCAGGAGGAGGGAAGGGGTCACCGGGAGAAGCAGGAGGAGAGAAAAACGGAGCAGGAGCAGGGGCAGCTGGTGCTGGTGACGCTGGGAAACAGGGAGGAGAACCAGCAGCAGCAGGAGGAGGAGCAGGGGGGAGCGACCCAGCAGACGCGGCCCTCTGGGCGGAGCAGCGGCGGCAGGAAACCGTAAAGCTCTACTACCGGGTTCTCCTGCGCATGTGCACGTCCGAGTCCCTGCGCATGCGCTCCCAGAACCTCACCCCCCTCCTCGACAACGACCGCTTTCACCGTGCCCTCCTCGCGTGCTCAGCCGAGCTGGTCCTAGCCAGCCACAAGGCCACGGCGCACACCTTCCCGGCTGTGCTCGCCCCGGCGGGCGTGTCAGCCTTTGACATGGACAAAGTCATGGAGGGGTTTGTGAGGTACGAGGAGGGGCTCCCTGGGGAGTTGAAGCGGCACCTGAACGCGTGTGATGAGCGGATTCTGGAGAGCCTTGCGTGGGAGAAGGGGTCTAGTTTGTATGTGACGGTGGTGGCGGCGAGGAGGCATTTGCTGGCGGAGGTGCACCGGCTGCAGCTGCTGCCAGAAGGGGAGGAGGTGGCGGGGCTGGTGGGGCGAGGGGGAGGGGGGAAGGGGAGTGGAGGGGAGGGGGAGAAGGGGGATGGCACGCCGGAGAGCAAGGCGAGTGAAGGTGAGAACAAGGCGAGTGAAGGTGAGAGCGTTCTGATCGCCCTGAACCTACGTCCGAGTGAACACCATTTAGGTGGCATGGTTCTCCACGTGGCAGCAACTGTATACGCTTAGTTAAGATGTTAGAGAGAGCTTGCGTAAAGACCTCTGTGAAGGTGAGAGCGCTCTGATCGCTCTGAACCATTTCCCGCTGCCACCATTCTGGCTTGGCTTTGTTTTGCTTTGTGTGTTCGCTCACTCTGAATGCACGTGATGCGATCGTGCAATGATGAATCATGCTGATTTCATTTATCCGTGCCATTTGACAAATCCCCCCCCCCCCGGTCCTCCCCTCCCAGCGGCCTCCCCGCCGGCCAAGCTCTCCTTTGCTGCATTCTCCCCCATGAAGCCGCAAGACAAGAGGGCCTTCGCCCACCTGCATGCCTCATTCACCACGTGAGTTCTGCTGTCCGCAATGCACCAGGCAATTTCACTGGGTGTGCTTCGGTTCGCACAATGCACCAGTTAAGCGCACCAGGTTTCCCTGCCAGGCACCAGCTCTTCCCCATGAAACCGCAAGACAAGCGGACGTTCGCCCACCTGCAAGCCGCCTTCACCACGCGTGAGTGCTGATGTGCACAATGCGCGTTCCGGCTGAAATGCACGATGCGCCAGGTAAGCCCACCAGGTAAGCCTGGGTAAGCTCACCAGGTGCACGCTCCCCGAGCCCAGTTCTCCCCATGCAACCGCAAGACAAGAGGGCCTGCCCACCTGCACGCTTCTTTCGCCACGTGAGTTCGCTCGATGGAAATGCACGGTTCACACATGCTTATACACAGTTTCACCACGACTAGCAACATGCTACATCCAACCGACTTTATATCCTCTCTCCCTCCTCTTCCCCACCCTCTTCCCCCCCCCATCTCCCCTTGCATCCACCAGCCCCTTCCAGCGCGCGTCAGCAGCAGCATCAGCGCCGCCAGGGGAGAGCCGATCTGAAATGCTCTTCAACCAGTTCTGCCAAAAGGTAAGACTCCGAATGCATCTCCTCTCCTTTCCATGCTAATCCCACATTGCTCCTTTCCGTCTCTGTTGCCCCTTGTGACGAAACCACCATTTGGCACACACACACACACGCTCGCGCGCGCGCTCCTTCACCCGGCCACGCAGTTGGGTGGACCGTGCAGGGCGAGATGCAGCCGCAGCTGCTCCCATCCCGGTGGTTTTCAATCCCGGCCGTTCCTTCTCTCACCACAGGTGCCCAAGCTGGCAGCCGTGCGACTCCGAACTCTCTGTGAGCGGCTGAGGTGCAGCCTCTCTCATGCTCTTAGGCCCTGTGACTTCCTCCAATCCCACCCACAGGTGCCCAAGCTGGCAGTCGTGCAAGTCCAACCTCTCTGTGAGCGCCTGAGGCTGACGGCGGCGGTGTCGGAGAGCGAGGTGTTCGGCGTGGTGGAGCAAGCGGTGTAGTGGAGTGCGAGGCGGCTGCTCTCAAAACCTCACACCCGTGCTCCCCGCTTTCTCCTCCCCTGCCCATCAGGTCCTCAAGCTGGCAGTGGTGCGAGTGCGCAGCCTGTGCGAGAGACTCAGGCTCACAGCTGCCGTGTCAGAAATGGTGTTCCGTGTGGTGGAGCATGCGGTGGAGGGCGAGGTGCAGCTGCTCTTCTGCCGCCACCTCGACCAGATCATCCTCTCCTCCGTCTACGGCGTCTGCAAGGTGCGGGGTTGAGTCGGCGTCTGCAAGGTGGATTTTGAGTCGGCGTCTGCAAAGTGGGGGGTTGTGGGTGTGTGTGCTTCAAAAGGTGGGTTTGCAAGGTGGGTTTTGAGTCAACTCAAAAGTCAGCTCATCCTCTCCTCCGTTTACGGCGTCTGCAAGGTGGGGGGTTGTGGGTGTGTGTGCTTCTCGCTCTCCTTCCCTTCGCCACGAGGTGCACTTTGACTACGTGTTGCAATCGACATGCACGTTCAAGGATCGCATGTTCCCGCAGGTTACCGCACTGCAAACCATCAACTCTCCCTCCCTTTCCCTCAATCCTCTCCCTCCCCCCCTCTCATCTCTCTCTCTCTCTCTCTCACCCTGGCCCTAACGCTTCAGGTGTCGCAAGTGGCAGTCACTTTCAAGGACATCATCGCGCAGTACCGCAAGTTACCGCACTGCAAACCTTCAGTCTTTCGAAACGTGTTTATCGACGCCAAGCCACCCCCCGCTGATTCTGCCTCCAAGGAGGTGCGTCGGGATGGGTGCAGAGCGGTGACGAGTGCTTTCTGTCTAGAAGATTGGTGGGATCCAGAAGAGCAGAAGGATGGGTGGGGGATGGTTTAGAGGGTTGGAAAGGTGTGCAGTGCAATCTGTTGAATTACACGGCATCTGTATCCACGCCTGGACTCCAACGCATGGAGGGGGTGCTTTCCCCTGACATGCTTCCCCCCCCTATGCATCCCCCCCCTATGCATCGCCCCCTATGCATTCCCCCACCATGCATCCCCCCCCATGCATCCCCCCCTATGCATCCCCCCCTATTCGTCCCCCCCTATGCATCCCCCCCTATGCATCCCCCCCCTATGCATCCCCCCCCTATGCATCCCCCCCTACGCATCCCCCCCCTACGCATCCCCCCCCTATGCAATCCCCCCCTATGCATCCTCCCCTATGCATCCCCCCCCCTGCATCTCCCCCTATGCATCCCCCCCCTATGCATCCCCCCCCTATGCATCCCCCCCTATGCATCCCCCCCCTATGCATCCTCCCCTATGCATCCCCCCCCCTGCATCTCCCCCTATGCATCCCCCCCCTATGCATCTCCCCTTATGCATCCCCCCCCTATGCATCTCCCCCTATGCATCCCCCCCCTGCATCTCCCCCTATGCATCCCCCCCCTGCATCTCCCCCTATGCATCCCCCCTTATGCATCCCCCCCCTATGCATCCCCCCCCCTGCATCTCCCCCTATGCATCCCCCCCCTGCATCTCCCCCTATGCTTCCCCCCCCATGCATCCCCCTTTATGCATCTCCCCCCTAAATGCGTCCCACTGAAATGCCTCTTTTGCGTCCTCTCCTTTGCACACCCATTGTCCTGTATGCAGCCCGTCCCCCAGCACGGCGACATCATCCGCTTCTACAACGAGATCTTCGTCCCGGCCACCAAGTCCTTCCTGCTACAACTGGGGCAGGGCGCCTCAGCCGCAGGGGGAGGGGGAGGCGCAGGTGGGGGAGCAGCAGGGGGAGGGGGAGGGGCAGGGGGAGTGGGGGAGAGGGGCGCGGGGCACGGAGGGGGCTTGTTGAGGAGCCCTCTCATCCACTCCTCCCCTGCCTTGGCGCATTTCCAGCAGCACCAGCAGTCGCCCTCGTCTGTGCCCGGTGCCTCCCCACGTCGTGTGTCATCCCGCCACAATGTCTACGTCTCGCCCCTGCCAACCTCTAGGGTAAGCCTTGGGGCTATTCAGCCATCGGCTCAGGAGAGAGAGTCGTTTCCAGCAGCACTAGCACTCGTTGTGAGGCACCTTCGATGGAGGGTAAGCCTTGGTGCTATTCTGCCATCGGCTCTGGGAAGTCGATTCCAGCAGCACCTGCAGTGGCCCTCGTCAGTGCCCAAATGGAGGCCCTACTGGCTTCCCCCCAACACCAGCTGTCAGCTCAGGTGCTGGGAGGAGGGGTCTCTCCTGTCCCCCTCCCCCTTGTTAACTCACTCTCCTTCCCTCCCCTCTCTGCTCCCATCCCGCTTCTCCTCCCTTTTGTCTGGTACCTACCCACATGGAGGCCCTACTGGCTTCCCCCAATCGCCAGCTGTCTGCGCAGCTGTCCAAGCAGCTGTGCTGGGACAAGGGCTCTCTTCTAACTCTGTCCCTGCTGCCCTTCCCTTCTGAGCCGACTCAAAATCCATCTCGTTCTAACTGCGTCCTAGCTATCCCTCCCTTCTCTCCCTTCCGTGGCTCCCAGATGGAGGCCCTACTGGCTTCACCCCACCGCCAGCTGTCAGCGCAGCTATCCACGCAGCTGCTGGGAAGGGCTCTCCTTTAAAATCTCTCGTTTCGCCCCTCTCCCCCCCACTCCCCCATTAACCAGATGGAGGCCCTACTGGCCTCGCCCCACCGCCAGCTGTCAGCGCAGCTGTCCACGCAACTGCTGGGAGGGGGGCTCTCTGCAGACCCCTTTGCGAGCCCGTCACGGCACCTTGCTGCAATCAACCAGCGCATCAGCAGCACCAGGTGAGGGGCTTGCCGTAGGATCTGAAAGATCAGCTGGTGAGTGGGGAGGGAGGTCGAGGGAGGCGGGGTAGGGTAGAATCGCAGCTGTCCACGCAGCTGCTGGGAGGGGGGCTCTCTGCGTACCCCTTTGCAAGCCCGTCACGGCACCTGGCTGCAATCAACCAGCGCATCAGCAGCACCAGGTGGGAATCTGAGGGACTAGCTACCACCTTTTCTGGAATCTCAAATGCTATCAGGTTTGTTGCCTTCGCCTTTTCCAAGCTGTCGAGGGTGCTGGCAGTTTCCTCATTCCTCTGTGTTGCATCCTCCCATCTCCCCCTCTCTGCTCTCTCCTGCTCTCCTCGCCCTCTTGCTCCAGGCGCCTGGGTCGCCTTGACTTCTCAGATGCAATGGATGTGGACGCCTCTCGAGCCTCCAGCATCACGCCCCCGCCTCCCACGCCCGTTGCTCCCATCGCTGCTCCTCTTGCCGCCACAACCGCTACAGCTGCCGCTACAGCTGCTGCAAGTACTGCTCCTGTTTCTGCTGCTGCTACAACCGCTCCCGTGCCTGCCCCTGTGGCTGCTGCTGTAAATGGTGACGACGCCAGTGCCACTCCTGCTGCTGCTGTTGATGCTGGTAGCCCCAGTCTCGATTCCGGAAGGCCCCCTCTTCCTCCTGCTGCTGCTGCTTCTGTCGCTGCTCCTGGTTCTGCTCCTGCTATTCCTGTTCCTGTTGCTGCTCCTGTTGCTGCTCCTGCTGCTGCTCCTGCTGCTGCTGGTGTTGCTGGAGCAGCTGCAGGTGCGTTTCCCGTGAACGGAACAGAGGCTGCAGACATAGCAGAGCAGGCAGCAGAGCAGGCAGCAGAGTATGCAGTGGGAAACTCAGCAGGGAATGGGGAGGCGGGACAGCTCTCTTATTCGTCGGGAGCAGCAACAATGGGGGTGGAGAGTGGCCCAATGGGGGTGGAGAGTGGCCCAATGGGGGTGGGGAGTGCAGCAATGGGAGCAGGGATGGGGGTTGAGATGGGGTTGGGGAGTGCTGGTGCTGTTGATGGGTCGTGGTGGCAGCAGCAGAGTGCACAGCAGCAGGGGCAGCAGCAGCAGGAACAGCAGCAGCAGGTGCAGCAGCAACAGGAGCAGCAGGGGCAGTACATTCAAGGGCCGGGGCAGGAGGGGCAGAGTGGGCAGTATATGCAGCAAGAGTATGTGGGTGGGCATCAGGGCGAGCAGCAGTGGCAGCCACAGCAGCAGCAGTACCAGCAGCAACAACCACTGCAGCAGCAGCAGCACCCACAGCAGCAGTACCAGGATCAGCAGCAGCAACAGCAGCAGGAGCAGTATCACTACCAGTAGCAGCAACGACAAGAGTCGCAGTATCAGGACCATAAAGCACGCATCAGCATCAGAGCAGCACTGACTGGAGATGCTCGTAACATCACAAGTGACTCACCTTATAACGAGGCCTTAGGGGCCTGCAGACTGTTGCACAAATGAGCCACCTTATAGCGAGGCCCTTAGTTGCCTCGCTAGTGCAAACATTACGTGTGGGTGGCCCCTCTATGAGGGGGTGTGTGGGGTGGATGGGTGGAAGGTTGGGGAAAGGAGTGTTTGGACTGCCAGATATGGGATGAAAGTAGAGGGATTGAGATGGGGGTGAGAATGGGGAGGGGATGTGTTGTGTTTCTGATGTGTGGCTGGCTGGATTCAGGCTGCAGGCACGCATTGTGCTAGCGCCTGCGCTTCCCGAACAATGTGACATTCGCGCTGTGTTATGTTACGTGCAAATCAGACCTTGAATAACCACAGGGTTCAGCCTGTCATTTGTACTGGATAACAGGTAGCATTTGAGGCACCAGCTCCTCTCCAAGCCTGCAGGTCCTTTTTGACCAATCAGGCTATGGCTAGTGTGTTAAAATTATATAAGTTATAATTTTAATATAGGCTTGGTAGGTTGTTACTGAACCTTTCTGTAGGGGGTACAAACCCCTCCTTGTACTCCCCTCTCTTCTAATCCAACACTCTTTTCTCTCCTCAACTTTCATAGCACCTAAAACCTCTCGCCATTCTCATGGCTCCTCCTAGCTCCTAGCTAAACCTTGTGCCATTCTATGGCTTCCTAGCTAAGCTAGTCTTTTGACATGGTATCAGAGCAGTTCGTTCCGTGTGGGCCTGCTCCTCGCGTTTCCGCTGCGTGCTCGTTTCTCTCTCTATCTCGCGCTGCCATGGCGGCCGCGTCAAGCTGCTGTGGCCGCGTCGTCGTGCCGCGGCGCCGCCGTCGACGTCCATGGCGCCCGCGTCCAGCTGCTGTGGCCGCGCCGTCGTGCCGCAGCTCCGCCGTCGCGTCAAGATGCTGTCGCGACGTGACGGCGCCGTCACGCTGCCGCGGCGTCTACGCGACAGCGCGCGGTCGGCGTAACGGCGACGTCGTGCTGCCGTCGCAACGTCGACGCCCCGCTGCGGCATCGACGCCGCTCCATGATGGCGTCGTCGGGCTGCAGCCGGCCGCGTGACGCTTGTGGCGCCGCTAGACCGGCCGCCCGCATGTCAGCCTGTGGCGCCCCCCCCCCCCCCCACCCCCCTCCTTCCCCTGTGCCCTCTTCCATTCCGCAGACGACGGCTGACTCCCGCCGGCCGTCCCACCGTCGCGGGGCCTGGCCACGTCACCGAGAGGTGCGGGTGCCGCCGCCGCTGCCGCTGTTGTCGAAGCCGCCGCCGCCGCCGCTGTCGCCGCTTGCGTCGGGGCCACGCAGCCGCACGCCGCCGCCGCCGCCGCTGTCGACACTGCCGCCGCTGCTGCCGTCGCCGCCGCAGCCCCTGCGGTCGACGTCGCCGCCTCACGCACCGTGGGTCGACCGACCTAGAGTCGCTGTCACTGTGGCTGGAATGGGGGTGCTAGGTTAGGGGGTGTGGGTGTGTGTGGGCATGTGACTACCAAGCCTAGGGGGTGTGTTCAAATTATATAAGTTATAATTTAATATAGGCTTGGTAGGTTGTTACTGAACCTTTCTGTAGGGGGTACAAACCCCTCCTTGTACTCCCCTCTCTTCTAATCCAACACTCTTTTCTCTCCTCAACTTTCCTAGCACCTAAAACCTCTCGCCATTCTCATGGCTCCTCCTAGCTCCTAGCTAAACCTTGTGCCATTCTATGGCTTCCTAGCTAAGCTAGTCTTTTGACAGATCCGTTTTTCCTAGCGCCGTTCCATGGCGGCCTTGCTCCTATCCTAGCTAAGCTAGTGTCCTAACTTTAGGGACCTAGCATCCTAAGTTCTTAACATGGTATCAGAGCGGGAGATCCTTCCTGCTGGACTGCCTCCTCTCGCTTCCGCCATTTACTCCTCACCCTCATTCACTCCAGCGGCCATGGCGGCCGCGTTTTGCTGCAGTGGCGACGTCGCGCTGCCACTGGGCGCGTCGTGCCGCGACCGGCCCGACGCGCTGCCGCGGAGTCGGGCCGTTGTTCTGCAGTCGCAGCGTCGACGCCCCGCTGCGGCATCGACGCTGCCATGGCGGCCGCGGCGACGTCACGCTGTGGCGTCGTCGTCTTTTCGCTGGCTGCGCCGTCCTGCCGCGGCCGTCTCGACACGCGACCGGGACGACGTCAGCGCGACGCCGCGGCCGTCTCGACACGCGACCGGGACGACGTCAGCGCGACGCCGCGGCTGCGCCCCTCCTGGGCCTCGTCGCGCCCTGCCTGGCCTCGTCGCACCCGCTCGGCCCCGTCGCGCCCTGCCTGGGCCTCGTCGCGCCCTGCCTGGCCTCGTCGCACCCGCTCGGCCCCGTCGCGCCCTGCCTGGCCCCGTCGTCACCTGCCCGGCCCCTGCCAGTAAGCGCCGCGCCTCTTATGGCGCGTCGCTGATGACCCGCCTCGCCCCGCCCCCCCCCCCCCCCTCCCCCCATTCTCCCTTCCCCCCCCTGCATCTTCCCTTCCTCCTGTCGCAGCTGCTGTCTTCTGCCCGGTCGTTGCCACATTGCCGAGAGCCCTCAGCCGCGGCAGTCGCCGCCTGTCGTCGGCGACCCAGCCGCCTTGAGCCAGAGCTCCGCGGCTGCTTGTCGCTGACCCGCCTAGACGCCGTCGGCTGCCTCGTGTACGGGGGTGTGTCAACGCTTTGCCTGAGGGTCAGATACCCGGCTAAGCACGAGCTTGAGGGTGTGCGGGGTTAGGGGGTGGGTTGGGTGCGGGTGTGGGGGTGTGAGTGGGCTTGACACTACCAAGCCTAGGGGGTGTGTTAAAATTATATAAGTTATAATTTTATATAGGCTTGGTAGGTTGCTACTGAACCTTTCTGTAGGGGGTACAAACCCCTCCTTGTACTCCCTTCTCTTCCTAATCCAACCCTCTTTCTTCTCGACTTTCCTCCTACTCCTAGATCCGTTTTTCCTAGCGCCGTTCCATGGCGGCCTTGCTCCTATCCTAGCTAAGCTAGTGTCCTAACTTTAGGGACCTAGCATCCTAAGTTCTTAACATAGTGGTACATGTGCCTTAGCACAAGCTAGTACCGTAATACTGAAATAATTTTTAGCTGCAAGGACTGTCCAGTGAATGCTGCTCGGCTCGGAGAGAGTTGTACAGATTGCAGGAGTGTCTGTGCCTTCCGTTGCTTCCTCCGTCTTGGATGCACACCTTGCATCAACACTTTTGTTCATTACTGTATGAGCATCACAATAGCTGGCGCAGCTTCAAATCAAAGGCTATATTTTTCCTAGGATTTGCATAAAGACGGCAAAAAATGGCAGCATCAGTGCCACCAGACACCTTGCGGTGCATGCACCTGCATTCCCTGTGCTGCTCTCAACTCAACCCGTCCCTACTTACTCAACCCAGTAACGGCATCCGCATATATTTACATAGCGGAGTTGCAACACGTGTAACACTGTTACTTATTCGTGTATCTTGAAATTCACTTGGCCCAGGCGGCAACTGTAGGAGGCACGGCCAGGGAGCCCACAGCTGCGCATGTGGGTAGGGTACCTGCCTGGGCACCTGAAGAAACACCTGTGGAGTTGCCGCTGGTGGAGTTGCTTCCATATGAGACGGCAGCGAGCACAAGGGACTCTGAGGGGTAAGCCGCACAGGTCTTGATCGCAGCCCCCTGCTCCGTCTGTTGGCTCTCGACCCCAAGGCTCGGCGCGCTGGAAGGAGCAGGCTCGGCAGCGGTGGGCGGGACGGAAGCCGGACGTTCGGGGTACCGGAATGCAGGCTCGGGGGTGAGGCCGGCAAGAGCCTCTGGGATTGCCGAGTGTAGGTGCCGAAGCAGGTGGCGGAGGCCAGAGGATCGGCTGCAGGGGTGACAGAAACGAGGGGGCGGAGAGGACTTCAGTCAGGTTAGTAAGAGTGCAGCAGGTGTTGAATCGGAGCGTGCTATAATGGATCACGGGGAAAGGGGAAAGGGGAGAGAGCACTGGGGGAGGAAGGGGGAAGGAGGGGAAGAAGCTGGGGGGAGGCTGGGGAGCGGAGGTGGGGAAGGAATGGGGAAGGAATGGGGGAGGGGGAAGGAGCGGGGAAGGAGGGGGAAGGGGGGGGGGGCGGGGGGGGGGAGGACTTACGGGGCCTCAACGATGCGGAAGGTGCATGTCTCGGGGCAGCGCGCAGCCACGTCACCCACGTGCACGACCTTCATTTGGCTGACGTCACTCTCAGGGCTGCGCAGCGGCACCCATGCGTGCTTGCTGCAGTAGTCGGCGCAGAAGCTCTTGCCGTCGATGGTTACTGCCACGTCAGCGCTGGTGACCAGCAGGTAGAGCGCGGCGCGGTCAAATGGAAGCGCGCCGATGTCGATCTGGTGCTGAATGGCTGAAGGAAAACGAGCGGGAAGGCAACCAACGAGATAAACGTTAGGACTAGTCTCAGGCCTCGTGTGATAAAAGTATGCGAAATGCAGCAAAGTTAGCTGCAGGAGTGTAAGAAAAAGGGGTGCAATGTAAGATAGAGGGGTGCAATGTTAGATAAAGCGGTGCAACGCTTACCTTCCGTGGCGCCGAGGGCGTAGCGGTTGAGATCAACGGCGACGGATCCCAGCTGAGTCTGCGACTCGAAGGCACGTGGTGGCAGCGCGCTGACGTATTCCCGCACGCGGTCCACGTCAGCAGAGTCCCACGTGCCGTGGAAGACGACGTGGAGGGGGGTACGAGGAGTGTCGAGCTGCAGCCCCATCCGCAATCCGCGGGCTTCGGCGTCGGCTGACGCGGCGTCGTAGAACGAGGAAGACATTCCGCGCGAGTGCGCGGACGGGAGCAGCGCGGCGAAGATGGCGAGAGTCGCCGCGAGGAGCGAGAGGACCGCGCGCACGGTGAGCGGAGCGCGGGGAGCCATGATGTCTTGCTGGCTGGCGCGATTTCTCTCGCTACGCGGTTTTTCTTGGCTGCGCAACGTCTTTGAGTGCAGGGCTCGTCAGACAGAACTTCTAAAAGAAATTGCTCTTTGATGTTGCAAGGAATGGTTCTGAGGAAGAGTTAGACTGGGTTGGCTGAAGAGCTTGCTGGCGAAGACAGGGGAGTAGGAAATGTTGAGTGTGGGGCTGTTTGCCTTGCTGAGTCGCGCAGTGGGAAAATGTTGAGTGTGGGGAATCTGAGTCGGCTGATTTTGAACCATTCCGCGATTTCAAGCGCAGGGCGTCGCGGAATTTCAAGCGGGCCGCGGAAGGAGAGCGTGACGCGGGAGAGAGGCGTATCTGGAAGGAAAGGGTGAGGTGAGGTGGTGGTGGTGGTGGGCTCCAGTTTGCAGTCGAAGCGATTTAGAAACCGACAGATACACCAGAGAAATATTTGAATCAGCCCGCAGTGCCGAATCGACGAATAGGAGTGGGTCTTACGGGATATCTTTCGTTTCGCCGACAGATCGAAATGGGAGGGCTGGGCTCCTGAAAAAAAATCAGGGTTTGGGAAACAGCAATAATTCTGTTGAAGGGTGGTGGGTGGGGGGTGTTCCCGGCAGAAGCGATTGATGTTGCGGTTGCGGGCATCTCGTGCGCAACAAGGCTGGCGCGACTCGTCAAATCAGCGCGTTGAAAGGCTCGTGATTGGCCAGCGCAGTTTCCGTCAAAACAGCTTTGCAGCTTGCCTGGCAAAGAGGTAAACTGGCTGGAAGGGTCGCAATTTTTTTTTTGACGTTGACGACAAAAGGCGGAAGAGTTCTGCTGACTCGGCTGGGCGAATGGGGTATCCCCAGCAGCTTCCTCAGCAGCAGCTGCAGCCTGCGTGGCTGCAAGCTTGCACGAAACTCAACGAACAAGTTCACGTGTAATGTACTGCTCCCGTGAATCTGGCTTCGCTTGTCGAAGCCCCACGCGGATAGTTTGGCTCGGCTAGTTGTGGACGTTCTGTGGCCAAGGCAAACCAATATCGTTTGTTCTGCCCACGGGCAATCTTTCCAGGGAGGCACATGGATTTGCCAACGTAGGTGCAAGCGCAAACCCCGGCGCGCAATTATTGTACATGAGGCTGACAACGAGGCTGACGTGGTCAACAGAAATCGCTGGTGCGTGTCAGCAGTTATCAGCTGAGCTTTTATGGGGGATTGTGAAAATCATGAAATCACTATGCTACAGAATTCCGCTTTTCTTATGAGTACATGTGCCATGGCAAAAGGAAAAGCCATATATGGTGAGAGCTGCAAGTTCTTATCAGCAATACATAACACATTTCTTCCAGATAATGCAGGCATACCACCAAGCCAGTGGTTTTAAACCCCCGATGCTTCTGCAAATCCATATCATGTGCAGCTGTCCCAATATTAGTGAAATATAGAGCAACTTCCCTACCATGCATCCAGGGGCTGCTGGTAACTACACCAGAGATCAATATATCAATTGCCATTTCCCTTGCAACATGTATAGAAGGTTATTCAGTAAAGCCCCGCTGGTTATTCAGTGCTTGTGTTATGAGGATTTCCAAGCTGCGTTTTCATCACAACATAGTAGTGTTAATTTATATATTGTGTTACATAATTGGTAGGCTTGGTAGGTTTTGAACTCTACTGTAGGGGGTACAACCCCCTCCTTGTACCTCTCTCTCTTTCTAATCATGCACCTTTTCTCTCGTAACTTCTCCCCCTAGCCAAAACCTCCTCTCGTATACTATGGCTGCCTAGTTTTTCCTAGCTTAACATGCTCTCAGAGCAGATCGTTTCTCATGGGCCAACATGTCAAACATATATTGTATGTTTGTATAGACTGTATAGGCTTGTGGCTTATAGAGTACAGCCCTTAAGTCATATACCTTTGTACTCATGCCTCCTAGTCAATCATTCCATTCTGATATGGTATCATGAGTAGGTAGGTCCCACCGCCCGCCCACGCTTCCGCCCTAGGTCCTAGCCGCCTGTCCCCCCCCCCCCCCCCCCCCAGCCACGCCGGCCCTTGCGCCCGTTCTAGCCGGCCCCTAGCGCCCGTTCCTGCCGGCCCCTCGCGCCCGTTCCAGCCGGCCCTAGCGCCCGTTCTAGCTGGCCCCCTAGCGCCCGTTCCAGCCAGCCCCTCGCGCCCGTTCCCGCTGGCCCTAGCGCCCGTTCTAGCCAGCCCCACTAGCGCTCATTCCAGCTGACCCCTTGAGCCCGTTCCAGCCGGCCCTTGCGCCCGTTCCGCACCCGTTCCGGCCGGCCCCTCGCGCCTGCTCCAGCCGGCCCCTCGCGCCCGTTCCAGCTGGCCCTTGCGCCCGTTCCTCGCCGGCTCCTAGCGCCCGTTCCTGCCGGCCCTTGCTCCCGTTCCAGCTGGCCCCTCGCGCCCGCTCCTAGCTGGCCCTCGCACCCGTTCCAGCCGGCCCTCGCGCCCGTTCCAGCTGGCCCCTCGCGCCCGCTCCTAGCTGGCCCCGCGCGCCCGTTCCAGCCGGCCCTCACGCCCGTTCCAGCTGGCCCCTCACGCCCGCTCCTAGCTGGCCCCGGGCGCCCGTTCCTAGCCGCTTTGGCGCCCGTTCCACCCGGCCCTCACGCTTGTTCCTCGCTGGCCTCCGCGCCCGTTCCTAGCCGGCCCTCGCGCTCGCCCTAGTCGACCCCGCGCCCGTTCCTAACCGACCCCTTGACCGGTTCCTAGCTGGCCCCCACGCCCGTTCCTAGCCGGCCCTCGCGCCCGTTCCTGATCGGCCTCGTGCCAGCCCCTCGTCGGCCCCGCGCCTGTTCCCGATCGGCCCTGTGCCCGTTCCTCGTCAGCCGGCCCGCCGCCCCCCAGTGCCCAGTTTGTCTCCGCGCACCGCACAGCACCGCACAACGCCACACTGCACCGCTCTTCACCGCACTGCACCGTACAGCACCGCTCTGCACCGCACTGTACGGCACAGCACCGCTCTGCGCCGCACTGCATCGCACTCCACAGCACAGCTCCGCTGCTGCATCGCTCCTGATGGCGGACTCCGTGCTCCGCTTCGACACAGAGGGTCAGCCGCTTGAGTTTGACACGTGGCTGGTCAACCTGCGCCGTCATCTCACTGGTTAGCGGCAGGACGGCCACTCCCTGGCTGTCCACCTTGACGGTACGCTTCCCTGCCCTGACCCCCTTGCTCCCCTGCCCCCTGACCCCTCGTCCACTGACCGTGAGTCCGCTGCAGCTGCTGCCCTTGCCCGCTCAGTCTGGCTGTCGCGTAACACTGTCGCGCAGCTTGCGATCAGTCATGCCCTCCCTGTCTGAGCGCCTCCGCTTTCGGTCAGTCACGACTGCGCAGGAATTCCTAGATGCCGTTGTCAAACGCAATTCCACCCCGCCCGCTGCCTCTGTAGGTCGCCTGATCCTACCAATGCTCTTCCCTGACCTTGCGTCTTTCCCTACTGTCGCTGACCTGGCCGCTCACCTGCGCACGATAGTCGCGACCTGGTGCTCTGCCTGCACTGAGACCCAGCTTAGAGCCTTTCAGCCGCCCCTCTGCTCTACCCTCTACCTGCTTGCCACCCGCCTCCCTGACCGTCTTGCTACTGCCCGCGACCGCTCTCTTAGCATCCACCCCGGTGACCTCACCCTCACTGATTTTGTCGACACCCTATCTGCCATAGAGACCTGCCAGCGCTCTATCGCCCAGACCAACGATACTGTGCCGGTCCCTATCTTCCAGGGATGTGCCCCCGCTCAGTGCACCTTCTCCGACGGTTCTCCTGCTGTGGCTGAGACCGCAGCTGCAACACAGTTCCGTCAGGGGAAGGGTCGCCGCATTAAGGCAGGGCGCGGCAGTGGGGGTAGTGGTGCAGGTGGAGGTGGTGGTGGCGTCGGGTCGCCCGGTAGTAGCGCTGATGAGGGGACCGTGCCTGGTATAGCCGAGCAGCCGTCTCAGCAGCCGCCGGTGTCGCAGCCGGACCCGCACCAGCCGCAGCAGTAGCCCTAGCACCAGTCGCAGCAGCCGCAGCCGCAACAGCAGAGGCGGGCGAATGGTCTCCCGCCCGGGTGGACTGGCGCTGGTGGTGGCGTTGGCCGTGGTGGTCGTGCGCGTGGTGTGCAGTTGGGTGGTGGCTCGGGTGACGGGCGCTGTCAATACCAACTTAAGACCGGTCCTCGCCGTGGCTTCTTGTGCAGTAAGATCGGTCACTCCTCTGTCCGCTATTTCCGTCGCCTGAACGACCTGTTTCGTCAGCACTTCGGCCCGGCGCACGACCTCCCCGACTGGCACAGTTTGCTTCGCCGTAGTGTTCCGATTTTTTATATGGACATGGATGAGCTTTGTTCTGTCATGCATGTGTTGTATGCTAATGACTCTAGTGTCACTGTTTCTTACTACCCCTTGTTGCCTAGTGTAGGTGTGTCTAGTCTTGCCTCCCCTGCTGCGTCGGGCGTAGGATGCCCTGCCTTGTTTAGCCTTGGTTCTTCCCTCGCTGTTCCGACTCTAGCCGGCACTGCTACGCACTCCTTCATTCTGGACTGTGGCGCTTCCCGGTGTTTCTTCCGTGACTCCACTACGCTGACGCCACTTGCTGCTCCTGCTGCAGTTTCCCTTGCCGACCCCTCCTCCTGCCCGGTAGTCGCCCGCATTTCCACCACACTTCCCTGTCCAATGGTTCCTTCGGGCTCTCTTACAGGCTTGCACATCCCCTCGTTCTCCAGGAACCTACTTGGTGTCGGCTGCCTCTTGGACCTTGGCGTCACCACTACGTTCCCTGGTCACGAGCGGTACGCTGTCTGTACCGAGGCCGCTATTGGTGCCCCACTCACCACGTTCCCCCGGGACCCGGTGTCCGGCCTGTTCACACTGGACACCGCGACCCCCCCGGTTGGGAGGTCTCCTCAGGTGGCTGCGTCTACCCAGGTTGCTACAGCCTGCTCCTGTCGGTCGCTCACTCACCCGACACTCCTGTGGCACCACCGTCTAGGTCACCCTGCACTCCCCCGTTTGCGCCACATGTCACAGCACGGTCTTGTCCTAGGTCTCCCAAGGTCGTTCCCCGGGTTGCCCTCCTCCCCAGCACCACCGTGCACGCCCTGTGTTGAGGGCCGGCTCTGCTGTGCCCTTCACTCCTAGTTCCCCCCCACCACCACACCACTACAGACCCTGCACATGGACGATTGGGGCTCCGTCCCCGTCCATGGTGTTTGTCAACGACTACACGCGCTACACCACGGTGTTTCCCCTGGAGCGGAAG